CGTGTCTGCAGTTTCTTAAAAGCAACCAGTCCAAAATTATCCTTATGCCAAAGAAACATATTTTGGGGTGGCCAATTCTGATCCCCGCAAGACCCTGAGGTGATGCTGTTTTTAAAACCTCATGGTGATACCCTTTTGATGAGGAGGTGCCTACCTCCTGTGATACAGCCTTCCAGGAAGTGAGATGGACTGAGGCTTATAAGTTGAGCAGAAGCCTACTGTGCCTCCTCCACAGGTGCACCCAGATTCCTCTCAAAATTCATTCAATGAATACTTACGTTAAGGCCTACATATGTTGACACAAATAATCCATAACCAATCTATACATCAAAATTGAGGCGAGTTTATTATGAGCCTGATTTGAGGACTATATAGCCCGGGAGAGTCCTTTCACAAAGGAATGGAGCACTCCAAAGAAGTGGGGGTGTACAGAGTGGTTATATACCGTCAAAGAGCATGTATCTCATATGATTGGAATGTCCCTTTTGCAGTAGTCAAGAGATTGCCTTGCTGGCACAGCAATTCACCCAGAATTGATGAACACAGCAGGTAGCAGGTCTGTAGTCTCCAAGTGGGTGGTCACAGGGTGAGCACAGCAGGCCAGCAATCAATCCTTAGTTTAGGGAGAAATGCTTATCCTAAAGGAAATGCCCATGCAGGGGAAGTTTCATCCTTATCTTTAAGGGCATCATTCTTGTCTTTGGGACATAGTAAATACTTAAAGCAGATATATAATGCATGCTCAATGGCCGTGTCAAGCCCATTTTGGAAAAACAAGTTCAGGCTGAATTAGTTTTATACCAAATGGCTTCCTCATATACTCCAATGTATCCTATTGCTTGTCATGTATTTATCACATATATGTGTGAAAACTAAAGACACCAAATTTGGAAGTATTGACAGTTTAAAGCAGCTTCTGCAGTTCTGGATGTTGACTGAATAACTAACTTAGGTTCCCCAAGCCTTTGCCTTTGTAGACATTCCACGTTTACTTGATTCAGCCAGAGAGCATCCCATTTCCCAGAAGCAAATCCAGTAAAACTTTGTGCCTAATTCTCACTGTCTGAAGGAGTTGGGATGTATGCTCTGAGCCTCAGAACAGTTGGGGCCTACCCCGAACCTAAGGGTCTTTAGCTTTGAGATGGCAGCAGTTCTCTTCCTCGTGTCCCCCACCCCAACTTTGTTCTCTCTCATTGCCCTTAGTGCCACCGTTTTTGCCCTGGCTTAATTTGCTGCCTGTGGAGCACTTCAGAAACAGGCCCTTTGTTTCCTCTGAGACGGTTTCTTTGCCATTTAATATGCATTGTTTCCTGTCCTTTCATTTCTCAACACGAGGGTTCCGGTGTGTGGCTGCTCTGTGGGTTTTGGGAAATCGACGGCTTTTGCGGCTCTATTATGCACCCTTCTCTGGGTCTTTTCGTATGTGCTTCACCTTGCTTTCATCATCTGGGAGACTGGCTGCAAAGAATTTGAATTAGGCTTCCATGGGTTTGGGATTTGAATTTTATAGGCTGAGAAACTGAGCAGTCAAAAATTAGGCATCTTTTCTCTGTCACAAAGCCAGTAGGCAGGAGAGCTAGAGGGGGAACCCCAGACCTCCTCATCTCCAAAAACGGTGAACTTCCACCACACTGGGTGTCTCTCACGGCATGTCGCTCAGTGCGGAAGTCTCCCTTTATCTCTGCATGGAATTCAAACTCGTCTTCATGGCTTGGGTGTTTACTACTGAGATATGCTGTACAGGGAAGTTCATGAATTAATTCACATTAAAAAAAAATTTTCTTTTAAACATTGGCACCTGAGCTAACAACTGTTGCCACTCTTTTTTTTTCTCCTTTTTCTCCCCAAATCCCCCCAGTACATAGTTGTATATTTTAGTTGTAGGTCCTTCTAGTGGTGGCATGTGGGACGCTGCCTCAGCGTGGCCTGATGAGCACTGCCGTGTCCGTGCCCGTGCCCAGGATCCTAACCAGCGAAATCCTGGGCCACCAAAGCAGAGCACATGAACTCAACCATTCGGCCACAGGGCCGGCCCCTAATTCACATTTTAAAAGGGCACTCACTGTGTAGTCACCAGGCATTGGGGCCGCAAAGATGAATAAGGCAAGTCCTTGGCAGCAAGGGGCTCACAAGCCCTTGGGGATGATAGTCCTCTTGGTGACTTTAATTTTGAAATTTCCACAAGTCTTCACAAAGGAGGGGTTGCCATGAATGAGAAAAGTAGCTTCCCAGCTTGTCTCCGTAGAGAAAGCCTCCACCCCTGCTAGTTTCCCCACTCACCACTCTCCAGAACCTGGACCACCTGCCTCTCTCCCCCACCGCATGCATACCTGAGAGAAAGACCTGAGAGGCACCTGCGACAAATGGATTATACTTTGATGTGAAGGAGTTTGAAGCAACTGGTACCTCTACCACTATTTATAATTTTAGCCTTTTACTTCTTAATCAAGGAATGAAAATATGAAATACCCCTAATTAAAGATGTCAAAGTGTCAGGAACACCCAGAATTGAAATATGGCTTCTCTAAGGTAAACCTGATCAGGCAAATGTGCCCTGGTGAATGTTAACAACCAGGGGCCGGCCCGTGGCCAAGTGGTTAAGTTTGTACACTCTGCTTGGGTGGCCTGAGGTTTCACCCATTCACATCCTGGGCTTGGACCTAGCACCACTCATCAAGCCATGCTGAGGCAGCATCCCACATAGCAGAACCAGAAGGACCTACAACTAGAATGTATAACTATGTACTGGGGGCCTTTGGGGAGAAGAAAAAGAAGAAGAAAAAAAAAGAAGAAGATTGGCAACAGATGTTAGCTCTGGGCCAATCTTAAAAAAAAAACAACAAAACACTGTTAACAACCAATCCTAATAGGCGGGGGAGAGGCTGTGAACTGTGAAATTTCCCCCACTTCCGGGACTTGGTCTGCCCTTCTCAAACCCCTGCTCTGTCTAAAGTGGCACAGGCCACTTCCCACTTGTGGCTACCTAACACTTAAAATGTGGCTGGTCCAATTGAGATGTGCTGTAAATGTAAAATACAACAGAATTTTGAAGATAGTGTAAAATGTCTATATTGATTACATGTTGAGATACTTGGGATCTACCGGGTTAATATTAAAATTAAGTTCACCTGTTTCTTCTCACTTTTGTAGTGTGGCTACTAGAACATTTACAATCACCATGTGGCTCACATCATGCATTTCTATAGGACGATGCCTGTCTAGAAGCAGAGACCCTCCAGGCATTTCGCCCTGCACACAAGTTCCCCCGCACAGATGCTTGCACATTGTTTATGCTACCCTAGCGTGGCTCTGTTTTTACATTGGGGTGCTCAGTAAATGCTATTGGGAAGAATTAATGAAGTGAAAAGCGAGTCCTCTTTTCCCCCTCAACAGTGAAGTTTGCTACATTTATGTTACCACAGGCCACTTTCACTGAAAGCTGTTCGTGTTGGGAGGGTTGGAAACCAATTGAAAATCACAGAAATGCAACAATTTTATCATTTTTTAATTTTTTTTTTCTAAAGATTGGCCCTGAGCTAACATCTCTTGCCAATCTTTTTCTTCTTCTTCTTCTTCTCGCCAAAGCCCCCTAGTACATAGTTGTGTATTCTAGTTGTAGGTCCTTCTAGTTTTGCTCTGTGGATGCCGCCTCAGTGTGGCTTGATGAGCGGTGCTAGGTCTGGGCCCAGGATCCGAACTGGCAAAACCCTGGGCTGCTGAAACGGAGCACGCAAACTTAACCACTTGGCCACGGGGCCAGCTCCTAAAATTTTTTTAAAAAGAGAGGTGTAAAAAGAAAATTGTTATCAGTCTATCAGATGGATGTTTACAAGAATAATGGGGTGAGGGGCATGGAAAAGAGGAAACAGGTTAATCTTCCTGGAGGGCAATTTGATAATATCCATCACAAGCCTTAATTTGGATTTACCCTGTAGCCTAGAAATTTACCTTCTTGTAGGTTACACCAAGGAAGTAACTGGACAAAAGCACAAATATCTAATTGCATAACTAAAATGAAAATTTAATAATATTGAACAATAGCAGCTAGGTTAAGTACATTAGAACACTAAGTAGGGGCTAAAAACATGGAATGTTCAAGAAGGGAAACAGAAAAGCTGGTTATGATACAGTATGTATGGAATGAACTAAAAAGAATGTCAATTTTTATAAACGTAGAACAACACTGGAAGAACACACACCATAATGATAACAATGACTATTTCTGGGTGGTGGAATAGGTACAGTTTTTCAACTTGCTTACTGGTATTTTCTTTTTTTGCAATGAGCACACATTATGCAATGACACTTTTTTGATGAAGTATGAAAACTATATGCAATAATTTCTTGTTAGCACCATCCAGTCAGTTCTGACTCCTAGCGACCCTGTGTCCTGCACAATGCTCCACGGCTATTCATAGGGTTTTCATGGCTAATTTTTCAGAAGTGGGTGACTAGGTCCTACTTGCTAGTCGGTCTTAGTCTGGAAGCTCTGCTGAAACCTGTCCCCCACGGGTGACTCTCCTGGTATTTGAAATACCAGTAGCATAGCTTTCAGCATCACGGATCCTCCACAGTATGACAACCGACAGACAGGTTGTGTGATTCCCTGATCTGGAAAGGGACCCGGGCCGCCGCAGTGAGAGCGCCAGATCTTAACCACTTGACCACCAGGGCTGGATGCTATGCAATAATAGCCAACGTTTGAGTGCCTACTATGTACAAGGCATTGTGCCACGCATCGTGCTATTTTGCTTTGCGGCATTTGATTTTTAAAAAATCAGGCACCTTCTAGATTTAAACGAGATGCTGGCCAAAAGGCCTGCTTATTAATGCCCAACTGCAATAACAGGACAGACAGGTAAACAAACGGCAATTGCCACGACAAACAGAAGCGATGCCAAAGTCAACATTTTCGCTTGCGTCGGTGCAATAAATCCTGCGGAGTCGACAGCGGATGGCACAGTGCTTGCTCCCTGCTGCACCGCTCAGAGGCGGGGAGGCCCGCGCAGAAGGAGGTACCTTTGTTTATTTGCCCACCTTGGCCAAAGCCTCGTTAACCGCGAGAGGCGACGTTGGCCGGGTTCCCAGAAGCGCCTGATGCACGCCCCTTGGGACAGAGCGTCCAACCCCAGCAGGGTCCGCCCGCGCGTCTCGCCGCCACCCCTCTGTAAGGAATACAGGTGTCCCACGTGGCTCCCACCCCTGGGACGCCCCTCCTGTGGGCCTGCAGCGCCCCCTGGCCCGAGCCGCGCCCGCGCGGGCCAGCAGAGCCGCCCCGGTGTCCGAGGCCCGCCGTGCGCTCGTCCCGCGAAGTCGGAGCCCAGCGCTGTCTCCGCGCTGCAGGGCACGCGCATCCCGCCCCCCGCTAGCGACCTCGGAAGGAGCGCCGGTTACTCCTTCGCGCTCCCAGGAGAGGAGTCCGCTCGGCCCCCAGCCGCCCCGGCCCGGAGGGCGGCGAGCGTGCGCCCCGCGGCGTTGCGGGCTTTGTTCGGCATTGTGTGCGCTTTGTCGGGGCGCCGCCGCGAGGCGAGGCCCGCGCGCCCCCGGCAGTCGGCGTCCCGGGCAGAGCGCACCTGGCGCGCGCCGCCTTCCGGCTCCCCGCCATCGGCCCGGGAGGGCTCGAGGGCCTCTCTCTCTCGGGAAGGGGCGCGGCGGGCCCGGGAGCAGCCCTTTCCTTGCGTCCTCGGCACTGGAGCGCGGACCGCAGGTAAGGGGACAGGGACTCGGTGGCTGTGGGTGGAGGAGGGAACCACGTGTCAAATCCGACCTGCTTGGCATAGTCATGGGACCCCCTAACCTGGCGCCAGCAGAAGGGGCGCGCCTTTTGCGTAAAGGCTTCGAGGACATGCCCGAACTCCCCCTGACCCCTTTTACAGTTCAGGTGCAGGTGTTAAGATGCCTACCGTGCAGTTTTCTCAGGCAGCTGAGTGCTCCCAGCGAAGTCTCTGCAAGCTGCACCTGAGGGGCCCGCTGCCCTGAGAAACTGGCCGTTGAGCAATGGGAAGTTTGGGGGATTTGTCCTCCCTGGTGATTTCACATACTGGGACACCCTGCCTCCCTCGGGCCAGCTGACCTAGCTCTGCTTCCTGCACTTCTGCCCAGGGCTCGGCTCTTGGCCACCTGCTGGGACCGTAAAAGAGAGGGTCTCAAAATTACACCTTTGAAACTTGCTAGGGGGCATAGATTTAAAGACATGGTGGGCACCCAGGCAGAAGAGAGGAAGGCACCTTGCTGCCGTTTCACTGAAGAACCAATGGCTCTCCAGCTTAGAGGGGCCTTTCAATGGGGACACCATGCAATGTGTTGGTGTCTTGGAACTTTGAACGGTTTTCAAATTACGAAGTTGTCTTTTGTGGAAATCCAGCTCAGAGCCATTTATACTTATACTTGATGGTGTAAGGATTTCCCAGACTAGGTCCCCAGGCAAACCCCAAAGGGCCAGGGGGATTCCTTCCTTCATCATCCCTGTCTGTTTGACTGAAAACCATCAATGACAGATATATTTTTCTTTAAATCTGGTTTTTGGTCTGTCATCCGAAACTTAGAGTAGCTATTTCCCCTCCCGCTCAATAGGCTCGAGTCCCCTGGAATGAACCAGTCAGATGCCTATGTTTTTACAGATGAGGAAACTGAGACTCAAAGAAGGTGGAAGACTGCTTGAGGGAAAATGGGAGAGTCTGCCAGGAACCCGATCTTTTGGGTTTTAAAGGGCTTCATAAACAGCAGGGTCATTAATTGTCAAGTGATGGCATTGGAGATAAACAAGTGGTGAAAATGTAAAAGCCTTTTCTTAAGCATGCCTGCACCATGTGTGCATCTTATGGAGCATTTCCGTTACCTCCCCAACACCTGGGACAGTGCTGGGCACAGGGCAGATGCTTAATAGTTTTTATTGAACAAATTAACTTTCATGTAATTGTATCAGTGGAAGGGTCAGCAACACGATGAGGTGTTTAAGGACAATGGTCCTCAAACTTTGGTAGTCGACAGATCAGTGAAAAAAATTAATTGTTTTAATTGAGAGGACTGTAACAGAATTGCTAATTTATTTCATCCCACAAGGATATATATAATGTATATGTGTATGTTTTTTTGGTAAGCAAGATTGTCCCTGCTACATCCATGCAATTTTTCCTCTGTTTTGTATGTGGTGCACCACCACAGTGTGGCTTGATGAGTGGTGTGTAGGTCTGCGCCTGGGATCCCAACCGGTGAACCCCTGGCCTCCAAAGCAGAGCACACAAACTTAACCACTACACCACCAGGCCGGCCCCAAGGATATTTTTTTAAAATAGAACAAATCCCTCCTATAATCTACCAGGCTACTGGAGATCTCTTAGGGACCCTGCACAAGGGAGGGTCTATCCCATGCAATACCCCCACGTCAGCATCACCCCAGGCCAGAGACCTGGGACGGCTGAGTACCATCATTCAGGTTGTATTCCTTTCCTTTAGTTTACCCGTTCACCTTCTAAACAGCTCCAGCCGGCTTCCTCTTCCTCTCCCACCCACAGCATTACCTGCCAGGCTACCCTGTGTATGATCACTGTTCTCCATCCCTCGCTTCCTTTCCTGATCCTGAGTTCCTTCTCTTGAACTGGACTTCTCTGATCTCCACTTAGGAAACTGCCCCTGCCCAGGCATCGTGGTCTTGTGTGACAGTGGCAACACCTTTTCCAGGGAAATAGGATGGGCGATGCCACCCTCATTTTCGAGAGAAGGAAATTGAGTGTCTGAAGTGAAGGAATTTACCAGAGAGGCTCATGCTCAGGTCTCCTGACGTACGACGGGTTCTTTTTCCATTCTGTCTGTGTCCTGTGCACTTCTTGTCATGATCAGGCTGGCCACATCGGAAGACCTGGGCCTGATGCCAAGCTTGTGATTTACTAGCTTTTTGACCTTGGGCCCCAGCTTCTCCAAGACCATTTCCACATATGTAAAAATGGAAACGATCATGTCTACCCTATAAGGTTATGAGTGTCGTTAGATGAAATTAATATGTTAAATGTAATGATAGGCTCTTAACATCGTGCATTTAGGAAGTGTTTTTCCATTAGGAGGGCCTTTCACACGCGATTTCATTGGATCTACAAGACTGGTTGAGTCTGAAACTGAGATTCATCCCATTTGACAGATGAATGAACTGAGGCGGCGGGGGGGGGGGGGGGGGTTGTTGTTGGCAGTCACGTAGCTGGTTAGAAGCAGAGCTGGTCTGGAATTCTGTCTCTGGACTTCCAGTCCTGTGTGCCTGCTTCCCAGAGTGCCACGGCAGTGAATTTGGGTCCTGTACAACTTAAATAAAGGATTTTCAAGTATCATCAAAACGAAGATCAAAATCTCTTCTGGCTAAAAATGATGCTTAGCAGGTGTGGCGAGTGCGGGAGGCCCTGCGATTTATGCCTCTCCACCCAGCTTTCTCCCCAGCCATCCAGGGAATCCACACGGCATGGTGCTCATCCCTTGGTGCTGACTTCTGGTTGTCGACCATTGGGTTCTGAAAATTTGTGATTCTTTTAGGCAGCTGGGGGAGTTGGGGTGGGAGCATGATTTTCCCCGAGCAGCTTGGAAAGCGCTCGCCCTGCCGTATCAAACTGGAGACGTGTCATCCACTTCCCTGGACTCTCTGGGCCTGAGCCAAGTGTTTCACCAAACGGACAAGGAAGACAGCAGGGGCTTCCTGGCCCAAGACTTTTACCTCCGATTTTCACGTCTTCCTGTTCAGGTGTTGCCTGTTCTTATAAAGGGCTCAGATTTCCATCCCGCTGCCTGAGAGAAGGCTGCCAAGCCCTAATCTAATATTCGGGGTTGGAATTGCATTTTCTAAGGAGTGGAAGTGGTTTCCATTTTCACCCTGCACTCGTTTCATTTCCGATCATAGAGGAGAAGGCGGGCATTGTGCTGCAAACTTGCCTTCAGCTATCGCCAGTCTGGCCCTTCTTTTTCAAAAGTAGCCTTGTTTCGGCCCTCGTTTCTTCCTGTGTCTTGGGAAATGCAAGTCCCGAGTGCAGTGTTTTGTGGCGCCCTGGAGCAAACCTCGCTCACCTGCTGTCCCAAATGTGGCCGGTGCCGCGTGGAATGAGGATTTGAAGACAACAATCAGATGAGAGGTTTGGAGGGCGGAGGGCATCTCTCCATGTGTGAGAACCCCAGAGGCCAGGAAGAAAGTGTGGGATTAGCATGAGTAATGGAACAGAAAGGAAGAAATGTGGTGAGCCAGGTGTCCTGTAATGGAAAAGGCTTGACAAGGTCTACCTGGGAACAAATCTGTTTCTGCCCCTGGGTTGCAGACTGCTCCTGACTACTTTGTACAAAAATGCAGAAAGCTCTGGAAATCTTCTCATGTTAGGTACTCAAGTTTGGGAGTTGCTGGCAGGTTATTACCTGGGTGGAAAACTGCAAAGGGCAGGATTTCGAGTGGCAGATTTTTCATGATCTTTCTGTTCCTCTATCCTGATCCCCAGGATCAGGAACTGACAGGTTGAACAGATTACTGGGAGGCCAGAATGGAGTCCAGTGCATTTATTAGCTGTGTAACCTGGGGCCAAACACTTAACTTCTGTATGCTTCAGTTTTGTCATCTGGAAAGTGGGGATAATACACTCTGGCCGGCTGTGCGGATTGGGAGAGAGAAGACCCTTGAGATTGGAGTCGGGTGCTAGGCACGCAGTAAAAGCTCGCTAGATGGTAGTAGCTGTTGATTTTTACTGTGGAATTTGTCCTTTTCAAAAAGTTTTCAGACGTAGGATCGTATTTAGAATGTGGAATTAGTATTGCAAGAAAGTTTTGATAAGTGAGGAGGGGGAAATAAGCTGCACATTTGAGATGATTGGGTGGGAAGAGATGGTAAAGAGTGCTATTAATACTTTACCAGCATCGAAATAGCATTAGTTTCACTTATCTTGGTATAAAAAAAATACAGTGAGCACAAAGGTTTGTCTGGAAGCATCCCTCTGGCCCATCAGTGGTGGGCATGATAGTATTTATTTTGTACAGCAAGCGCGTATTTCACCTACTGCGTGCTGGGCGCCCACAGCTGGGGCTCCAACAGAGACTAAGATGCAGGCAAGATAAACATCTCAGCAGGCAGTTTCAGTGTGGGCCATGACAATAGACCTTGTGTTTCCGGGACAGGGGAGGGAGGTGCTGCTGAGGTCCCAGAGCCAGCCCCATCTGATCCTAACACGTATGAGGAGGCATTGGACTTCTTGCATCGATTTGCGGGTTGCCAACATAAGTTTTGTTCTAATGAGCAGAAACTTAGGTGACTCAGGAAAACATTCACCTGGGCAAGCAGAGGCACATAGCAGAGCCAGGTGAAGGCACTTAGGTTTGTCTCCTAGCGGAGGGAGGGAGCCTGTGTACTGAGTGCCTTGCTATGCGGCAGGGACCTTCTGTACTTCCACCTTGTCCTCACGGCAGCCTGGGGAGGCTGCTGGCACCCTGGTTTTATAACAAAGTAACAGGTCTGAACCTTGGAGTCCTGCATGTGCCCAAGGTCAGAAGCTGTGACGTCAGAAAATCATCCTGGACCCAAAGACTACACAGCATTGAGAAGTCCTTTACCTCTGCCCTGCACGGCCCCTCGGCCCCAGGCCTCGCCCCTGCCTGGCCCCCAGGCCGCAGGTGGGGACTTGTCCTGCATCCCTTGTGTAGACTAAGAGGAAAGAAAATATGTCCCTGGGGGAAAGGAAAGTGGGGAGTCAGCCTTGCTGGCACCCGCCCAGCTGGAAGCCAGCAGGAAGCCCGTCGGCCTCTCAGCTAGCCCACATCCTCTCCGTCTACCTTTCTCCCTTTGATTGTGTCTGGGAAGCCCCTGACTTCCTTGCTCTTGCAATATTGACTCTGTAGTTTTCACTGAGATTAGGGGAAGCCATGAGCCTCTTAGTTATGTGAAACAAAAGGACACTCAGCTGGTTGGGACACTTGATTCAGTTTGTTTCAGAAATATTTCAAAATCCGACGAGCTGAGTAAGGTCTCACCATCATAGGTCTGTGATGGAGGGGAGACCATAAGGGGATGTTTAAAACCAGAAGACACCTTAGCAGCATCTGGTCCACCCTCCTCCTTTTGTAAGTGAGGAACCACAGCCTCTCATGGGGTCACATGGCATCGGATGAGAAGCGGGGCCCTGGACTCTGGTGCAGGCTCTCTGCCACCATGGGGCAGGTGTGACCCCTGCCTGTCAGTAGTCACTTATGGGTGTGCCAGCTCAATGTGGATGGAGTTCTGAGCAGTGGCTCTAGAAGCAGCATGATTAGAGGAAATCTCATTGAATCAGGAGCTCGAGACCTGCGCTGTGGGACTGCCCAGGACACCTCCCCTTCTGAGCCTCAGTGACCTCATCCTTCATCCACTGAGTTTCCTCTTTAATTTCACACCATATTGTGAGCTCTTCTCCCCTAGCTCCTGCTCCCTGAGGGTGGGAATGCAGGCTTAGGGGTAAGCACTGTCCCATGAAAGCACCCCCACCCCCACTGTTTATTCATATGTCCTGCAATTCCAAGTAACTGGCAATAGCACCTTTATGAACATGAGTGGGCCATTTTAATCTTTTCCGCAAATTAAGAATCTACATTTCCTGGGTGACTTTGATTTTCAAGGCAGCTGTTGCTCTCAGCGTGCTCAGCACATCCTCTGAATTCGGAGTCTGAGTTCTGTTTGGTTCCTGCAGCTGGCAGGTGTGATTTCAATGCCTGGCAGAGGTGGTGGAGTGCGAGTTCCTCTAACAAGTAAGAGAATTCATTTTAGTGCAGGGTAAGTTCAAGGCACTTCGGTGAGCTGCTAAAGATGGCCAGGAAGCTTCTGCTGTGTATTTTGGAGAAGTGGCATCCCCAGTGGAGGCGGGGAGGTCTGAAGCCCCAGGATACATAAATGAAAGCTTGGTGCTCCTGCCTTGTGATCCGTGTTCTGAGATGCAGAAGGGTGGTGCTTATCTAGGATGTTAAAGGGACTTTTCCCAGCCGCGTGCATCAGGTTGGAGTGAGTTTCCCCGATGCGGCCGCACTCTTGGGTACCCCACGCAGTGACTGACACTTCTCCTTCTGCCTTGCTCTAGAACCCGGGGTTCCCCTGGCGTCCTGCAGCTCTTCCCTTCCATATCTCTGCCCAGGATTCTCTCCTGAATGCGTGTCAGTGCTACGTGTTTACTGGAAGGAAACTTTAGTAAGACCTCCATGTGGCATTGCTTTGTTCTTCCAAGTCTTTTCTTTTCTTTTTCCCCTTTTATTTATTTATTTATTTATTTTTTGAGGAAGATTAGCCTTGAGCTAACTACTGCCAGTCCTCCAAAAGACTCTGAGGAAGCCTGGCCCTGAGCTAACATTGTACCCATCTTCCTCTACTTTATATGTGGGACGCCTACAACAGCATGGCCTGCCAAGCGGTGCCATGTCCGCACCCGGGATTCAAACCGGCGAACCCCGGACCACCAAGAAGCGGAACGTGCGAACTTAACTGCTGTGCCACCGGGCCGGCCCCTTCCAAGTCTTTTCTTAATGGGCAAATTCAATGCAGAGAAACCGTAGGCTGAGATCTTGAATGTATTGGATCCCAAAGGGCAAAAAATAGAATTTCTAGAACCTATTGTTAAGATATTTTTAGATTTTTCCCTGCTAAATTATACTGGGGAAAAAGTCTGAATTTCATTCTGTATGACCCCTTTCAGTTCTTGTGCTACAGGTACACTTGCTAAAACATTGGACTGTTTGAATTGTGTGTCAACTCTTTGTGATTCAAATGATAATAATGGTAATAATGCATTTCTTGGGCCTCACAGCTAAAATTAGAAGTAAACCTCAAGTCTGTGCCCTTATGGGATCAGAGATACAGTTTATAGTTTCTTATTAAAAGCTCTCACTTTCCACCCTAGGACCTCCCTCAAAAACTGATAAATAGGGGGCCAGCCCCATGGCCAAGAGGTTAAGTTCGCACTCTGCTTCAGCAGCCCAGTGTTCGCTGGTTCAGATCCTGGGTGCCGACCTACGCACTGCTCATCACACCATGCTGTGGTGGCATCCCACATAGAAGAACTAGAATGACTTACAACTAGGATATAAACTATGTACTGGGGCTTTGGGGAGGAAAAAAAAAGAGGAAGATTGGCAACAGATGTTAGCTCAGGGCCAATCTTCCTCACCAAAAAGCATACCTTCCAAAAAAAAAAAAAAAAAAACAGAGAAAAATAATTGATAAATATCAGACCCCATGGATCTGAATTTTACCCTTACTATAAGCATTATTAGGCAATAAAAACTTAACAAAAAGACTTTTGTTTCTTCCTCTGCCACATTACTGTTTATAAATAATTTAGAAAGTGCAGATTTGGTGACCTGCTAGGTTTCAGAAAATGAAGACATTGAAATCAAGTCTTCAGCCTGTCAGAGTCTAGCTCCTCATGAAGACGTGGAGATGCTGAGAGGGAGGGACGTCCCCTAAGGTCACGTGGCTAGTCAGGGCCCAGGCCCAGCCAGGACACAGGTCTCCTGCCTGGGTCGCCTGGACAGAGCATACCTTGCTAGAGTCTGAAGGAGCTGGGGGTCTGGGAGGGGGGGTGTCTGAAGATGTTAGACTGTCCTTTAAAATCAGAGTCACGGGAGTAAAGTCTTCTGTGGCTTTTTGGGAATTTGCGTCAACTCCAGTCTACTGTAGTCATTATGGCGAGGAGGGGTTTCTAGAGTCCTATTTGTGCCCTGGGAAAGGCTGAGTAGTTGTCCTCTTGTTTGGGGGTGCGACTTGGGGACCTCACAGAGCTAATTGCTGATGCTTTTTTTCTTGTCCTGGCCCTCTAGTTCTACCAACATGCCCTCTTTCCTGTTGCTGGAAGCCATCTGCGTTTTCCTGTTTGCCGGAGGTAAGTGTTTTTGGTGGGGGGGTAAGATGTTGAGGGGTTTGGTTTGCCTCACATCCTGTCGATTTTAACTTCTAAAGGTTTCTTGAATGCATCTGTATCTCTCCACTCCACAGTCACCTGCCTAGTCTAAGCCCCATCATCTCGTGCTTGGACCACTGCAGTATCCTCCTGACTTGTGTCCCTGGGCCCTCCTGGTCCCACTCCAGCCCATTCTCCACACAGCAGCCATTTCAAAATGCAAATCTGATCATATCTAGACCCCTCTCCACTCCCACCCCGTGCCTGAAACTTTTAAGTGATGTCCCATTGCTCTTAAGAGGTCTGATCTGACCCATGCCACCTCTCATCCCCTCCGGTGCCCCCTCCCTCCACCCTTTGTGCTGCAGCCTACACTCCATCCAGTCCTGCCCAGCATCCTGGCTCCCTCTCACCTTAGGGGTTCTTGGTTATCGTGGCCCCTCTGCCTGAATCACCCCCTCACCCCAACACTGCTGCCCTGATAAACTCCTAATCATTTTCGGCACCTAGCACATTTCCTGCTGGACCCCCAGATCAGATCAGATCCCCCTATTAAAACCTCCTGTAGCCCTGAGTCCCTCTGCTGTGTAACATGTAACACAGGCATGAGTTTACTTCCGTGTAAAACTTAAAAATTAGTATCCATCTTCTCTACCGGATGTAAGTTCCGTGAGCAAGAGACTCTGCATATATTCTTTATTCACTACTGTGTAATCTCGGTGCCTAGCGCTGTGCTTGGCACCTGGTCGGTGCTCAAGAAGTAGATTAATGAATGAATAACGGAGCCAATCAGTTTTCTTGTTACTTCCCACTCTGTCCCTTCCAAGTTCTAGCCTCTTTGAAATATGAGATGGTACAAAGGAGTAGGTGTGTTTTGCGGATTGTTGTCCCACAAGTAAGAACAAGTGGACTGGGTGACCAGCTGTCCGAGGCTGGCTCAGCATCCTCTTGTGGACTCTGAGATTCTCTCTTGCAATTCCTCCCTCGTCTGTGTTTCTGTGAGTAGGTGTACTCTCTCTCTGCTGAGTTGGCTGCTGTCACCCGCCTATTCCCCAGAGCAGGAGAGATAAGAGAGGCTGGAAGAAGGGGGTGGTTGCTCAGCCCACCTACTGTCCCCTCTCTGAGCCATACAGGTGGATGAAGGAACACAGTAGCTTCATGGCCAAGGGACTGGGGAGAAATGAGACGTGTTTGAGGACAGGGTTTGAATACAGTCCCTGGAGGCCCAGGCCCAGTAAAATTTCTGTTCCAGCTCATTGTGGAACTTCACCTTCTGTGACCCTGTCCAGTTTGCAGAGCACTTGATCTGACCGTTGCTGGGTTGTGCAGATGAGGCAAGGGAGGCCAAGAGAGGCTGTGTGACTTGTCCTGGGTCACACAGCTATTGGTAGCAGAGCTGGGATGACAACCCAAGTCTCCTGACTCCTGGGCTGGCCCCACCACTCTGGGCTCATCTAGGGCAGACAAGACTGTACAGGAATGATCACCCTAAGCCTTGGCTCTCTTATCTGTAAAGTGAAAGGGTTTGATTAGATTAGTGATTCTCAATCCTGCCAGCTCCTTAGCACCACCCATCCCCCCAGGAGATTCAAGTTCTGGAGCCCAGACAGGTGGTCTTCAGAGGTGTGGGCTGAGTTGGTTAGAAGAGGAAGCAGCTATCACACATTCCTCAGCTCCCTGTTCCAGGGGAACCTCTGCAGAGTCCTGAGGTGACTTCACAGGGGAGCAGTGGCGATGTCAGTCAGGCACAAGGGGCTCACCTGAAGCCCGGCACCCCCGAGCATGTTGTACAGGGAGGTGCATTAGCTGAGTCTCATCCTCGGTGAGTGGTCTCTGGTCCTGGGGATGCTCTTTCCTCCCATCCAGGGGAGACGGCTGGTGTGTCTGCACCTGGAGAATTTGCTGGTCAGACATTTATAAAGGCACAGTGGTTTCCTGCAGGGCCTCTGGGATTCCTCAGCTCCTTTGCCAATGATCTGTGGACGCGGTCAGGAAACCTTAGTGTCCTCCTGCTGTGTGCAGAGAGCTGGGCTGGGCTCTGGAGGGCAGGGGCAAGTGGGGAGCTCCCAGGGGAGCAGCACCACATTATGGGGTGGGCTTCGGGGCCCCCGAATTGGCAGGATCTTGATGATGTCTGAACGCCGTAAAGCAGAAAGCATCTATTTTCTGGAAGATCAGGTTGCTGAATTATTGAGTAACTTCATGTTCTTCTGTTTTGGGATGTTTTTGGATGTGTTGCCCCTGCCTCTGTCCCAACATCTGCCATTTTCTATGGAAGCGGAAGATTTTCTTTTCTTTAATTCAGTCCACTGTCTGTGTTTGTAGTTTATGTGTTGTCTCTGCCTCTGGTGGGAAAACGGCAGTGGCAGTGTCCTAGACCTCATGAAAGCTGTTTGTCTGAAGCTTTTGACTGTGGCACTAATTGCTGGTTCCGCATACTGGCCTAGAACCATGTTCTCCATGAGGAGCGATTGGGGGAGGGCAAATCAGGTGAGCGGAAACTATCTGCTCAGAGATTGGGGCGGCAGCGAGAACCAGAAGCTAGTGTAGTTCTCCCCAGGGAATAGTGAGTGGGGAGGAGCCATAGAGGTGGAGATGGTTGACCAGTAACCTCTGGGGGGGCTGCGAACAGGAAGCATCCCCCCCAGAACCCAATATCATCTTTTGGTGTCCCCCTCCTTGTCACTTTCCTGGCATTTGCAAATCCCCATGAGCGCAACATCCCTGCATGTGTGATTCCCTGCCACCCCCCCCCCCCCCACTTAACCTCTTTCCCCAGCAGCCCCCAAGCTCATCTTCCTTCCTGTGCCCCCTCCCTGGCTTGGCCTGCTCCTGGGCTCTGCCCACCCCAGCTTGGTCTCCTCTGTGCTGACCCACCAGACGTTGGCATTTATAAAGCATTGGCATGTGTACTTCTGCCACCAGATATCGACCCTTTTCACATTATCCCTCCAAGTGGTCCCCTCTTTGCCTTCAGGACTTGCATCATGGTGGGCTCGCTGTGTGGCAATCCTGGGGCTTCCTGGCATGTTATCCCTGCCCTCAAAGTCTATTTTTTAAATTGTTAATGATTGCTCAGGTACCATTATTACAAATTAACTGGCTTTCATATAAGAGAACAAAAGACTCATCCATGAACAGGAAGTAGGAAACCCCAAAACTTTTTAGCCCTTGTTCATAGTCATTGCGCTGAATGAATATATCAAAGTTTACTCAAAGTCCTGACTCTTTCGATTTTTTTTTATCTCCAGCATTCCTCTGTCACAAATAACATTGAAGGGAGTGGCTTGATGCATGTTTTCCCTTCTCTGAAATTGTTTTTCCTTCAGATCAGTTTCCAGGTGCAATACTACAGGGCCAAATGGTGTGAGCGTTTTTATGACTCTCAATTCATTTGGCCAAATTGTTTTCCAGAAGGGTTGTACCAATTTACAGTGCCACCACTGGAAAGTTTTTTCCTGATTTAATGTTTCCCCAATTACATTTAAATTTAGAAGTTGATCATCTAAATTTCATGTTTACAAGGGTATCTTGAGGCGGCCTAGTGGCATAGTGGTTAAGTTTGTGCACTCTGCTTCAGTGGCCCGGGGTTCACAGTTCAGATCCCAGGTGCAGACCCACACAGCACTCATCAAGCCGTGCTGTGGCAGCACCCCACATACAAATAGAGGAAGATTGGCACAGATGTTAGCTCAGGGACAATCTTCCTCACCAAAAAAAAAAAAGGCAGGGGGATATCTCATTGTTTGAGTTAGAGGATTCTGTCACCTGTTTGAACATTTCCCCTTGTGCTTTTCTATGAATTCACTTTCTTCTATGAATTGTCTGTTCACATCCAAGGTTAATTTTTATAGCAAGGAGCTGCACCCCAGAGACACACCCAGTTATTATGCCTAACTAGGGGCAAAACTCATCAGAATCCCAGGCTCTCTATATCCCTTCTGTATATATTTTTAATTTTTCTCTTCAAAATACCCACATTTAAGTACAAAGATCCCTGATAGAAGTGGGGCAGTTGGGGGTTTCTTTATGCTATCCCTCTGGTAATTTTTGAGATACAGTATCATTGAATTCCTCTTTTCTCTCTTTTTACCTGGTCACATATTGTGGAAACTAAGATGCCTCCCCTCTCTGCCTTGTCATGACTCCTTCTGGTGTTTTCTCTCCCAGTGCCCCCGTCCCTGCCTCTTCAGGAAGTCCACGTGAGCAGGGACACCATTGGGAAGATTTCAGCCGCCAGCAAAAGTAAGCCCACGTTTTACTCAACCCTCCAAACGCCCATTTCAGCCTCTGCATGACAGACCCAAGGGAAGCCATGTTACTCCAGACAGTTTCTGCTCCACTCCCATCTTCCTTTCATGCTGTGACCAGAGTCATTTTCCCCAAACGGGTCTGACCAAGTCCTTCTCCTGGGTAAAAACTCTAGGTAAATCTCTGTTGCCAAATTTCTTGGCCCATGCTTGGAGGTCTTCTGTTACATGACCCCCATCTACCCAGCCAGCCTTGTCTGCCGCCATGTTCCTTCCTCTTCCACCCTAATTAGCATCCCCTCTACATGCTCAAGCCACGCCAGCCCATTCCCAGAGGCTCTGTGTGTCCCTTCCTTCCCTCTCTGGTGAAATCCTCCTCAGTCGCTGCCATCTGGGTGTCACCTTCTCGCTGTGCTGCTCTGACTCGCTGGTGTGTCTCTGACTTCACTCTCTTACATGAGAGGTGAGGTGGTAGGGTATGGACTCTGGACCCAGACAGCCTGGGTTTGATTCTCAGCTCCACTTCCTGGTACTTTGACCTTAGGAAAGTTACTGAATTACCCTGTGCCCTGCTTTCTTCATCTCTCTAGTGGAAATAAATATCGCAAATCTGCTTAGGACTGGGGGTAGGGGTGGGGAGCTAAGTGATAGCTCCAGGGTACAGGGTTTCTTTTGAGGTGATAGAAAATGTTCTAAAATTGAGCTGATGATGGAATGTGTCTGTGAAGATACTAAAACCCACTGAACTGTTTACTTTAAATGGGTGAATTGTATGGTATGTGAATAATAGCTCAATAAAACTGTTAAAAATTTAAAAAATAGTCCTCTGTCTCAGGGTGGTTGTGAGAATTAAATAAATTAGTACATAAAGCGTTTGAAGCAGCAGCTGGCCTGTAGGAAAGATGCTGTCAGTGCCGGCTGTTACTGCTTGAACTCTTGGGTGACGTGGCCTCATGTACAGGGTGCCTGGCTGTGTCCTGGACTAGATCCTGGGCCCCGAGGGCTGGACCACGGCTCTTCAGTGTCCCTCACTGGCCGGGTAGCTCCTCCTCTCATATGGCTCAGTTAGTGTTGTTGAAATAGACTCTTCCACTAATGCAGGCTTTCACCTAAGGGCCTGTTGACGAGCATCATGCCCCTGGTGGGGGTGTGCTTCCCGCTGCAGAAGAGGGCTGCCTCTGGCCGGGACTTTGTGCAGTGTTATTTCCCGCATCGTGCTAAGAGGAGCAGCAGCCTGACCCGCCACAGGGTCGTTTCCCACTCCACTCTGCTTTGGGTGAGAGCCTATTGGGACCAGACTGCAGGGAAGCTGGCCGCCACCCTCTGTCCCACTCTCCCCTAGTGATGTGGTGCTCCGCTGCCGTGGACATCCTGTTCCTGATGGATGGTTCGCACAGCGTCGGGAAAGGGAGCTTCGAGAGGTCCAAGCACTTTGCCATCACGGTCTGTGACGCTCTGGACATCAACCTCAAGAGGGTGCGTGCAAGTCTTGTCATCTTTGTGTTAGGGCATCTTTGATTGCAAGTAACAGAAACCCCGTCTTCAGTAGAAGAGGGCATTTCCTGGCTTGTGGATCTGGGAAGACCGAGGGGGTGAATCCTAGTTCCAGGCACAGTGGGATCCAAGGGCTCAGTCCCTCTCTTTTTCTCCTCCTCTCAATTTTGCTTTCCTCAGTTGGCTTCCAGGTAGGTTTTCCTCACATAGCAGAGTGCCCTGCATTGTCCATCAAGCTAGTGACCCCAGGGAAAAGAAAGTGGACTTCTTTCCCTGTAGATCTGGCAGAAGTCCTGGGGAGGGCTCCGATTGGGCAGGCATAGGTCACATGATGATCCCTTGACCAATCACAGTAGTCAGAGGGAAGAGATTGTCTGGCTTGACCTGGGTCCTGTGCTCATCCATGTTCTTAGGGTGAGGAGTGAACACGTGGATTTGGTTTCCTGCTAGAAAGAGAAGTTGCATTTGTGGAACAGTGGGAAAGGGAAAGCATGCTGGCAGACAAAAACTATAACTACCTCCAAAGACTAGAGTCTTAATATGAAGCACAGCTCTTACCCTCTGTGTTCACTTGAAAGGAACTACTCATGCCTGAGTGAATCCAGCCAGTATATTCATTTCTTGTTCTTTGTTACTACAGTAGCAGGTCTTAAATATCAGCAGAGTGTGTTAGCTGTAGCTCTTGTGGCTGAAAGGGGCATTTTGAAACAACTCAATAGAAAAACAGGCAATGAACGCAGACAGACAGTTCCCAGAAGATGAACCACAGGTGGCCCTTAGACATATGAAACAATGCCCAACCACCTCACTCGATGTAATAGCAAATCTCTGGCTAATAGACCATTTTTCACTTACTGGATTAGCAAAAATCCAAAATTTGGTGACATGCTCCCCTGGCAAATCTGTAGGAAACTGGCATTCTCATGCACTGCTGGTGGAAGTGTGCAGCCTCTCTGGGTTGGAATCTGACAGTGTCCATCAAAATTACAAATGCTTGGACCCTTTGACCCAGCAATTTATTCTACAGATACTCCCACAGATGCAAAATAACCCACATATGAAGTCATTCATTGCAGTGTGGTCTGTAATCGTAAAAGATGTCAGACAACCCAAATGCCCATTCCCAGGGACAGGTAAATCCATTATGGTGCATCCATATGATGAAACGCTGGGCTGTTGCAGAAAGTGAATGAGGACGCTCTCTGATATGGAAAGACACCAAAACAAATTAAGTGTGAAAAGTAAGGTGCAAATGGCGCATATGTTACTTTTTATGAAGAATAAAGGAAAGTGCACAGAGTGGATATTGGTGTTTGCTTGTATTTGCATGAAGCGACTCTGGAGGGACTTGTGAGAGGCTAAGAGCAGTGGGGAGGCTGGGAACCGAGTCGGTGAGGTTCAAGTCCACAGGGAGACTGATCGGTATAGATGTTTTTATACTTTATGGATTTTGAACCATGTGAACCTACTCAAAAATCAAATGAAAATTTAGGAAGGGCATTTTGATCTGGAAAGCCATAATTACTTGAATTAGAGACTAGACCCATACAGGTTGAGGAAGGAAGTGGTTTTCCAAGATGACATTCCTGGGTTAATCCTAGAAAAACCTCTAGGATTTAGGAGCAAAAGTGTCTTTTAATGAGGGCCAGATGTTCTCGAGAACAGCATGTCCCTCGGGGAGAGTAGGCACTGTACCCTGGACCTCAGGCAGTCTCGCACAGTTATCCAAAGACACTGTCGCAGATGTCGTTTCCTCTAGGCCTGAGCAGCCTGGAAGTTCCAACCGTGAAATCACCCCATCATAGACTCTAAAAGGGCCGGGGCGAAGGACTGCTGAATCTCCACCCTCCTCCAAACAGGGCTTGCTTTTAAAAGGAAGTGATTCCCTGTGAAGTTTCACTAGTTACTCATGGAGGAAGGCGCCATAAAGATCAAACACTGTTGACCTTGGCATTGATGTAGTATGTCCTGAAATGGGTGGCCTGGAGACCCCTGTGGATGGCAAGTTGGGAGGGAAGAGCTGTGTGGATTATTGGAGAATGTTTTACAGACGAGGAAACAGGCTCAGAGAGGCTAAGTGACTGCCCAGGGTTGCACAGCAATCTTAGAAGAGAGCTCAGTGTGGAAGAACTGGGGCTCTTGACTTTCAGCCCAGGAATGGCTCCATTAGATCATTTGTCTCTCCTAGTGGGTAGCACCTGGGCTAGGGTGAGGTGGTGACGCTCAGAATTCGCACCCTGCTATCACATAGCAAGTGGACAGCTGGCAACACGGCATTGTGTGTGTGTGTGTGAGAGAGAGAGAGAGAAAGAGAGAGAGAGAGAGAGAGAGAGAGAGAGAGAGAGAGAGATTCCATCAGCACCCTCAGAGAGGGTAAGAAAACTATGACAAAAGACTTTATGGCTGGTGCTGTTGGGGGCAGCTATTTCGACCCACAGGTCCCCAGAGTTCAGGGAACTTAATTTCAGTGTTGCTGGCCCACGTCTAGAATGTGGCATTAAGTTCTGGAGGCTGATTTTTAGGCTAGAGATTGGCAAGCCAGACGGTGCCCACCACAGGTAGTCAGGACAGTGAGAGGCCTGGAAACCTCCATATATGGGGGAAGCTGATTCTCATTTTCACGTGAAAGAGGATACAGAGTGGCTCTGTTTTGCTAAGAGGGCAGAATGCAGGTGGTCAGGTGTTATATTTGGGCTTGACCTGAGAAAAACTTTCTCCCGGCAAGACTTGTTCAGCCAAGGAGCTGGGTGTCTGTTTCAGGGAGCGAGGGGGCATCTTGACGTCCGGGGGCTCCGATGGCCTTGCTGGGATGCTGGCCAAGGGCTTTTGCATTTGGGCGATTTCAGAGGGTTCGGTCTGATTTGTGGCTTCAGGTTTCATGTTTTTGCTGCTGCGTTTTCGTGTCGTCTTGTTATCTCCACATACAGGGGATTTGATCTGCATCTTATTTTATTTTCTGTAACTTTAGTTGTCGGGGAAGAAATTTTCAGGTAGCTGTAAATTAAGGCTTTTTATGGGTGCTTTGTTGTTGAGGTGAATTTAAGGTGTTTGAAGTCTTCCTCTCAACACTTAAAAGCTGAGAAGTTCACTTCCTGGCTCTAATAGAATGATTGGGGCTGACTGATTGCAGCACGGTAAGACATGCTGGCTCCTCAGCGTGCAGTCAACTGAAGATAAAAGGCAACTGTTTGGCTCCCAAACCACCAATTAAATTAAATGCCTTAACTACTTACTCAAGCTGTTTCCGTCGTGTTTTGTTTTGAAGTTGTGTCCTTCCTGTTTAACCCAAGTAAACACGCCCAGCTGTTGGTCTCAAGGGACTTTTTTTTTAAACTAATTCATTCATTCACATGGTTCAGTAAGAAGACTTTCAATGAAAAGTACTCTTCCCCTCACACATTTTCCATTTGCCCAGTGCCCCTACCTGCTTCCTTGAGTAACCTTGCAGAACTGCTTCATGAAAATATAAGCAATATGAACATATATATTCTTTTTTTTTCTTTTTTTTTTCTGGAGGAGGATTAGCCCTGAGCTAACATCTGCCGCCAATCCTCCTCTTTTTGCTGAGGAAGGCCGGCCCTGAGCTAACATCCATGCCCATCATTCTCTACTTTTTTTTTTATGTGGGACGCCCACCACAGCACAACCCGCCAAGCAGTGCCACGTCTGCACCTGGGATCTGAACTAGCAAACCCCAGCTGCCGAAGCAGAACGTGCGCACCCAACCACTGCACCACCAGGCCAGCCCCTGAATATATATTCTTATTTTCCCCTTTTTTACACAAAAGGTAGCATACGATGCACCCTGCTCTATCCCTGGCCTTTTTCTCTTTGCATTATCTTGGAAGGCTTTCCACATCTAGCTTTATAGGTAATACAGATATTAATATAGGTACATATTATTTTTTACAGCTGATTAATATTCCATCATAAGAATTCACCAAGGTTTGATTAATGAACCCCTATTGATGGATATTTGCTGTTACCAATATCCTGTGAGCTTGTATTTCACACATGTGGAAGTATGTCTGTAGGGTAAATTCCTAATAGCCCCATCCATTTGTAATTTTCAATAAATATTGACAAACTGCTCTCGATGGATGCTGTAACATTTACGTTCTTATCAACAGTGTTTGAGGACCTGGTTTCCCCCTGCAAATGTTGTATTTGGCTTTTTGCTAAACTGATATAGGAAAATGGCAGCTCAGTGTGGTAAGGTCAAGCATCTTTTCATATATTAAAAAGCCATATGTATATCCTTTTCTGGTGATCTCTGTTTTATCCTTTACCCATTTTTCTGTCAGATTGTTGGTCTTATACATATCAATTCCTAGACACTCTTTGTATATTGGGGAAACTAACTCATTGTCTCTGACATGAGTTGCAAATAATTTCTTCATTTTCGATTGCATTATGGTATGTTTTGCTCTGCAGAAGTTTTCTTCATGTAGTCAGATTTATCAGTCTTTCCTTTATGGCTTCTGGAATTTGTCATAGTGGAGTCTTTTCCACTTTGAAATTATGAAGGAATTCTCCCAAGTTTTCTTCTAGAACTTTCATGGTTACATTTTTCACATATAAGTCTTGAATCCCTTTGCAATTTATCCTTTATTCTTTTGCAGATGGCTATCCAGTCGTTCCAATATCACTTACTGACTAGACCCTCTTTTCCCCACTAGTTTGAGATGCCCCCTGTATCACACAGTAAATTCAAGGGAGATTTCAAAAAGGTTGCTCCTCAGAAACTTCTTCCTGAGCTTCTCTACTGCTCTTTTTTCCAGTGTCCATGTCCCTGACTTGCCCATCCAAGACTTAAATTTCTTCCTTGTTAAGATGTCAACAGCTCCTCCTCAGAACTTCCTGTGGGAGGAAAGCCCAGTGGGCTGTGCTCACTGGGAGCAGATGCAGCCAGCTTGGTGTGGCCAGTGCTTTGATCATCTCCCAAGCCCCAGGCTTGCCAAGGGCTCATCAGTGAAGGAATTCAAGGGGTAAGCAAAAGGCAGCATCATTGCTTAAATATGAATCACTTGGCCCATTTGCAATCTTGGCCAGAAGTGGGGTTAGTTATGAGAACAGTAACTGAGAATGTGGTTCTCCAGAGGTTTTGGAGAGCCAATGATGAAGTGCAGGGCTTGGGCCCTTGAGAGGAAACCTAAATGTTGATAGCCATCTCTGCTCTAGCCACACTAGTGTCCTGAGGGTCCACAGAATGACCTGACTCAATTTCCTTCTCCAGTTTTGCAAGCCATTGCATTTTTTCCTATGGCCTCCTTAAGGAGGATGCATAATCTGTTTGGAATCGCCAGTGGCTCTCACTCCCTCCACTATAGAGGAACCTCAGTTCCAGTATTACTTGTTTCAGGTTAGGCTGTTGACTCTGGTCTGGAGAGCTGGTCTTTCCCTAGCATGGCAGGAGCAGGCCTGGAAGGGCTGACCCCCTGCCCCCAACCAAGCACGGGGTGTGGTGGCTGTGGTGAGTGATGAGCGACCAGCGATGATGGCTGTGGTTGGCTTCTGCGGCAGGCCGACTTGGGTCAGCGAGCATTTTCTTGAAGGCTTGTGCTGGCTCCTGAGAAGAAAAATGGTGTAGCTGAGCCTTGTGAAGATCATAGACACCAAGTCCAATGGCCTGGCTCCCCTTCTTACTAGTCCTGGGCCAGATCTGTATCCTCTCTACATTGTAGTTTCTCCAACAGTAATGTGGGTATTAATAGTGCCTCTGTGGAGTAAGTGAAATAATGTGTGTGATTGTGTAAAACTACCTACATCTAGGAGGCATTTGGTACGTGTGAGCACAGACCCTGCCCTAAAGATGCTCACAGCTCAGCTGAGCGAGCTGCCAGAATGGGGGCCGGGGAGATGGAACTGGTGGTTGTCAGTGCAGAACACAAGCAGCTTTGATATTTCCTTCCAGATCCTCCTCCTGGTTTTTGGATCCTTCTTTTAGGGAGAATGGAGAAGAGCCGGCGCTGGTATTTGTTGAGTAGGCAGGAGGCAGGGTCGTTAACCTTTGTCCTCCTCCCTTCTTTCCCCTTAGGAATGTTGTGACTTGACCCCCCTCTCAGGCCCCTGGGCCCTCTGTCTCCTACTGCAGGTCAGAGTGGGAGCGTTCCAGTTCAGTTCCGCCCCTCATCTGGAATTCCCCTTGGATTCATTTTCAACCCAGCAGGAAGTGAAGGCAAAAATCAAGAGGATGGTTTTCAAGTATGTACGATCAGATGCTGCCATGGTTAGGAGGAAGCTATCTGCTCTTAACATCGCTCCAGAGAGGGCTGTGGGCTGGCTGCCAGTGCCCAGCTGTGCACAGTGGGTGATGAGAATTCCCCTCTCAGGGCTGCCCCTTACTGTTACATGGTAATGTCTCAGGTGGGAACTTCAATGCAAGTTGAAAAAAGGTATTTGCTGCTATTGTGTGTAATTGTCACTTACCTGGGAGAAGGCACTAGTGAAGGTGGGACTGGGGTAAAGAGCATGAGGTGCTGGGAAGAACACTGGCTCCTCCTCCCAGTTCTGTCCCTGGTGACCACCGCAGCTTGGACAGTTCACCGTGCTTTTGGAGCCTCGTTTTTGTGGTCTAAAAAGAGTAAGTGCCGTTCTGTTATTGAGAGAGCTTTAAAAATGATGAGTAGCTGTTTATGTGCTCGTACACATCCTATAAATATATGTATGTAGTGGGGTCTTAACTTTCCTCACCAGTCAGCTGATGTGTGTGTGTATATGCACATAGGTCTATACATGTATTTTGTGTATAAATATTTTATATATGTGTGTATTATATATATACACACATAAACATCTAGGTGGATATGAATGTGTTATACACACGCATATATACACATATACACACACACACTGTTCTTCACAAGCCCTCATGGAAGAATGCCTGTCCTTGCCACTTGCCACTCTGATCTCTGGATCCTCTTTGGTTTCTGATGCCCTGTGTGCTAGTGTCCACTGAAGTCCTGCTCAAGAATGTGGTCCCAGCCATTTATGGCCGTCACCTCCAGTTGCAAAGACCCTGAGCTCTGAGGTCCATTTTCCAGCCTCAGGCCTCTATAGGTCTGCCAGTGTGCTCAAAAGGACAAATCCCCACACTGGGCAGGAACTTTGGGGATCCTACAGGCCCCAGGGACCCCCACTGACTTTATTTCAGGCTGTTTATCCCAGCCCTTTCCTCTGCCCATGGGTGCCCTGAACAGAATGAGGGACAAGTCAAAAACAAGAAAGTACAAAAGGAAAAAGCACATTATGTTTCTTAAAATCTGTGTTAGTATATGCTGACCTTTCCTTATTCCCTTGGAGCCTCCAAGCATGGGTTGTATAGAGAACAGTTGTGGCCTCGCTCCTGTATCTTGGGCCCAAACACACAGAGCAGCACTTGTCAGAGTAAGACCTTTGGTTGGAGATCTGGATCAGAATTGCCAAGGGAGTATGGTAACACACAGGTGCCTGGACTCTCCCAAACCCATGGAATCTCTCTCCGGGCCGTGACACTCAGAATCGGCACCTTTACAAGCTCTCTCCCCGCTGCTCCCTGGCCCTAGGACTGTACGTACACACAATAAGTTTTTAAAGCAGCCTTATTGAAATGTCATTTAAATACCATCAAGTCCACACATTTGATGTGTACAGCACAGTGGGTTTGAGTATATTTTCAGAGTTATGCAGCTATGACCATAATCTAAGTTTAGAACATTTTCATCATTCTAACAAGATTTTCATCATCCTAACAGCACATAAAAAGATGCTCAGCATCATTAGGCATTAAGGAAATGCAAATCAAAACCATAAGGAGATACCATTTCATACCCACTAGGAAGGCTAAGATAAAAGAGAATAACAAGTGTTGACAGGGATGTGGAGACACTGGAACCCTCCTACACCGCTGGTAGGATTTGTAAAATGGTGCACCCACTTTGGAAAACAGTCTGGCAGTTCCTCAAAATGTTAAATGTAGAGTTACCATATGACCTGGCAACTCCAAGAGAATTGGAAATATATGCCCCCACAAAAAATTGTACACAAAAACTTGTAATGTCCATAGCAGCATTATTGATAAGAGCCAAAAAATGGAAATAGTGCAAAAGTCCAGTGGATAAATGGATAAACAAAATGTGATATATCCATACAGTGGAATATTATTCAGCCATGAAAACAAATAATGACATGATTCATGCTACACTGTAGATCAACCTTGAAAACTCTCCAAGTGAAAGAAGCCAGACACAAAAGGTCACACATTGTATCATTTCATTTATATGAAATGTCTGGGATAGGCAAATCTATGGAGACAGAGAATCAAGTAGTCATTACCGGGGCTATGGGGAGGGGAAATGGGGAGTGACTGCTAATGTATATAAGCCTTCTTTTTGGGGTGATAAATATGGTTTGGACTTTAGATAGTGGTGATGTGGTACAATGCTCTGAATATACTAAAACCTACTGAATTGTATACTTTAAAAGGGTGAATTTTATGGTATATGAATTATATCATTATTGATATATTTTATTGTTAAAAAAAAAAAAGTACTTTTGGGGCTTCCCCTGTGGCCTAGTGGTTAAGTTTAGCATGCCCAGGTTCAGTTCCCAGGCATGGACCTACACCACTCGTCAGCAGCCATGCTGTGGTGGCGACCCACATACAAAATAGAGGAAGATTGGCACAGATGTTAGCTCAGGGCAAATCTTCCTCAGCCAAAAAACCAAAAAAAAAACAGGGAATCACTTTTGTACCCATTATATACACAGTAACATTTACAGAAGAAAAATAGCCTAAATAAGTTTAGGACTGAAAGTCAAAAACTGTTTGGGTGGCTTCAATTCAAATGACTCAGCCCTGCTCTCATCTGGAAAACTACGCAAATCACAGTGAATTGGTCCAAAAAGGCATTGTAGAGATCACCTCGTGTCTCTTCCAACCCCTTATTTTACAAGGAGGGTACTGAGGTTGAGAAGGAGCAGGTGACTTGGCCAGGACCACAGGGTCAGGCTGCTAGTCCAATAGCCCAACCCGCTGTCCTTTCCCACCTCTCCCCACCCACCTCCCTGCCCCCTCCCCCCCAAACCCCCTAAATAATTAGTTGAGCCTCTTCTCAGCTGTGTTGAAAGTCATACCCAAGGGCTCGAGAGCCAATTATTTATGACCTATGACATCCAGAGATGCATTAAGAATGTGCCAGATGAGGCCACTGGAGGTGGGGAAAGAAGCCTCTTTATGTGTCTGAACAAGGTCACCTCTTCTTTGGGGGCTGTGTAGGGTCAGCACTTGTGCATCCTGTCTGAGAGAGCAAACGAGGCAAGGAGGCAGGCACTGATTTTTTGGCCACAGTTGCAGGGTTGCTGAGGACACTAAACAGTAAGCACGCTATTATTAATCAGAACAGAGGAATGTTGGCCGAATGGGAGCCATGACCTCCCCAGGGCTCTTTACCCTTTTTCTGCAGTGGAGTTTTAAATTCCGGACTCATTAATACAGCTCTCCCCAAAACCCAAAGCACTTGCCTTTCCAGACCAAGGCCATCCCCTAAAACCACCCTGACAACCGCCTTGTTGCTACTTTGCAATATAAAAAATAATACAATCGAACCTTCCAACATCGCACCCTGTGCTAACGTAAAATCAGATAAGCATAGCCAGCAATTGGCTCCCGAATGCCTGGAACTCCTGGCCAGCTGGCTGTGCAGGGAGCTCAGTCATTCCGTTAATCTCACAATAACACAGCTCTGAGTTTTCTGTGATTGAATTCTTTTGGACCCCATCTGCAGCTTTATCAGTTCACTGTATTTAGATAACTCTACAGAAAGAGCACTCGCCACTTTACCTGAGCACAAAGCACCTTACAGCCTCCTCTGGCCTCTTGCAAAGCACATTAACGTCTAAACGTAGCTTTTAGAATAGTTAAAATTACCAAGCACTTTGCTCTTTTTTGACTCAATATTATTTGGTGCGTATTCTGGCGTAAAGCTGCATTCTTTTTCATGTCGGTCCTTTTAAATGCTTATATAATAATCCAGGGAACTGAGCTATGACAATGCATTTAATCACTCCCCTAAAAAGACATACTTAGGTTGATTCCAGGACTTTTGTCTATTACAAAAACAACAGCAAAAAGCCTGTAATCAACATCCCTGTACCTACTGTGAGTTTGCTTATGAATTATTTTCAAAGTCTGTTCCGTGGACCACCTGCGTCAGAATCACCGGAGGCAGGGGAGGGGCGCCTGGGTTTCAAGGTAGATGAATTCTCGGGCCCAGTCACACACCTAACAGTTGGGACTCTCTGAGGACGGAATCTGAAATCCACATTATTACATCTCCTGAGACTCTGGCCTCAGACCTCCCTGTGTGGAGCCAGACCCCGTGCTCAGAACAGACTCAGATAGAGGTGCTCTATGGGATAAGCGAAGTGGAGGTAGCGGTTTCTTCTCATTTCCCAGGGTTCAGAAACTGTTAGCAATCTCACCCGACCTCGGTCGGAAGCCAGTAGAATGTTCTACTGGGACAGGCCAGTTAGGGTGCAGAGGTGGAGAGCGTGGGCGGCACAGGCATTTGTGTGCTGAGCGATATGAAGTGTGGACACCACAAAGGCCAGTGGAGTTGGCGGCCCGGGCTCTCGTGCCCTTGAAATTTAATTTTTCTCTAACCACAGGCTGGTGACTACGAAGAGAGAGGTCCAGACCCACTCAGAAAATCTGGATTGAAATAGAAAACCAAAGTATAACTGTGGAGGGGCGAGGGCAGACCGAGGATGCGGGACCACAGCCAGGAGGCCGTGGGACGCGCTACCAGGGTGAAGGCACAGGGAGCTCTGGGGCCGCGGGGGCACCTGGGCTTTTGGTGGGAAGAGAGTTTTATAACCTTTTAGGCATAACAATATAGAGCGGGGGCAGCAACGTTTTCAGTAAAGAGCCATAGAGTACATATTTTAAGCTTTGAAGGCCATGTGGTCTCTGCGTAGAAAGAAGACTAATGAACTGGGCGTCTGTTTTCCAAGGCCTTTGGGTCCACAGGCTGTAACTGACTAACCCCCAGAGAGGAAGGACCATTGGCTTTTGTATCAGCCTGACTGGGTTTAAAATCCAGTTCTGACCTCCACTCGCTGGGCAGTGACTTGACTGGTTGTGTAACCTTATGGTTAAGAACTTGGGCACAGGAAGTGGAGGGTCCAGTGTTCAAGTCCCACCCCCACGGCTCATGAGCTGTATGACCTTAGAGCAGGCCCTTCTCTGAACTCCCTGTCTCCGAGAGCTGTAGTGAGAGCGACACGAGCTAAACACCTTTATACACACACACATGCACTCTTTTTTTTTTTTTTTACTTTTTATTAAGATTATGATAGTTTACCGCCTTGTGAAATTTCAGTTGTACATTATTGTCAGTCATGTTGTAGGTGCACCACTTCACCCTTTGTGCCTTCCCCCTACCCCTCTTTCCCCTGGAACCACCAATCAGTTCTCTTTGTCTACATGTTTAACTTCCACCTATGAGTGGAGTCATACAGAGTTCATCTTTCTCTATCTGGCTTATTTCACTTAACATAATACCCTCAAGGTCCATCCATGTTGTTGTGAATGGGACAATTTTATCCTTTTTATGGCTGAATAGTATTCCATTGTATATGTACATCATATCTTCTTTATCCAATCATCAGTTGATGGGCACTTAGGTTGCTTCCATGACTTGGCTATTGTGAATAATGCTGCGATGAACATGGGGTGCATGGGACTTTTGGAATGGCTGATTTCAAGTTCTTTGGATAGATATCCAGTAGTGGGATGGCTGGGTCATATGGTATTTCTGTTTTTAATTTTTTGAGAAATCTCAATACTGTTTTCTCATACGGTTCCTTTTTCTCCACAACCTCTCCAACATTCGTCACTTTTTGTTTTGGTTGTTTTTGCCATTCTAACAGGACACTCACACACTCTTAGCAGAGTGGTGCCTGGCACATCCTAAGTGCTCAGTAAATATTACCAGTTACTGTTGCTATTCTCTGAGCAGGGGTTTCCTCATCTGTTAAATGACGATACTGTTAGCACCTTTTACTATAGTTGTAAGGATCACATTCAGTCACAAGTAGGTGATGTGTTTGGCACAAAATGGAAGCTCAGGATTACTGTTATCTCTTAGAATTGGGAGGGCCACGGGGTGGGTTCGCGTGCTCTGCTTCAGCGGCCCAGGGTTTCACCAATTTGAATCCTGGGCGCGGTCATGGCACCGCTCATCAAGCCACGCTGAGGCAGCATCCCACATGCCACAACTAGAAAGACCCACAACTAAAAATACACAACTATGTACTGGGGGGGCTTTGGGAGAAAAAGGAAAAATAAAATCTTAAAAAAAAAAGAAAAAAGAGAAAGAAATGGGAGACAGTCTGCCCTTCCAGGAACCCTAGTAGAAGACTCTTTGCAGACACTGAGCTTTGGTGAAGGTAGTGGTCTTCACGGGAATCAAACCCCTCTTGGCTGTCTTCAGTATCTAACATGAGATCCAGCCCAGTGTGAGAAGAGTCAGGGGCATCCTCTGTGATGAGCCCAGTGCCCAAGCCAGGCCCTCCTCGCCAGCCCCACAACCCAGCTGGTGTTGCTTACACCTCTTCCTCTGATCAGGATGGCCTCCTCCTTTCCTGGTCAGCAGATTCACCAACACCCCATCTGGACGCTTTCCCCTCTGAAGCCTGTTCCCTAAGAGCTCCTCCCCACACTGAACCCCTCCTCAGAACTCTTGTTATTTGCGTCCTTTCGTTGATATTTGTTATCTGCTACCTTATAGGTCTTGTTTCTTCAGCTAGACCAGGAGTTCTTTGAGGGAGGGAGCATGTTATACTTCCTGGTCTTTCTTCACTATCTTCCATCTGTTGGGTCGACAGTAAATACTAGTGGGTTGACAATAGTAAGTGGCTTTTTAATTGATGCAGATGCCAATATATACAGTAGACGAAGAGTCTTAATTCTAGGAGTTGTCCATTCTTGTTGACATTTATGAACTTCATGGATCTCCACAGAAAATTGCCCTCTAAGAAGTCACTTAAAATAGAAAGCATAGCAGTGAAGAATATTCTAGGCCTGGTCCATAAATTATTCCCAAGCACAATGTCCCATGCTCTTTCCTCACCTCTCTGCTGAATGGAAGGGACTTTGAGGACTGAGAGGAAGGTAAGGAGCCTGGATCCCTGAGTAGCTCCTTGGACGAGAGCAAACCAGAAGAGGCGCCTAGGCAGGAAGACCCATGTCAGACTTGCAGGAGAAGTAAACAGTTTTAGTGTTAAAAAAAATATGCACACGCACATTCACACACACATATACGTATGTGTCCACACACACACATACACACACAAGAATGCTATGCTTCTTGTCAGTTGGATGTTTTCACATTAGAAGAATGTGAGGCCCGTAGGCTCCTCTGAGAGGGCTGAATAAAAGGCAGGCATTGCCTTGATTTGTACTCAGAGTGCAATCTGAGAATAAATGTGTTTCCCTCCTCACATCTGTAGTCCATGATTGGTCAGCACTGCAGAGTGACGATCTAAGTGGGTTCTCTCTAAGCATACAGTTAATATCATGGCGACTCCATCAGCCTCCACATTGTCGTTCATGTTCAGATGCGTTACTGTCCACTGAAAGGCTTGGCCTAAAATCCATTGTAGGGAGTCATTATTTTCTGCCCAGTTGACACTCAAAGCTGGCAGTCCTCCCTTTGAGGATAAGCTGGCAGTCCTCCCTCTGAGGATAAGCTGCCAGTCCTCCCTCTGAGGATATTTGCACAAGATTTAGCAGAGATGCTGTGCTGGGATTCCAAGCTCCGTCGACAGTCCCTGTAACTGGGCTGTGAGGATTAGAGAATCTTAGCATCCTGTTGAGATGGAACCACTGTCACCTGTCCTGATCTGGAAGTGGTCAAACAATTCAGCCTTCCGGCACCCAACCCTGCACTTGGAAGAAAGCCCTGATCATGGAAATGACCCTCATCAGACCCTTGCCCCAAAGCCCTGTCCTTCGCTCTCATGGACTCTTACTAAGCTCAGTTATCTGCTTTCCCACCCCAAGGAGATGTTGAGCCGTAACAAGAAGGGAACAATACAGGGGTGGGGGGATGGGAGGTGGGTGTTAGAACAACGATAAGTCATCAGCCCAGAGCCATCACTGGGGGAGAGAAAGTAAGAACACACACACATAAAGAATGACGTTATTACGTAATGCAACAGAGATGTGCAGGGTGAATCTTAGGTCCATGGGAAAAGTTAATTTCTGTCCATCATTGTGGTTTAGATGGTGAGAAAGTGCATATCTCTTGGTGGAACTGTCACTTTGCGCCTCTGCTGGGGAAAGCGGCCGTCCCTAATAATGGAGGGGCCCATTGTTTCAGGCTCTCATTCCAGCTTCACCTCTCTGGATCCCTGACGCTTTCTTCTTTGTTTTTTTCCTTCTGGGTGAGCTCAGAGGAGGGCGCACAGAGACAGGCCTTGCTCTGAAATACCTTCTGCGCAAAGGGTTCCCTGGGGGCAGAAATGCCTCTGTGCCCCAGATCCTCATCATCATCACTGACGGGAGGTCCCAAGGGCATGTGGCACTGCCGGCCAAGCAGCTGAAGGAAAGAGGCATTACTGTGTTTGCTGTGGGGGTCCGCTTTCCAAGGTAAGAGATTCGGTCACTCTGGCTGGGCCCTCTGGGTCGGCCTGGGGATATGGTGCTGCTGACCACAGGGAGAGAGGCGAGCTGGAAAAACCATCCTGGTCCTTCCAGAATCTGTCTTCTCCTCCCTTTGCTGTGTAGCCTCAGAGCACAGGGAGCTCCACGTGTTGGGAAGTCTGAGAGTTTGCGTTGTCTTTAGTCTGAACGTGTGGTTGTGAGTGCCAGAAACTTGACTCAAACTTATTTGGGCAGAAATGGCAAGTTGTGGACCCATCTAACTGCACTGGGTGGGTCAGGGGTCCCCCCGGAGAGGCAGGAGCCAGGGACTTCAATGCCACTAAGCTGCTTTCTGTCCCGCGCTCCTCTCTGCTGTTCTCTCAGCTGACTCTCTTGGGAAGCTGGGACTGTGGCTGCAGGCCACATGCAGCTCACATCTTCCCAGCTCCACCCTGGAGAGAAAAGACTCTTTCCCCCAGTTTTAAGTGGAATAATCCAAGAAAGGATTCTGCTTAGCCTGTGTCACAGGCCCACTCCTAAAGGAGGGGAGTGGGGTCCGTGACTGGCTGCCCGCCTCCAACCACGTTTCTCCAGATGCTGGAATGTGCCTTCCTAGAAGACAGGAGGGCACAGGTCCTCAATGCTCTCAACCCTAAAAACGAAGGTGACCTCTATGGACCTCTGATTGTTGTTGGTACTAAGTGAAATGACTCTGCTCTGGGCACTGTGCATATACATAAAAATTTCTTTATTAATTTCAGTACATTATTTATTCTCTCAATCAGTAAACATAGGTTGTCTTCCTCATGCCAGATAGTATTCTAGGTTCTCAGGATACAGACAGCAATACAAAGTCCCTGCCCTCTTGGAGCTTCCATTCTAGGAAAGGAACTAGATAATAAACAAGTGGATGAATAAACAAGTAATATAATTTCACGTGGAAATAAAATGCAAAGGAAGGAAAATAAAGTAGGGTGAGAAGTTACAGAGTGATGGAGAATAGAGAGCACAGCTATTTTAGATAGAGATATCTGGCAAGGCTTCTTCAAGGAGTGGATTTTTGAGCAGAAACGTGAGTGGAACGAGGAACAAGTTTTCTGAGCATCAGGGAAAAGAGCACGCAAGGCAGGCGAATGGCAAATGCAAAGGCCCTGAGGCTGTAGCTAGCTTCATGTGTTCTAGGAACAGCAAGACAGCCAGGGAATGGCTAGAATCTAGCCAGCATGGGGTGAATTACAAGAAATAAGATAGAAGAGGTGGGCAGGAGTCAGGCCTGGAGACTTTGTGGGTCATCGTAAAGACTTTGGAGTTTGTTGTGAGTAGGTTGGGATGTCTTTGGAGGGTTTTGAGCAGGGAAATGACATGAATTGGCTTACATTTTTGTTTCACACTAGACTGGCTGCCAGGCACACCGTAGACTGGTGGGGTGGGGTGGGGCAGAGAGAGAAGCAATAACAGGGGAGGTGGAGACACTAGTTAGGGGGTCTTTGGAGCCGCTCACACGAGAGAGAACATCACTGGTAGTAGGAAAGCGGCTGTGACTCCGCTGAGGGAATTGGATGTGGGTGTATGCGAGAAGAATAGAGGATTTGGGCCTGAGCGCCAGGGTGAATGGTGGTGTTATTTACTGAACTGGGAAGGATTGGGAGTAGAACAAGGGAAACTGAGTTCTGTTTCAGATGGATCAAGTTTGAGCTGCCTCCTGGCCGTCTAAGTGGAGAAGCTGAGTAGACGGGTGGGTGTAAGAGTCTGGAGCACGGGAGAGAGCGCAGGCAGAGAGGCTGAAATTGGGGGTGGTTTGTAAAGCCTCACTAGGGTCAACTCAGGCATGGGTGCAGAGGGAGGATGACCGAGGGCCAGCACATGCAGGACAGAAAGAGGAGGAAGATAGAGGGAAGGAGACTGAGGTGCCACCATTACCATGGGGATAGCCCAGATCGTGCCGTGTCCTGGTGGCAATGATGACCGCCACCACCACCATCATCGTTGTTGTTGTCATTGCCAATAAGTTGCTATTTAATGCAGGCTGTCTCATCATTGGCTCTTTGTGAGGGACCTTGCTTCCTGTCTCCCTGGCCCACACGGTGCTGAATAGAGTGCCTTGAACATCACAGTTCAAAGGTTTGTCTGTGAGGATGGAATCCACCACACACTGGAAACCCACGGCCCATTCTGGGAGTTTCTTTTCCAGCTGCTGGCTGCAGCAGTGCCGCTCAAGGTCTCTATGGTGGAGGTCCAGTCTGTTTTGTTTTGTTTTTTGTTTTTTTCTAATCCATCATGGACTGATACATTTTTAAAATACAATAAAAAAAATGAATTACTAAAAAAATGAAATAAAATTTAAGCTCAAATGTTTATTACTCAGTTCAGCAGACATAAAGTGACTCTGTCAGGCTGCTGCACGGCTAATTTCTAAGTGCTTACTCTCAGTGTCTGTGCTGGTCTAGGGTGAAACGGTCTGGGGACCCGCACAGGCGCACAGGCCATGCTTTGATCATCCCTGTCTTAGGGAAATCAAGAAGCTATAGATCGGGAGAGCGGGCGTTGCTCAGGTCTGAATGGGCTGAGCAGCAGACACAGGAACCTTCTGAGGAGGCCTGTTGGTCTGCCAGGCCCACCTGACCCCTCCCCACCCTCCTAGTAAAAGGCCGGGTTGCTGTTGACCAGTGGTTCTCAAAGTGTGTTCCCTGGACCAGCAGTATCAGCATCACCTGGGAACCTGTTAGAGCTACTCATACTCGGCCCCCACCACATTGAATCTTCTGCGATGAATGCCTCAATCTGTGGTTTATCAGGCCCTCCATGGTTCTGACGCCCACTGAAGTTTGAGAACCACTGCTGAGGGCAGCATGAGGCTCTGTATGACTCTGTTCCCCTTCTATATTCATTGAGCCCCATCTCTGCTGGTTCTCAACTCTGGCTGAGCATCTGAATTACCCAGGGAGCTTTTAAGAAAGTCTATGGCTGGGCCAGGAGAACTAAGGGTGGGGCCAGGCAGAGCTGCCCACAGAATGCTAATGTGAAGCCAGAACTGAGAAGCTCCCTTCTGTGTGCCAGGCACTGTCCTAGATACTGGGAGAAATATCTGGTTTATATGGCTTCAGAGGAGAATGGGGAGTTTCATATAAGTAAATTTTAGAGATAAATGAAGTTTTTGCCATGTTGCCAAACCTTGGTCTATTTTGATGGGCAGGATTCTAAATGCATTATGGACTGCCTTGTCTTCTTAAAAAGAGGTTTCTCAACATGACTTAACCCTCTCTTCATGCCCTAGTGTCATCATCCCACGCATCACTTTTGTCCTGGGCGCTAACGGTGATGCACTCTGGCTATCAAAGTATGCTGGCTTCTTCCTCTCATGGCTTCACATTGCTGGCCTGAGTTCTTATGTCCACTGTTTGAATTCTTCAGTATTTTTTCTTTTACTAGCTGTCCTTGTTGGCTCTTTCTTGCTATCACCTAGAACCACTTTCCTTCATTTCCTTTTTGGTTACTTTTTTTCCTCATCAGCTGTGGGTTACAAGACCAGACAACCAATCTGTTAGGACCGTGTCTGAAATAAAAGTCAAGGGTTCAAGTGTGAGGAAGTTTGCAGGCTGTAGCAGGCACATGTTGTGACCCATGGCTGGGTGTCCTCACGGTCTGTCTGTGGTTCACTTCTCCATTTTCACCTGCATCCTAGCTGGATGAGGTGGCAGTTAAGTAGCTTCTGGATCATGGGGTGATGTTGCCATCCACAAGGAGCCTCCGGTCTGGGAGATGGGCGGGCAGGAGGAGCGTGGGTATGGGTGATGAGGTGATGTAACCTCTCTGCTGGGGCCGGGGGCAGGTGGGAGGAGCTGCACACACTGGCCAGCGAGCCGAGGGAGCAGCACGTGCTGATGGCTGAGCAGGTGGAGGATGCCGCCAACGGCCTCTTCAGCACCCTCAGCAGCTCTGCCATCTGCACCATCGCCTCTCCAGGTATGACCATCCAGGCTGGGAAGGAGTGGCCTTGCGCATATGGAAGTGGGGTGCGGGGTGGGGAGGGTTCCCCGAGGCAAGAGGTCATGGCTCAGGAGGCTCCTTAGGGAGGGCGGGCGAGAGGAACGTGGTCCAGCAGCCTCGGCCCTCAGGTACTTTGCTCTGTTCTGCCTCGCTGTGTCTGGCCCTGTGGGTTTCTCAGCTGGGAACCTTGAGCTTGTCTCCATGGGGTAGAGTGGCCAAGGGCTTGGGACCCAGGTCTTGTGGGACCCCTGTGCCTGTCCCCTTTTTGGGAGGAAGAGCCAAGTCAGCTCCCCACTGTGGTCAGCACAGGGAGGCTTCGGCTTGGGGTGACATCCTGCATTCCTAGTCGTCTTTGTCAGGTCCACCCAGGAGCTAGAGTGAGGTACGTTATATAAAGCATACACGTGTGCATGGGATGTAAAAGCTGTGTGGGGCGGGCCCTGTGCAGGGGAGATGCTCGGGGACTGGCTGCCCAGCCAACAGGCAGAGCAGGACCCTGCCCCGGTGTGCTCTGCCCCAAGAAGCAGAAGGTAGCCCGGGCTGAGAATGGTGGAACCGTGGGTGGGGGAAGGAGTCCTAACCCTGTCTTCTCCATCCTGTTTGCGCTGTGGACACAGACTGCAAGGTCCAGCCTCACCCCTGTGAGCGCAAGACTCTGGAGACGGTCAGGGAGCTTGTCGGCAATGCCCTGTGCTGGAGAGGATCTCGGGGGACCAATGCCGTGCTGGCTGCGCTCTGTCCCTTCTCCAGGTTCGTCTGCAAGGTCTGGGGTCAGAGCTTGAGGGCACAGCCTGGGTGGGGACAGAGGCTCCCAAGGCCGGGCGCTCACGAGCTGCAGGGAGAACAGCTCTTTGGGGCCTTGGTGGTGGAACGTGTGACAGGGATCGGAGGAGGCCTGGGAGGGAGCCAGGGACAGAGCTCGGGGGCTCAGGCAGGGTCACAGCTACTCAGTGTCAAAGTCTTGTCAACACGCTCCCCAGGTACCCAGGGTGTGTGAGGGTGGCAGGGACTCAGCCGCTCTGGAAGGCTGGTAAGTCAGCCAAAAGCTGGTCCCATAAGCCAGTGGTCTGGAGTTGGGATGGTGGTCTGGTAATTTGCTTCCTCTCAGCGCTGGCTTCCACATTTCTGGGGCCTGAGTGAGGCGAGAGGCTTAAGATCCTTGGATGAATTCCAGCTGTGGAGGCCATGGGGGGGATGCTGGGTTCTTTAGGACTCTACTCAGGCACTCAGGAGCACCTGCTGCCAGGCCATCAGCCATTCCCTCGCAAATCCCTGCACCGTCTCTCGGCACTTTGTCCAGACTCGCCTACCTCTGTTGCAGCGCCTCTACTCAGCAACTGCTGATCTAGCCTCTCGCCCTTTCCGGAGGGTCAAAGTGGCATTTGGACCAGTTGTATCTTTGCCCTTGGCCTGCCCCCGTCCATGAGATCAGAGCACACACACAGAGATGAAATGAATTGGCTGAGAAGCCGTGAGGGCCAGGCTGGGCTGATGCAGAGCTGAAAGGCCATCTTGGCAGGGAAGGGCCATGCCCTGCACATGGGTCAGAGGAAATGGGGCCTTGTGCCATGTCAGAGGCCACTAGAGGCTCTTCAGAACCCGAGCTTTCACCTGAAAGGAGGCAATTCTTCCTTCCCCAGTGAGCATGTTCTAAGAGCCCACTCTGAGCCGGGCAATGTGCAGTCACTGCCCCCAAGAAGCTCGCAGTCTAGAGGGGGCATTGGACAAGCAGACCAGTGACCACCTGAGGCATCCCAGGTGCCAGGATGGGACCTGTCCCCCCTGGGACGTCATGGAGAAGGCGCTGCTTGAGCAGTCTTGGAAGATGCGGGGGAACCGGGTGGCGGTGGGCGGAGGCATTCAGAGCCTGGAGCCACGGGGAGAGGCTGGTGGGTAGAGAGGACACGCATGGCTTTGTGCTCGGACTCTGGAGGCAGGCTGCTGAGTTTTTAACCCCAGGATCACCACTAATGAGCTGGGAAACTCCCCCTGCCTGTGTCTACACTGGAAAAGGAGTGTGGCAATAGGATTGTCAAGAGCGTGCAGTGAGTTAATATGCAGAATCACTAATGTTGCAGCCTCCCAGAGTGATGTCTGTGTATAGTAAGCTCTGCTTCATCAATTCCCTCATTCAAGAAATTCTGAGGGTCTTCTAAGCTCCCGCCACTGTCCCAGATCCTGGGAAATCAGCACGAACACCTCAGAAACAAATCTGCCCTCAAGAACTGACACTCTAAAGACAGGAGGTAGCAACGAACAAAACAAATACATAAACTATTAGGTGGATACATGCTATAGGGAAAAGGGATGGGTCAGGGTGGGGTAGGGCCGAAATTTCAAATAGTGTGGGCAGGGAGGGCCTTGCAGAGAATGGGGCATTTAAGTCAGACCTGGGGACGTGGGGGACAAGCGAGTACAGATCCAGGCAAAGTCCTGTGAACAACAGTGTCTGCCCCAACACCACCAATCCTGGTGCAGGCCTGGGGGACAGGGCGGGCCCATGGAACTCTCTGGGCTAGAACTAGTGGTTTCCTGAGGTCACTAGGAGTAGACATGGAGGAGGGGGAGTAGATTTCTCTTTCATGAGCTGGCAGCGTGGCAAACTTCTGACTTCAGCAACTCCTGGAGTTTGTAATTGACGTAGCATTTATCCTAAGCAGATATTTTGCCCCAGGAAAGACCCTGCCCTTGAGGTGAGCCCAGTGAGCCTGCCTGGCAGCCTGGGGTGGGATCTGGTTGGAAGAAGCCCTCCTTGGAAAGTTTGAGAGAACATTTTTGCCAACGCCCAAAGAGGAGACTCTCCCTAGCTGAGGCCATCTCTGGAGCTGCTGCCAACCAGGAGCAGGGCTTTCTGCCCACAGGACAAGGAGCCGCTCCTACTGCAGCTAAGCCCTTCTCCCCAGAGACTCAGGAGAGCCGGAGGCAAGGCCCAGAGGGTGGAGTGCACGGGCTTTGGAGTCAGATGGTAGCGTTTGGATCCCAGCTCTGCTGTGTTCTAGTAACCATGTGACTTTGGGCAACCTAATTCAGCCCTCTGAACCCGTATCTCCATCTGCAAAATGGAGATAACCGTCTCTTCCAGTAGCTGTGGATTCAAGGTAATGATGTGGACACGTGGAGCATGGAAGCCACCACAGGAATGGTGGCCCTGGTGTTATCACAGAATGTTAGTGCTCAAAAAGTCCTGAGAGGTCATCAAGTCCGGTGGTTTGCAAATCCTCTTGAGCTGCAGAGCCTCGTATGGACACTTGTTGTGCAGACCAGGAAAAGCACATTTGGGGTGAACGGGGTGGCTATGGCACTGGGGGAGGCCAGCACCCTAGCCACTCATTCTCCTTCTCTCTCCATTGAGGCTCCAAGGAACACAGTTGAAAACTACAGATAGAGTTACTATACCAAAGAGGGAACTGGAGACCAGAGAAGGAAAGTAACTTGCCTGGGGTCACAAAGCCAGAATCCAGTTGCCCGCCCACCCCCCACACCCCCCAACAGCATTGTGCTGGCCCCAGAAAGTAGCTCTTAATAAGAAAGCTGTTCCCACAGTTCAGAATATCAAACACGTATCTCTAACTTTTGACATAATAGCCAATTTACATTCTGTTTTTTAAAAAAATTGTCCCTGGGTAGTCTGAAACATTGCCTACTCTGTGCAGGTAAAAGCTGGGGTAGAGTCAAGAAAGAAAACGAGGAAATCTTTCTTGACCCGCTTCTGCATTGGAATCTATGTCAGCTTCTAGCGGTTAAATAACCTTCGCGTTTCTGCCCTCCTGCTACACCTGTGATCTCTACCATTTGTTTCCTTGGATTGTAGCTGGAAGAGAGTGTTCCTAACCCACCCCGCGACCTGCTACAGGACCACCTGCCCAGGTACAGTATGCCTCTTGCATTCTCTGCTCTTTCTGGGCCCTGGGCTGGCTTCTAAAGGGCATTGGCACTCCTGGGGCAGAGGGTGGAGTTGGAGCCAGCTCCGGGGCAGGGGGATGGGCGTTTTGGAGGTGGAGCAGTGTGCTCATGCCATACGCATTAGTCGCTTGATCAGGGGTACTTTTCTCCCTAAGAACAGAGTGAAGGCTTTGGAATGACCTTCCTTTAACCAGTGCCCCTTGCACTGATGAGAGGCAGCGAAGGGTGTGCCCTGAGCACCAGCTTTGCAGACAGAAAGCCTCACATCCAGCTCCGAACTCGGGGCAAGATACCCAAGCCTCAGTTTCCTCCTCTACGAAATGGGGGTAATGTTGGTCCCAGGTCTGGAATCCCCATTTCCCTGCTCTGTGTGATAGGGGGGCTCATACATGGGATCCTTTTGAAGGTTCAATAGATAATGCCCACGGAAGTGCTTCATCAGCTGTAATGTTCCAAGGAAACAGGAGGGCTCAAGAGCGTTAAGCACCATTCAGCCAGGTTCCCCAAGGGGCCCTCACTGCCCCCATCCTGGGGTCTAGTGCATCCCACTGACCCGGAAGCATAGAAATTGCACTCGCAGGTGTTGGCGTCTGTCTTTGTGTGGGTTTGCTCCTGACGAGGTAGGAGTCTGTCTCACGGGGGCAGAGCCAGTGGCCTTACGTGCAGGCGGGGTGGCACTTCCCACCCGGGGTTGGTGTGATCCCCCTGGCATCCCGTTTTCAAGTTCCAACATCACTGGCTTCTGAAGAAACTGGAAGTGAGATTGTTTCTGCTCAGAAATTAAAGTTCGAGGACTTACGGTTTTGGAACCAGAGTGACCTGGGTTTGAGTCCCAGCTGTGCCCCTTCCAACTATCTGACCTCCAGCACCTGAGGACTTATAGTCATCGAGCTTCAGCTTCCTTGTCCGTGAAACGGGCGTTTTTACAGGACCCACTTCACTGGGTTGCATCATTGAAAGGAGATCGTGCATCAGAGGTGCTTAGCCTGGGATCTGGCACATACTCGATGGTCAACTAGAGGCCACCAGTGGTGTTGTGAATGAGCCCCCAGGTGTTTCCAGGATACTCCAGCTGACACAACAGCAGGCCCAGGTGCCCAGAGTTAGCCTCAGTAATCTCCACCTTTGAAAAGTATACACTTAATTACAGTGATGTAACCACCAAGTAATATATGAACATTTTTAAGAAAAAAGGATAGAAATCACCAATTCCTATGGTAACCACACTCAGCTGCTTATCAAGCCCTTTGAACACATGATACTTGAACACATGAATATCCTGTTTGTTCTCTGCAACCCTGGGAGGGAGGTGGTGTATTATTTGCATTTTGCAATAATCCATAAGGAAATTGATAGAAGCTCAGATATTGACTGCAGTGTCTCATAGATCAGACACTTCAGAATGGGCCCGATTTTAACATAAGCTCTGGTTTCCTGTGTCAGATATCACCTTTGAAGAGGTGTTACCCATAATTTGCACCTTCCTTCTAAACGCAAATGCTGTCTTCCCTGTTACGGAGTGTTTTGCTTCATGCCTGGCTTTCTGCTAAGTCTTTCCATGGATTTGTTCATGTACTCCTCACCGTAACACTGTGGAACAAGCTCAGTATGATCACCCCTCTTCAGATGAGGATACTGAAGCTTGGAGGGACTAATTGAGGTGCCCAAGGAAGTGGAGGAGGCCCCATTCATTGATGGAGGATCCAAAGGCTTGTTGTCTTGCTGTGCCAGCCGGCAGAGGCTGTTAAGAACAACCACGTGTAGAACTTAAAGAAGAAACAGCACCATCCACATTGCAGCGTTCCCTGAGTTTTAAGACACCCATACTGTCGCCTTGATGCCACTGAGATGTTCATCCTTATCAAGCTCGGGTCCAATACCCATTAATTGTTATGGCCACCTGGAGCCCCTCAAGGCCTCCTCAGCAGCCGTGGGTTATTAAGGTGGTTGTGTCAGTCACCTAGGCCTGCCATAACAAGAGACCACAGACTGGGGAGCTCAAACAACAGAAATTTATTTTCTCACTGTTCTGGAGGCTGGAAGTCTAAGATGAAGGTGTCACTAGGGTTGGTTTCTTCTGTGGCCTCTCTCCTTGGCTTGGTCACATGACCTTTGCTCTGTGCACATCCCTGCTATCTCTTCCTCTTACAAGGACACCAGTCATTTGGATTAGGGCCCACCCTAGGACCGCCTTTAACCTTAATTTCCTCTTTAAAGGCCCTGTCTCCAAATATAGTCATATTTTAAGGTACTTGGGGTTAGGACTCCTACACATGAATTTGGAGGAGACAGAATTCAGTCCATAACATGTATTCTCAGTGTCAGAGCCAGGAGCCAGGTCCCATTGGCACATCTCCAGGTAAGCCTATAATTCACACAGGCCTTAGCGAGCCCATGATCAAGTGTCCTTTACCACCCACACCCAACCCCTCCTCTATGTACCTTATTGGCTTTCTTTCCCCTCTTTGCTTACAGGTATGGCGACTAATTTCCTAGTGGACCCCAGGGGAAGCAGTGGGCTGGGCCCTGCTGGGGCAGGGTGGCCTGCTGGACTCACCCTCTGGCCAAACCCTTCACACACCTCTGGGCTGATGTGCTAGGCTGTTAATGGGCATCTCTCCCAAAGGCCCTTGTGACTCACAGCCCTGCCAGAATGGAGGCACATGTGTTCCTGAAGGACTGGACAGGTACCACTGCCTCTGCCCAGCGGCCTTCGGAGGGGAGGCCAACTGTGGTATGTATGCACAGGACTTCTAAGCCTCTGACCGTTGGGGAGCCGTGCAGCACAGGCTCCCCCTTCTCACCTCCCACCCTTCTAACTACTAGGCAGAAACTGGCCCTTGAGTCTTAGTGCCACCCACTTTCCAAAGACACCACTGATCTGATGTCTCATGTAGTACAGCCCCTAAGCGCTCTGTGAATGATAACTCAGGTGGTGAGGCTCTGAGTAGGACAGCTGCTCCTGGCTTATTAGCTTTAGAGTGGCCGCTGCTTAATATTTGATCATCATGAGCCCAGCTGCTGGCTAGAGCCAGCCCAACTCTGGGTCCTGGTTCTGGGCAGAGTCTCTTCTCTCCTGTTCCAGAAAGAGGAGCAAGGAGCCTCAACCCTTTTTGGTTTTAAAGGTAGGAAATGAAGTTTATAATAGGCTTTACCCCATAGGATTGTTGGGAGTTTGAAATAAGATTACCTGTGTGAAGGCCTTGGCACCATGGTTGACATACAGTCGGGGTATAGTGCTGGGTCAATTGGAGATCCATCTAGAAAAAAGGGATCTTGACCCCTTACCTCACAAGCTAAACAAAAGTCAACTCCAGGTGGATCACAGATCTAAATGCAAAAGGCAAAGCAGTGGGGCTTCTAGAAGAAAAAACATAGGAGCACATTTTCATGATCTTGAGGTAGACAAAGATTTCTCAACAGGACACAAGAAAAACTAACCGTAACAGAAGAAGGTTATAAAATAGGTTACATTTTTCTTTTTACAAAGTGGTGGGGTACAGACCCTTAGCCAGAGCCAGGAGGGAGAGCTCCCTGTCCAGCCCTAACTCTGTGACATGCACCGACTAAGCCCCTGCAGCCTCAGTTTTTCTGCCCCTTCTTCCTCCGGGGAGGCCCCGTGTGGTGGTTGGGTGTTCCGGGTGGGACAGCAATCTGCATGCTCCAGGCGGCCATAGTGTGATGGCTGCTGTGAATCTGGCAGCCCCGAAGCTGAGCCTGGAGTGCAGAATCGATGTCCTCTTCTTGCTGGCCGGCTCGGCGGGCACCACCCTGGAGGGCTTCCTGCGGGCCAAGGCCTTCGTGAAGCGGTTTGTGCAAGCCTCGCTGAGCGAGGACTCCCGGGCCCGCGTGGGGGTGGCCCTGTACAGCGAGGAGCTGGTGGTGGCAGTGCCCGTGGGTGAGTACCAGGATGTGCCGCACCTGGTCAGGAGCCTCGATGGCATTCCCTTCAGTGGTGGCGCCACCCTGACGGGCAGTGCCTTGCGGCAGGCGGCAGAGCACGGCTTTGGGAGCGCCACCAGGACAGGCCAGGACCGTCCACGCAGGGTGGTGGTCCTGCTCACTGAGTCACGCTCCCAGGATGAGGTCGCTGGTCCAGCACGTCACGCGAGGGCCCGAGAGCTGTTTCTGCTGGGCGTGGGCAGTGAGGCCGTGCGGACAGAGCTGGAGGAGATCACAGGCAGCCCGAAGCACGTCATGATCTACACCGACCCACAGGACCTGTTCAACCAAATCCCCGAGCTGCAGGGGAAGCTGTGCAGCCGGCCACAGCCAGGTAAGGTCCCAGTGGCTGGGCCGGCTGGTCAGTGGCAGCCCCTTCCTTCTTTTGGTAACCACTCAACCAGAGCTTGTGCTAGGGGCTGGAACCACAGCTCCACTCTTTTACATACTAGCCATGTGCCAAGTAACTTGTCAGATTACTGGTCAATAAAATGGGACTAATAATAGCACCTCCTAAAGAGCTTTTGTGAGGATTAAGTAAAACAAGCAATATAAACACTTAGTACAGAGTAAACACAGAGTACGCACTCAGGAAACTGTAGGTATTGCTATTTTTTTATTATTATTTATTCTTAACAAAAAACTCTGAATCTACTAAGCATACTCGAGAACAGCAGCTTTCCAGCTTCTTTTGGCAATCCACAGAAAGAAATGCATTCCCAGTACACGCACACACATGCACACGGACACACAACTGCAACAAACGTTTCACGAAACAATACTTGTCCTTTCTATCTGGGATGCGTTCTGACATTTTTCTATTCTGTCCAGTTTCACGACCCATGAAGTTGATTTTGTGACCCTCCATTGGAGAGCACTGCCGCTGGGAGTGGACATTCCCATCTGGTGGGCAGGGCCTGGCGCATGGCCCGAGATGTAGTAGCTGAAACACATCCTTGACGGGGCTCCCCATTTCTCCTCTAGAGGGGTGGGAGGGAGGACGCTGCCTGTGGAATTCAGCTCCTCAGCCCAGATGTCACTCTCACCAGAAGTGAGGCTTCCCTTCCTGCAAAGGGGAAGGTCAGCAATCCGCCTGCCCCTCCAATCACGTCTCCCCAGGGCAGCCAGAGTGGGTTCTTTAAAGATAGTTTAGATTTACGGAAAAATTGTAGCAATAGTAGAGTTCCCATATACTCCCGTATAGAATTCTGTATGGGAGTATACTATACTATACTATATATACTGTATACTATACTATACTATATATACTGTATACTAGTATACTATACTCCCATACAGAACTCTATACTCCCATATAGAGTTCCCATATACTACACAGCTTGTAAAGATCTTTAGGTACAACTGTCACAATTAATGAACAAACATGGATACATTATCATTTACTAGTTTTTTACCCACTGTCCTTTTTCTCTTCCAAGGATCCCATCCAGGACATCATGTTACATTTAGTCATCCTGTCTTCTTAGGCTCCCCTCTTAAGTTTCCTCTTGACAGCTTCTCAGCCTTTCCTTACGCTGGAGTGCTAAGATCAGAGCCTCTTACACCATACTTAAACCTTTCCAGCGGCTCCCCAATGCACTTGGAATAACATTCAAACTTTCCCGCTGGCTCTCTTCTGAGAGCTCCCTGTGGTCTGGCCCCTGCAGGCCTCTCGGTAGCCCCTGCGTGAGTGGAGAGGGGAGCAGCCACACACACAGCCTTCTCCATCCTTGAGAAGCACCCCCACCCAGCCAGCTCACACTTACGCCTCCTTCAGTTCTTAGCTAATATGTCACTCCTCAGAGAAACCTTGACCCCTTCTCCCAATCGCGTAATGCTGCCCCTGCTGGTCCCTCTCGTAGTACTCTGCTCTTTTCCTCCACAGCTGCTCACACAGTTTGTAATTCTATGTTGGTTTCATGTCCATCTCCCATAGACTGTCAGCCCATTGTGGGCAGGCAGCGACCCATTTTGTCCACGTGGTATAAGTAGTGCCTTGTATACAGCACAGGGCATGTGGAAGGTGCTCAATAATGGGACGGATAAGGGTGCAGGTGAAGTTGCTGTCACAAGGTCCCCAGAGCTCAATGGCTTACATATGATAGACGTTTCTTTCTTTCACATCACAGTGCAGAGGTGAGTGGCCTGGGCCAGCAGGGTGGCTTGGCTATCTTGTGCTTCTGCCTCTAAGTCCAGGGTCACCGTTTATCAGCCAGCAGGAAGTGGGGAGAGGGGAAGTTGAGGGCAGGCAGCTTCCTTTTGAGGACTTAGAAACTGCACAGTTACGTCTGATCACATCCCATCAGGTAGAATTTGGACACAGGGCCACACCTAGCAGCCACGGAGGCTAAATGTATGGTGAGCTGGGCATGCATATGTCCTGCTAATATTTCAGGAGAGGCTGGAGGACGGATACAGCAGTGGACTGACAGACTGATTGGTCTGGGCTCAGCCCGACTCAGAGCAGTCCCTGCTCTGCCGGCCGGATCCAGATGAGGAGCTCCACCTGGCAGAGCCCACCCTGAGGCCCACTCTGCTTGCTCCCGCAGGCTGCCAGGCACAGTCACTGGACCTGGTTTTCATGTTGGATGCCTCTGCCTCCGTGGGGCCCGGGAACTTCGCCCAGATGCAGAGCTTTGTGAGAAGCTGCACCCTCCAGTTTGACGTGAACCCCGATGTGACGCAGGTTGGCCTGGTGGTGTACGGCAGCCAGGTCCAGACGGCCTTCGGGCTGGACACCCACCCAACCCGTGCCTCAGTGCTGCGGGCCATGAGCCAGGCCCCCTACCTGGGTGGGGCAGGCTCCGCAGGCATGGCCTTGCTGCACATCTATGACAAGGTGATGACTGTCCAGAAGGGCGCCCGGCCTGGTGTCCCCAAGGCTGTAGTGATGCTCACAGGGGGGAGGGGGGCAGAGGACGCGGCCGTCCCCGCCCAGAAGCTGAGGGACAATGGCGTCTCTGTCCTGGTGGTGGGCGTAGGGCCTGTCCTGAGGGAGGCACTGCGGAGGCTTGCAGGTCCCCGGGACTCCCTGATCCACGTGGCATCCTACGCAGACCTGAGGTACCACCAGGACGTGCTCATCGAGTGGCTATGTGGAGGTGAGTCGGGTTGACCTTCGGGGCTGCCTCAAAGGGAGGGTACATCACTACAAGCATTGCGGCTCCTCCCAGCCACCGAGTGCTCTCCACGTGCCAGGCTCTGTGCTAAATCCCACGCTCACATGAAATCCTGCAGCAGGCCCAACCATCTCCATTTGACCTTCAGGATGCAGATAATTCAAGTAACACAGACACCTCTTCCCAAACTTGAGAATTTATGCACTGCATTTAAACAAGACATCATTACAATACCCACTGATCCCCCAAGGGTCTAAGGACCCCAGGTTGACATTGACCTAGGTAGTGAATGACAGAGCTAGGAGCAAACACAGCCAGGCCAGCCTGACTCCAAGGCTTTCTTTGCTAGTGACATCCTGTCTGCCTTTTTTAAAGTATGTGACTGTAATAATCATAGTAAGCACGGGTACATGCACAGCACGTTGAAGGGAAAGAATCTCCATATGCGTGTCGGAGAGCTGGGTGGAAGCTGAGTCTTTGATCTTGCCAAGAAGCATGGGGCACCAACCGTGTGCCAACGTGTTGCTTAAGGGCCCACGGAACATTAAGAAGTGTAAGACACTGTTCTAGTGGCCTCGCATGTGTACTGGGGTCCTTAGGGTAGGGGTCTTTCAGTCTGACCCAGGCCAGGCCTGGTGGGCATGTTCCTTCTTGTAGAAGCCAAGCGGCCGGTCAGCCTCTGCAAACCCAGCCCGTGCATGAACAAGGGCACCTGCGTCCTGCAGAACGGCACCTACCGCTGCGAGTGCCGAGGTGGCTGGGAGGGCCCCCACTGTGAGAACCGTAAGTGGGGCTCTTGCTCTGCATGTGTGAACTTAGGGTGGGATTCTGAGTCCTTCCACACCCCAGGAACTCAGCTGAAGGCAGGTCCTATGGCATTCACTCAGTGGAAGGAATCATACAATCATTTGTTCGTTCACGCATTTAGTGGGGTCTCCTACATCCCAGGTGTCCTAGGTGTGGAGAATATAGCAGTAAACAAAACAATAAGAATCTCTGCCCTCGTGGGGCTCCCATGCTAGTGGGGGAGACAGTAAATATAAGCACAACGTGTAGTATAGTAGGTGGTGCTAAGCACATTCAGAAAAATAATGGCGACTGGGAAGAAGGCCTGTGAGGGCGGCCTCGGTTAGGAGCACAGTGGATCCAAAGTAACAGGAACGAAGATGGAGGATGCAGGCACAAATGCAGATGGGTGGGTAGATGTGATGGTGGAAGCTGGTAGGAGTTCTTTTTTTAGTGTTTCTATTTGCTCAATGAAATGGGAGGAACCACTATCAGCTGAGTGAGGATGGGGAGGAGGTTCTGGGGGTTTGAGGAGAGAAGAGCAGTAACTGACTAGCAGAGAAGGGGAATAGACTAAAGACATAGAGAATGACTGTTGGGCAGCATTATGGGCCCACCTGTGGCTCCTGTTCCTGCATTTAAAGTCAGAACAGCCAGCAGCCAGGAGATGATTCCCACTGGAGTCTTGGATTTTCAGCTACCGGCAGAGGTCGGCTTCCTAAGGCCGGGTAGTGGATCTGAAGGGCACTCAGATGGGGCCTCTGATCCAACATCTTCTGCTTGGGTTGTGGAGTGAGAGCAAGACGTGCAGGGGCCCACGGCTGCTGGTTGGTTGAGAAGAGGACTCAGATGCTCCTTGTGTCCTCAGAGTTCACTTCTTTCCCAGGGGCCTTGAGAGGAGATGCCCCCAAGGCACAGGGCTCCCGCCGAGAGCCTGCAGGAGGCCAGCAGCCATAGCCTTTCCAGCAACTACAGAGAAGGCCTGGACAGCCTGGGCGCTGAAAGGGCGCCTGCCCTCAGCAGAGCGTCCTGTCTGCCTTGTGGGGTCCTTTGAGTGTCTGCTTCCAGTTCTGTCCAGAACCCTCCTGCCCACTTTCCTCACTCGGGGAGAAGAGGTGGCCAACTGCAAACTGTGCTGCTTAAGGACACGGCAGGAGCTGGTTTCATCCCCTAATGCTGATGTTGAAAACTCTTGACATAATAGTTACCTTCTGTACCTAGTTGTGCCCTGTTGAGCTTATGTCATCTGCCACCTTTCCTCTGAGGAGGAACAAAGGAACCTGGAGACTGGATGGCCTGTTTGAAGCTCAGTTTGCCCACAACAAATGCTAAATAGAATGTCGTTGGGATAGTAATGCTTAACTGAAAGATTTGACTGGAGTGTCATTCGGACCACTGCAGTGATGGCATTTCAAGATGGAGAAAGGTGGACCTTTTCATACGTCTTTCCCCAAAGATGTCCTGGATGCGTTGATTCTTTTGTTTGAAAAGGGGCTCGAGTGGCATTTGTGGCTTGTTCTGGCGACTGGATCTGTGCGTGGGAGAGAGTTGGAAAGGCCCCAGACTGGAATGTGACTGATTCACTGGCTTGTTTGATGGTAGAGGAGGGGCTGAGTGTGCAAACAGCCTTCGTCTCCAGGGGCCGTGTGAAGTTCGCCTGGGTACCGGGCAGTGTTCGCTTCGACGGGCTTCCTTTAGAGTTACTTAGGAGGGTTCACTGTGCGGCGTTTACTGAGGTCTTGTCTTACTCTCCTTTTATGGGGCAGTAGAATTCTTAAACTCAACAAATAGAGACTAAAGAAACTCAGAGGGGTTTGGCTTTTGTAAGCATCGATCTTCTAGCTCTCTGGGTTTTGGTCTTGTTTTACTCTTTATGTCTAGTTTTTAAAGGAATATTTCAAGAAACGATGTTGGTTATTTAAATAACAGGAGTATTTGTACCTATATGGCAAAGAGGCTTAGTTGGAACATTTTCTGGCACACACAGTTCTTACTCAGCCCTGCAGTAATTAGGAACCAGTTCTCCCCCTTGGTGGTGGGTTTTCGAGTTGGGTTTTCAGTAACAACCTTTGTAGAGCTCCTAAGTCCAGACAAACTTAAAGTCATGTTTTATATGTAAACGTTCAAGGCTACGTTGATTTAAACACCACTTAGCTGTAAGAACTTCAGGATTTCAGGTGCTAGAAAAGCACTCAAAGAGCTGATCGCCGTGGTATTGTGAGACATTAAAAATAGAGTGCGCTATACCAAGCACTGTGTTGCGACAGTCATTCGTGCTCAGTGGATATTTTAATTCCTCTTATTACCTTGGCCTCATCGGAAGGCGACATCAGAGCTGGGTCACAGGCCCACCTGGCAGGTGCAATAGGTGATGTTGGAGAATTTACATGAATCCCCTTGTCTTTAAATCAACAGCAGTTTAATCATTCCACACTGTCTGGCTCGGTGTTCCATTTGGATTACTTGCACTTAACCCCACAAAACCATGGGCCCTGGGCTTACATGGTAAAGGCTTTACTATTTCTCTTTTTAGGTCCCAGCCCTTTACATAAATATGTTTTCCTTGTAAAAATTGAAATACTGCAGATATGTCATCAATCTTTTGTTTTCTCTAAATCATCCTGATTCCGGTACACTTATTCTATTCCTGGGCTACTAAGCGTGTTTGTTAGGAGTGTTGAGATTTGCGGTATGCTTTCCACTTCCTTTGAGATGATTTTTTTGTTCATGTTTAATCTGTTCATATGATGAACTACCAATTAATATATTTTTTGATTGTTGAACCACCTTTGATTTCTTGAATAAGCACTATCTGGTCATGATACATGATTCTTCAAACACTGCTGAATTTCATTTGCCAATATTTTAAGACTTTTTCAGTTTTCTTTTGCAGTATGTGTTGGATATTTGGTATCACAACTATGCTGACGTTATAAAATGGAAAATACATATTCCTCAGGTTTTCAAATTGCTACATTCATAGCATTTTCTGTAATTTAAAAAACTGAGTTCTGCTATTTCATGTTGCCTTAGGTTGTCTTTTTATTGTATCAGTCTTTTTAATGAGCCAGATTTTGGTTTTGTCATTTTTAAAATAAGCACATTTATGCTAGAACTTTCTTAATTACTGCTTAGGCAACCTTCCAAGTATTGGTATGTTTCTTGTCCCCAAGAATGATCTGGGAGTGTGTTTAACTTCCAGCAGCATTGCTGTGCACTCACTCACATAAGATGGGTTTCTGCAGATGTCTCCTGTGTATTTGGTACATTGTTAATTATACTGTTAAAATCCTCTTTCAGCCTTATCTATGCTACTTGACTTAAGGAGGCTTAAGGTCTCCTGCTAAGATCCCTCCTTAATGTTCACCAGTTTTTACTCCACATATTTTGAAGTTCAGTGTGTAAAAAAGCAGATGTTTCTCCCTTGAGACAGAAATCCACCAGGCCCCACTCCAACTCATGTCATGAAACACAAGAAAAGCCCCAAAACCCAAAACACAATTAATATTTTATTAAAAAAAAAATTCTAACCACTTGGTAAAGGGAGACCAAGTGTTTATGACAAAGAAAGAAATGCCCTGGGATTAGAAAGACCATAAGAATCAAAAGACCTTTAGTTCTCAGGAACCAGTGTTGGAGAACTCTGATTCAGAACCCCCAGCAACGAGGCAGAGATGAGAGATGAAATGTTTCAACCTGTGTTAAAAAACAGTGCCACCCGGAGAGAGCACTACCAATTTTAGGAAACAAAAGTCACCACTTTTGGACATTAAGCACAACTTAAAAAACAGGGACTAAGACATTATATTGAATAACTCTTCCCTTAAACATCATGGCCACAGGACTGAATCTGTAAACACAGGATAATCTTTTTTTCTATGGTAATATAAAAAGTCAGTTAAATCTCAAAAGACATTTTTCACTGTTCTAAATTACAGGATTTTAAACATTTTTTTTTTATATAATACAGCATCACTTAAAAATTTATTTAAGAGCAATTGATTCAGGACTGCTTTAGGCTGAAAGAAAGTCTTTAACTTAGTGGAGACAGTGCCTCAGCTTGGTCCCAAATATTTTCCCGTTACCATTTCTTAAAAAGCATATCATAGATGGTATTAATGCTGTTTAAAATCACGGAAGATGGAGTTGGGCCTGCTACTATTGGAGAGAAGAAACTTGAAGGCAAGGATGGTTTAACCTCCAACACTGCTAAGAGATGACAGTCAGGAGTTTGGGTCTTCTCAGTCACCAAAGCCACATGACCAGTGGGCCAGGGCCCTGCTACCTTGATTTCTCTTCCACCAGTCTCAACAGCAGAAGCTTTTCACTACTTAAAAAGCTTGATAAAGCAATTGATGAAAACCTTCAAAGAGGAAACACAGAATACCCCTAAATACAGCAATGTCTTGTTTGCATCCAATAGACTTAGGTCTCCAAAGAAGCCTTCTTTTTTTGTTGTATTATGTCCTTTGGCTCTGAAAAGCGACAGAGCCTCTTCTTAGCCAAAGCTCTCCATTCATAGTACCCGAATCATTACTTTTTCTTCTAAACAGACTCACCCTTTCACAGAGTTGCTGCTTTAATGAAGACTTGAACAAAGTCAGATTGTCTCCAAGGTCCGTATTGACAGGAGAGTCTTTAGATGAAGCTTGTTTCCTAACTTGCTCCTTTCTTCTCCCATTCCTAGGGTACCATCCAAATACCAGCAACCCCCCCACAAAAAATAGGAATGTTAGTTATCTTCTATAGCAACCTCCATATACATAGAAGCAGTTAGGAATAGAGATGACAATTAAGTTTCAAGCCCAGTGTGTTCATCACTGCTTGGAACATCTGTTAAGAGATTTTGAGGCCATGGCACAGCAGAGAGTGGGGCGAGTGATGTGTCTGCCATGGCAGTGAGTGAACGGTGGCTTACGTGCTTGCATGCATTTAATAGTCACTGGTGCAGGTGCCTCAAAATATCTCCAGCAGGTAAGCAGGATAGAAATAAGGAGCAGAGTTTGCGAAAAACAAAGGCAGCTCTAGGCATGTTCTTTATTGTACAAATGCATAAGGGATTAGTAACACTTTTCGTCTAGCCTCCAGGGGAAAAACCCGGTAATGGCATCCGGACCTTGTTTATGCCTGACTGAGCCTTTTGCCACTAGTTGGCTGGGCGGCTTTAGGCAAATCATGTCACCTGTCTGAGTCTGTTTCTTTAATTTTCATGGGAGAAGTCCTTCAGAACCACTGACTTTTTGTTTGGAAAACTATCCAGTCACAATCTGTCTGAACTGCAGCTGTCTCCCTGGAATCTACTGATAGTCGAGTGGTGGGTAGCTCGAGGATTCAAGTATCCTCAGGCTGATTGGTAAGAACACTTGAACCGGGAACCTTTCTGGTTGGTCAGTGCCAAAGACTGAGCGAAAGCAGTGCAAAGCCCCAGCCCCTGTGTCTTCCTGCGGAAGAGGGGAGCCCTCACTCAGAGCTGGTGCCCAAAGCAGCACAGCGCCACCCGGGTGACAAGAGGGGCCCCACCCTAGCGACAGTTCTGCTGTCCACTGGTGCCCCTGAATGACCACTCACCTTGGCTTTCTGGAGGACGGTGCCTTTGCCTGTGACCATGACCGAAAGGGGCCTGTTCTTGAGCGCTGTTGCAGAGTTGACTGGGGTGCAGTCTGGGGCGGGGGTGGGGGTGGCAGCTTTGGGCTGTGGTGACAGGAGAGAACGAGGGCTGAGCCAAGAGGAGGGAGACATGACCCATTTCCCCCAACCCCGGTCCCAGGAGGCCCTGCCAGCAGTTCAGAGGAGCCGCAGCCCCTGGCACTCACTCGGGGGCTCACGCTCTCCAGGTGGGTGGTGTCCACAGTGGTGCCCAGCGTCACGGGCCCGGCCTCGGCCTTCTTCAGGTTGTCCTTCACCTCCACGATGTTGAGCTCGAGGTCCACACGCCTGCTCTCCTCGATCCTGCACTCCTCTTCCATTTCCTTCAGCTTCTGCTCCAGGCTGGCCAGGACTCCCTTGTCTGGAGAGAGAGTTAAGCCGGCTGCAGGGAACCGAGTTTCAGCCACAGACCAGAAAACCCTGCTGGGTAGAAGCAGGATTTACACACAGCCCTGCAGGAACAGCAGGTGGACGTGGACCACAACTCTGGCTCCAACTCTCAGAGCTGGGATGGGCCTGTGTGCGGGGGGCAGCCTCGAAGCCTAAGGCCTGTGTTGGCATTCTGCACAGGCTGGGGAAGGCTCTGGAGGAAGACGGCTCTGCCTTCACAGAGGGCATACGTCCCTTCTGGTAGGTTTTTACAGGCGCTCTGAGCTGCTATTGTTACAGTGACACAAAAGGGTGAGAGAAGCTTTACTAATGACCCTTAGAGGATGGCTGGGCTGTTTCGGCCAGCCCCACACAGTTCCCTCAGTCCTTCTGGCACTCAGTGGTCCTCAGCCCCGGCACCTTCTCAGCCCTGTTTTATGCTGCTTCTCCCTGGGGTTCTCAGGGTGGTACGGCAGCACCAAGAAATGACAACCACGGGAGTCCATGCTAGTTCATCTTGGAGCTCATTACTAGAGCTAAGGATGATACCACACGTGTTCACTAGAGAGTCCCGAGCACCAGTCAACAGCCACTAAAATAACTTATGTGCTGTTTCCAAGTTTTACGGTAAATAATCGTCTGTCAACCCTTGCCGGAGGACAAGCAGTCACAGGCGCCACCGTTTCAGAAAAATTCATGGAGAAAAAGAAAGCTGAGAAAATATGCTAATAATGTTTTTGGGATTGGAGTAAAAAAAAAAAAAGTTCATCTTTATTAGTTAATATCAAAACTTTGAGAATTACTTTCTTATGATCTGTGACTTTTTAGCCTAGCGTGTGCAGAGCTCATTTGCCAGAATAAACTATACAGTCATGCGCTGCGTACTGACATTTGAGTCAACGACGGACTGCACAGACAACAGCGGTCCCGTAAGATTAGCACCATGTAGCCCAGGTGTGTAGTGGGCTGTACCACCTAGACTTATGTCAATACACTCTGTGATATCCACACAAGGACGAAATTGTGTTAACAATGCATTTCTCAGACGCATCCCCCATCCTTAAGTGATGCACGACTATAGTAAAAATTCTCTCTTCTCGTACCTAGAATGTCCACACAGGAGGGAAAGGACTAGGATCCCTGGCTCTTCCTCACAGCCCCAGCTGGTGTACTCGGGGTTTTCAAGGACTGTCCTAGACGAGCCTCTGGTCACGCTCATCAAAACACATCCTCACTCTCTAGTCTGACTGGGTGGAAAGGAAACCAGGCCACTGTCTCTGAGCACTAGCAGCCAGGAGCACAGAACCCTCAGGACCAGTGGACACACATTTATAAAGACAGAAAGCAGACAGTGGTTGCCTAGGGATAGGCGGGTGGAGGGGAAATGGGAGTGACTGCTAATGAGTGTGGGTGATGGAAATGTGCTAACATTGATCGTGGTGATGGTTGCACAACTCTGTGAATGGACTAAAAACCAAAGAGGGGTACACAGTAAATGGGTCAAGGGTATCATCTGAATTCTCTCTCAATAAAGCTGTTAAATTTTTTTTAAAAAGTGGGTGACTTTGTGCCCCCATGACCTTCCTCCACCAGTCGTGTTATAAGCTTCCCAGGAATCGGCTAGGTTTGTCCCCAAACCTGCTTGTGCCACTCGTGCTTGTTAGTGCAACTCTGCAATTTAAATACTAAATGAGCACAGAGTTACGCTATGAAAATGAAGTCAAATGCCTCGGAAAGGTCCTCTGTGAGGCAAGGTGCTAGGAAATGGCTGATGGATGCTGTGAGGATGATTGGGAAAATAATCTAGAAGGACTCAGCTCTACTTGCAAGTGTAAGTTTTTGTTCACTTTAAAGAAATGACTGGAAATTAAGGATGCTGCATTATAGGTGTGGTTAATGCAACAAAGATGACATGGGGCTCCCATTAGCTGGCCCAGGTCTCGGGAAAAGGCATTGGCACTACATCAAAAGATGGGCCAAGAGGGAGCTGGACCAGTGGCGTAGTGGTTAAGTTCGTGTGCTCCCCTTCAGTGGCCTGGGGTTTGCAGGTTCAGATCCTGGGCGTGGACCTAGCACCACTGGTCAAGCCACACTGGTGGCATCCCACATAAAATAGAGGAAGAGCTCAGCAACAATCTTCCTCAAGCAAAAAGAGGAAGATTGGCAACAGGTGTTAGCTCAGGGCCAATCTTCCACACAAACAACAACAACAAAAGATCAGCCAAGAAATATACAAGTGAAAATAAAGCATTTAAGGTCAAAACACAATTTTTAGACATTACTTCCTTTAACTAGCTTTTTCAAGTGCCTCCTAGAAGAGGACTGCAATCTTTCAGACAGGATGGAGGGGACTGAGGCCTTTGCAGGGGAGCATCCATGTGTGCCAAAGATTGACAGAGGCTCCAGGACAGGTGCACAGGTCCTGGAAAGCCCAGGCACACGTCCTCTGAGCCAAAGGCCCCCGTCTGGCCCTCTCCACCTGGGAGGCCCCTTACCTGTACATTTTGACAGGGTCTCTTTCAGCTCCCGTTTCTCTTTCCGGAGCTGAGCCAGGTGCCCCCGGATTTCTTCCTTCTTCCTCTCAAGCCTCTCCTTCTCCTCGGTGTACCGCTTCACCTCAGCTTCTGTCCTGTTCTTGCCAAGTTTGATCTCTACAGACCCAGAGAGAGGGACCACCCCGGTCAGCCAGGCTGGAACATGAGGGCTGTCCCAACCCACTGCACAGGCTCAGAGGGAACCTGGAGCTTTGGCAGATCAGAGCTGGACAACAGGCCAGCCTAGCAGGGACGGAAAATGAAACTGAGCCCACACCTTCTTTGCTGTGTGACCTTGGGCAAGTCCCTTCACCTCTCTGAACCTCTGTTTGCTCATCTGAAAGGGAAGGAATCGGGCTAACGTCTTCAAGCCATTTCCAAAACACAAAACTCTTATCTAGCACAGGCACCTGCAGTGGTCACCCTCAACCTGTCCTTCACAGGTGGGCTGGCTCCAGCTGGGGTGAGGGCCACAGCGTCGGGGCAGCTGGATGGGAAGGAGATTTTCTGCTGTTCAGTCTGGATTTTGACCATCGTGGTTCTCAGGGAAGGCTCCTCAGACTCCAGATTCTCCTGCTGCATCTGCTTTGGGAGGAAGCAGACAGGACTCAGGCAGCTGAGGGGCCAGGAAGGCAGGGCCACCGCTCACCTGCTGGGGGATGGCCTGTACCTGCAACTCAGGGGTTTCTGGAGACATCTCGAGGGCCTCATCTGGGGTGGGGCTTGGGCCTGGGTCTGCAGGGAGGGCCTCGGCCAGAGGGTCCAGGTGGGACAGTGGTGGGGAGGGGGCCTGGGCCTGTGCACTGCCGGAGCTGTGCAGGAAGGACTTGACGGGCGTCAGGTCCAGGTACACTCGGTCGGGCCCGCTCTCGTCCAGAGCATCTGTGGCAGGGGTGGCTTCCTCGGTGGGTTCCACCTGCAGAGGAAAGAGTCGGGTGGCTTTCACCATTGCCTCCATCCGTCGGCTGTGAGCCCTGTCTCAGAGCTCCTGTCCCCACCCTGTACTGGAGAAAGCAGGGACCTCCCTCTGGGAAGCCTCCTGTTGAGCTGGAGTTAGAAGGCCTGGGTTCAAGTCCTGGATTTGCCACTCAAGAGGTGGGAGATCCAGGACACAGTACCTCACTTTCCTAACCTTACTTCCTCATCCATAAAGAGAAAAGCATCGTAGTACCTCCCTGTAAGGCAGTCAGGATTGAAGGAGAGAATCCACTGAAGCGCTTAGCACAGCGGAGTTCAACGCTCGGTAAATGAACCTGCTGTCAGGATGACGATTCCACCTCAGCTACCACTTTGGGCCTCCAAGGCTAATGGTGTCACCGCTCCCAATCTAACACCACACCTCCCACCCCCAGCACTGACCAGGGCCGTTAACCAGCTGTTTTATCCAAACAAGTCCCCAAGCCAGATGGGCTGCACAGCCCAGTGTACACAAGAGGACCCTGTTGCCCCTAGCTTTCTGCACTGATGGCCCCGCAGGTGACTCGGAATCCACGCCTCTTAGGGATAATCTACAGTGTCTGGTGTTGAGGCAGTGAGGTTTGCCAGGAGGGGGACCAGACAGCCTGGGCCGCTGCCTGGCGGGTGTCCTTACCGTGGCCGACAGCTCCGACATCTCCACGTCATCATACAGCATCTCCTGGCGATCCTGGCTGGGCAGGCCATCGATGTAAGTGTTTGGCTCTGAGAATTTTCTCTGCATCAGTCTGGAAGACACAGCGAGAGGACGACTCAGGACAGGGTTGGTAAAAGCCACCAGTCTCAAAGGATTCGTAACAAAGAGATGCCATGAAAGCCACAGGCTGTGCCAGAGACCTGGGGCCTGGCACCCACCTTTTTAAAAACTAATTCATTTATTTAGCAGCATCTTCTCCCTCTCTTCCAAGGGCCTTTTTACTAGAACTCCTGGTTCCAAATTTCTCTTCCAGAAAAACAAACTTCCCCAGCCCTGTACCCCTCTTTTTAGGATCCTTTTGCCTCTTCTCCGTTCTCCTTCCTTCTAGGACCTCCTTCCAACAACAACAAAATCCCTTCTCATTTTATCTTCACAATACAGTTGGGGCAGCATAGACCAGATACTTTCCCCATTCAGTACGTAAGAAAAGGGCTTCCCTTTCAGTGGCTGGCCAGCTCCCACCAGTGCTGCGTCTATCAGCCGACCCAGGACCACTTCCCCCTGAGCCCCAGTTTGTTCATCTGGAAAGCAGAAACACCACCCACCCTGCCTGTTCCAGGGTGTGCTGGGGACCCAACGCAGGATCCAAGGGAAAGTGCAGAGTCAATAGCAAGGCAAGCGGAAGGCCAGGAAAGGCACTGACTCTCCCACAGGAGCTGGAGAGCATCTAACCAGAGCCCAGGATGCTGTGGCTGCCCCTGCGCCTGAGGCCTGGCTCAGCTCCTAGCTGGCCTCCCTGAGGGCTGCTCCTCGGCCCTAGTCTTCCTGCTGCTGGATAGAACAGGGCTGACCCTGAGTTCTCAGCTGCCACCTGCTCCACTGACCAGCAGAGGCCAGTCTGGGCCTGAGGTCCAGAAGCATGGCTGGGAACAGGAGGGTGCAAAGCAGAAGGCCCCTTAATACTCACAGCAGAGAGTTCTTGGCCGCGCTCACAATACAGGAAACCCTGTCGGCATCCACGTAGTCATAGGTGAATTCTTCTGGGTCTGTCTTGGAGCCCGACTCAGAGAGCAGGAGGCCTAGCCAGTGGCCCATTTCCTCAGAAGACTTGGCCTGGGAGGAGGCAGAGGGGGTCATGAGCAGGCTGGAGTGGGCCATAACAGCATCCCTGCCCTGATGCCCAGCCTGGACAAGGCCTCTGGGAGAGCCTGGGGCCACTGTCCCTCATTTTTACCAGCATATCCCATCCCCTAGGAACCCCAAATAGCATTTCCTGCCATGAGTGGTACCTTGACCACTTCAGTGATGCTGTGGACATTTGTCCCAAGAGCCACATGTGATTTATATACATGTATTTCTAGAAGGCTAATGGACCAGGAGAGAACTGTTACGTTGTATGTATTGTAGGTTGACACCTCTATTTTTTGAACTGTCGCCTGTCAGTTTATCACCCTAATCCATACACATAAGACTGCCTGGATCCCCTGCTAAGAAATAACAAAATTCAAATTTATTTTTGTTTATCGTTTCAGTAAAGTCAAGATGTCTTAAATACCTTACACCAGGGCAACCAGCTCTGATAAATCATGAACTAAACCCCAGTGACACTCATGCCTGGTTTTTTTCCAGGAGAAAACGCACGCTAAACAAATATGTACATTGGGTATTTCTATTAAAACGCCAATGTTGTTTCTTGCCTTTATAACGAGAAGAGACTGGGAATTCTATAAGCACTTACAAGTTTATTTTCATGATGAAAAACAGCTACCACTGTGGCATAACACGACCCAGCTCTACTATCTGATCGCCACGTTCTCGCATTCAGAGAGGCAGCTCTCGGCTGAGTTTGATGTTTAGCTGGTTTCCTTTTCCATTCATTTACAAGTGGATTTCTCAATAGAGCCCTACACGAGCATCCTCTAGTTCCAGCTACCACCGTCTCTGCCCTGGGCAACTGTCCTAACAGGTCCCATTTTGTTTCTTCTTGTCCCCCTTCCATCCATCTTCCACCCAGCAGCTGAAAGAAGCATCTGAAAACCGAAATCTGAGCATGCTACCCTCCCTTGAAACCTTCCGAGTCCCCCACCATTCTTAGGAGCAACCCCCTTGCCTCCCAGCCTCATCACACCGCTGTCCCCCTCCCACCTCCACCCACCCAGCACACCAGCTTTCACACATATCGCAGCCCCTGCACCGCTGCTTTCCAGCAACTGTTCCTAAGTAATTAATTGCGTAATTAATTGAACATCTCTCTATCATGCTAGAATATAAGTTCCATGAGGACAAGGAACATCTCTTGGTCACTATATTATTGCACCGAGTACATATTTGTCGATGGGACAGGTGCTTGGATGAAAGAATACAAGCTTTCCCCGGGTAAGCAATTGGGATGTGGATCTTTTAGCCACCAGAGGGCAGTATTGGAGCAAAATTCAGATGAAGACCCCTGGATAAAGGCCGGAGGGAGCGAAAGGAGTGAACCAGGGTGTGTGTGCTTGGGCCTGCCCAATTCAATGCAAGGCATTATGTCACCTCTTATTTCTGTAAATGTAACATCACATCAAACAGAGGGTGGGGAGTGGGAGAAATGTAATTGTATCACAAACCTAACTCTTCCCCCCAGATAAGCCCTAAACGTCGTCATTTTTACCTACTGGGCCCCGTCTGGTCATACGCAGACTAGATCAGACCCGCTGTGAATCCCCAGAAGGTTTTTCCAGCAGCACAGGGAGTTATAAATACTCTGCTGCCCTAAGTGCAGGAAGTAGCTCATTGTCCCGTTCCTATAACACCACCACCCTGAGGTCAGAAAGGGAATGGAAATTTTTTAAGAATGCAAACAATCTCAGGCAAAAGAAACAAAAATAACACACAACTGCAGTGACTCCCTTTGTGGGACTGCAGTCTTCGTGACCTGCCGTGAACAGCTGTGACCTCCACGCCCTGGCCGGGCCTGCCGCCCCCCACGGCCCGCAGTACCTCAAGTTTGGCCAGCTCCTCGCCGTTGTGGAGGATGCGGAAGGAGTAGAGGTGGTCTGGGCTCGGGTCTGGGACCACCTCGCAGCCCACCAGGCTGAGAGGCTGCTGGGCCACCTTGCTCCTATTCCGGTCCTGATAGAAGTGCAGGTGACTGTCCCGGACGGAGCACCAGCGTGACTTCCACTGGCTGTTGACCAGCACGTTCAGGTAACCTGCAGGAGGAGACAAGGCTGCAGGTGACCCAGGGTGTCCCTGGCCGCCACCGCCTCTGGGCCTCCTGGAGTCACCCCAGAATCAGTTCCCAGACCTGTCACACCTTGCCCAAGACACTTCCTTCCCTCCTGGAGGCTCTGAATCTCAGTGTGCTTTCCTCCTTCCCTCACGTCAGCAGCAGGACCCTTTGGAGGCGGCAGCACAGCTGTACTGGTTTTTGGAAAAGGTCTGTCCAGAAGGATGTGGGTGACTTGGACTAGACCAGGCCCGTTTGTATGTGTGCACAACAGAGGCTCCCCCACCCTCGGCCTCGTCTCCACAGCTCATGGTGCCCAGCAGTCCTCCTCCCACCTCTGGTCACTTAGGTAGGCCTCATGCAGGAGGGTCCCCCAGCTGGGGGCTCCTCACTGCGGGTGTAGCCCTCTTGACTCTACAGCCGTAGTTTCCTCAGACCCCTGATAGCCTTGCCTTCCATGAGTCCCTCAGTCTCAGCCTGCAGAGTCGTCCTCCACTTGGCCAGCTCCTCCCCATCCTCCCACACGCACTGGCCTTGGCCCTCCCTGGGTCCTGCACTCCCTGCTCTGCCTGCCTTTGGAACACTTGGATCCTGGAACCATGAAACTCTGCTTCCATGTCGGCCTCCCCAGCTGGACACGGAGCTTCTCAAGGGCAGGAACCTGCCACGCTCATCTCCAGCACCTGGGGTCTGTGCCCTGTGGCCTCTCCACCAGGGAGCCCCTCTTCCTCTGTCGGCACAGAGGCTGCCAGCACTGGGGTGCACCCATCACGCAAGCCTTTACTGTTCTCGGATGGCTGCATGTGCTGGGTTCACCTTCCCAAGGAGAAGACAGCCGATCACATGAACATTTACGGAGCTGACGCCACATGCCAAGCTTAGCCTTGTCCCTGGGGCTACAAAGATGGGTAAATTTCCATCTTCAGGACCCTCTGCACACCTCACATGTGGTGGGTTGATACCCCTCTGTACTGCTCACCTCCCCAGAGGCACTGGCTCCAAAAGAGGATGCCTTCTCTGTCCCAAGGGCTTGGCAGCTGCTCTGAACCTTAGCTGGGATGAATTAGGTCCATATAGCAGGGTCAAAGTGCACAGCCACCTTCCCACCCAGCCCAGTGCTGGACACACAGTGCGGATCGTGAATTTCTCAGAGCCACGTGAACATCACATCATGGCAGCAAAGTGGAAGAATTCGAGCCCAGGACCTAGGAAGTCTGGCTCATCTGGGCGGGCACCCCACTTGCCCATCACTGTTCTCTGGACCAAAGAGAACTCTGGGTCAGGAGAGGTAGGGAGCTCAGATGCTGAGTCCTGGGAAGAAGCGCAACTGTTCTTTCTCGCCCTTCCCCAGCCACAGGGGAGAGGAGCATGCTTTGATGCTGAGGAGACTGACAGCAATAGCCCAGTCACATCTCCCAAACAGTGACTCACTGGGACGAGGCTCCCATGCCCAAGTCCGTGCCCTCTGAGGCTGCAGGGGCTGGCAGAGCTGGGCCATCACCCGGCACTCTGGCTGGAGAAGCAGGAGGCTCTGAGGGTAAGGCCCCGTCTGCTGCCTTCCCATTCACCGTGGCCACCCTGCCAGCCTCTAAATGCAGAACTGAACTGGGACTCAGGAAAGGAGCCCAAGGCTGGGACATGGGTTCCATGAGGAAGAGGAAAGGGGCCAAAGGTGGACAGTAATGGCCTTCAGGCCCCAGGGAAAGTACAGCAATGGGCCCCAGGTTGGGAGCCAGCACACTGGCTCACCCCAGGATATTTTCTGGGAAAGGCCTTTCTCTCCTGGCCTCAGCTTCCTCAAGCCTGAGTAAGGGCAGTGAGATGACCTCTGAGAGCCTACCAGCACCCACACCCCCTCCACACCAGCAACACTGGGCTACTCATTGTCCCGTTAAAGGGTCTCACCAGACCCCATCTCAGAGTCTTTACACCTGCCCACGGACACCATCCCAGTCTATTCAGCTCCTACCCATCCTTCAAGGCTCAGGTCCAGGAGGCCATCTCTGACAACAGAGAGGTTCCTTCTGTCCCTAAGGCCTTATAGCTTCTAAGATGGCACAGAGTGTGGTTACAGTTATAGAGCTGTCATCTCTCTTAGGCTGTAGGCTCTCAGGACTGTGTCCTCCATCTGTTTGGTCCCCTTTCCCTGACACTGCACCTGCTCTACAAATATTGATCAAATGAACATATTTTTAAAGACCATCAGGAGGACAGCAATCAGTTACCCCTCACGTCCACAAAGGATCCAGCATCGCGGTAGGAGAGAGTCTGTTTAGGCATAAAGAACCACCTGCAGCGAGGATAAACAGAAACTGTGGGCGTGGGGACACCATCCCCAGAGATGTTCAAAGCAAGACCTAAAATCCCGCCTTCGCTGTCTGAGCGGCCTTCCTGGAGACGGCTCCACCCCAGGGAGCAAGCCCTCTGGCCCTGGAGGCCCTACGGTTCTTACTCGACGTCTCGAGGGACCTCTCCGGAGGCTCCAGTGAGGTAGACTTCTTCCTGCCCAGGTTCATTAGGTTGCTCAGTTTGAGGCCAGCAGAACATTTCTTCTTGACTATCAAGATGAGAAAACAAGCAATCAGCGTTGCACACAGCCTACCAATATGCCCTTATGAAAGATGCAAAAGTAATCTAGAGATGATTTCAAGTATATGGGTGGATGTGCATAGGTTACATGCAAATACTACGCCATTGTATAGAGGGGACTCGAGCATGCACGCATTTTGGTATCCACAGGGAACCCTGGAACAAGTACCGAGGGACAACTGTAGTTTATAAACCGGAGGCATGTTAGAATCAGTTGTTAAAACCCATTTAGCCCTGAGCCAGACAGTCAAGTCTCACAGCCTGGAATACCATCCCCCTCCCAAACCTAGGCAGAGAGCCATAAGTGCTGGTACCATCTTTGGTCTCTGGAACCTCAGGGTGACCTTCTATGGAGCTTCCATACTCTGAGGCTGACAGGAACTTCTCAGTTATATCTGGCTGTGGAAGAGAGAGAGAGAAACAAGTGGGTGATCTTGTCTGCAAATGGTTACCTTGGAGACCACAATAATAATAGATATATAGAAATCTATATAATATAGAATATAGAAATATAGAAAATAATAGATGGCTCTTGAGAGTAGGCCAGAGGTCACCTGGAGCCCAGGTCACTGGTGGGACGTTGGCCAGGCTTCCCTCTGGAGAACCTGCTTTCACTCTCCCTTCCTGAGGTTCCCTGACTTCAGGCCACCACTCATCCTTGTTCACGAGTTCTCAAAATGGCCGCTCAACCTGGTGTGACAGTGGCCCCATAGCCAGCGGGGAGGGCAGGTAGCCAGCCACAGGGGTGACATTAGAGTCGGCATCCCAACTGAAGCTGACTGACAAGCTGGGCACCACCCATCCCGGGAGCATGAAGAAGTCTTGAGAACTGACTGTGCTGCCGACACATGGGGCTTTGGAGAAGAGCCAGCTGGGCTGCCCAAGGTCAGACAACGATTCAAATCCTGACTCCAGCATTCTCCAGCCAGGTGGTGTGCGCGAGTCACGACCCTCTCTGAGCCTCGATCCGCATGTGTGTAAACACGGATAATACCCTGTCTGCATTCCCAGGGCTGTTGAGGGACTAGAGAGAGTAGAAGAGTGTAGTGGCTGCTGCTGTAACAATGTGAAGCCCTCAGAATATTCCAGTCAAGCTTCCTCTAGAACCACTTACTCCAGACCTCTGTAAAACAAGCTGAGGGACTCCCAACCAATGGGACCTGGCCAGGGAACACTATGCCAGGTCTTTAGGGAGAACCCCTCTTTTTTTTATTGAGGTATATTTGACACAGAACATTATGTTAGTTTCAGGTGTACAATAGGGAGAGCTCTTGTTTCTCATCTCAAAGTGAAGAAAACCCAGGTTTTCTTCATCAGGTTTTCTTCAGGCCCAGAACGAACAAAACAGCCCCTCTCAGTCATTCTAGAAGGGCTATGGGTATTTCTCCACGGGGATGGCCAAATGAGCCTTCCCAAAGAACAAAGTGCCTCATCCTTGCTCAAGCCCTCTGTCACCCTCTTGCTTTCCTCCCTGCCAGGATGGGGACCCCAAGATGAGACACAGTGACCCTCTGCTCTGTGCACACCTGGGCTCCAGGACACCTACCTGCAGATACTCGGGGACATGAAATGTGACCCCAAAGGTCACAGCCCTCCCCTTAGCCAGCACCCAGCCCAACTTTCTCAACTTTGACCCCTAAGCAGAGGGCCCCACAGCTCCCTGCAAATGAGCACTAGAGCCTTTTGGCTGGGGTCAACATCGTGAGGGTTCCCCCGGCCCTGGAAGCTCTATGAGGAGTAAGTGGGAAGAAAGAGCCTCGAAAAATAAATCTCCCTTCTTTATGGAAAGGAGGGCAAAGTTACATTTGTCCCAGTAAAGCTTCCCTCCTCTAGCACGAAAAAATTTTAGATGTGTATTAATTTCATCAGTTTTCCTGCCAAGCTGAAGTTACTGCCCTGATCCAAGCATTGTATGTTTCTTATTAATTGGGCTGAAATGCAAAAACAAAGTCCTCAATTTTGTACTTTTAGTTTTTAGGGAGAAAAAATGGAAGCAAACTCTCCTTCCAGGCAGAGCAGAGACTTACTTTCTGACAGTTCGGGCGCTGGGCATCTGGGGTGTATTGGTTTCCCTCGGACACCCCTTCTGAAGGCAGGCCGCTCACCTCCTGGATGACCTGAAGGAAGAGGAAAGTCATTAGGGGAGGCCCAGGCCCTCGAGGCCCTTCGGCCTTGCAGACATAGCCAGACCAGAGCTGGAGCCCCTCAGGGTCACAAGGGAGTGGGTGGAGGTGAGAGAGAAGATGCACCATTTCCAGGAAATGGAGAACCACACCAACCCCAGCACTTGGCCCACAAGTGGCCTCAGGACCCAGCTGGGCAGGCTTGGGGCAGGGGGTGTGTTCCTTAGGCCCTCTCTCCTCCAGGACCCCACATGTTCTGGGGGTGGGCAAGGAGGGGGCCTTTGCAGCAGAGCCCCAAGATGGCCAGAGCAGCCAGCCCTCAGTTCCGTGAGCCCTCTCCTCGTCCGCATCCTGGGCAGGGTGCTGTTCAGCTGTGGGTGTGATGAAGAACACATTTGCCATTTGCCGGGTAGCTCCGGGGCTCTCTGTGGAACATCTCCACACTGTCCAGGAAGCAGGCCTGCAAACCTCCTGGGCCCAACGCTGGCTCTCCGGTCCTGCCTGCCACAGTCCACACCACCCTCCTCTGAGAAGGAGCCTTTGAACTGGCACCAGGGGCCTGGGCTGAGGGCAGATACAAGTCAAAGGTAGCTGAGTACACCAAGCAGCAGTACCTGCCCCCCCAAATCTGGGGACCACCTGGGGCATCCCCAGAGGGTACCAGTCAGGGCAGCCACAAACACACTGCCCATCCAGAAGCCCTTTGCAGATACGGACTCAGCAAGAGCAATTTCAGAGACCTTCCTTTTTCAGTCCCCACATAGAGCAGCTTATGGAAAGGAGATAAAATCAGAAAAGCAGAACAGAAGGAAGAACGGCTGTGGGGCTGGGAAACAAGGCTTTTCTCCCTCCTTAGATGGACTCCAGTTTGGGACCTTGGTCCTTGAGGTGGACCAAATATGCGACATGGTGCTGTGGGACAGGGCAGGCACTAGCTCTGTGACCGTGGGCCTCAGTCACCACATCTGCAGGATGGGACACCTATACCACAGGGCGGCTGTGAGGGCTCGTGGGTAAAGTACCCAGCACAGGAGAGGCACATTCGTTACCATCCTTATTATCTGGGGCCTGGACACACGGGCGCCCTGCCCAGGAGAAGGGTGCCGAACCAGGAATCCAGGCTCGAGGGTGTGGGCTTCTGCTTCTCTGGGAAGTTCTACTTTGTGCCTTCCTTTTCTGGGACTCTCGTGCCATACTCAACATCTCCCATTTACTGTCATATACCTGTCCCACCCCATGGGCACAGGTGAGAGCATGCAGAGTTGAGACACAGAGGCCCAGGGAAGGTAGGTAGGTTTGACAAAACAGATGCATCTGGTCCAGAGCCCATGAAACAAGCTAACCAGCCCCCCAGTTGCAAGTGTGTGCAGCTTCCGAGTCAGGCCCTTCTGGCCGAGTCCACCTCTGCTCATCTGACCAGGCAGGAAAAGGGTCTCTCTGTGAAGGGTGATGGAGAGGCTGTGCCTTCTGAAAGGCTTCTTGTCTTTGAAACCACCAGCAGGGAATGTGGGGTCAGGGGTCTCAGGAAGAGGGCGTGAGAACTGGGGAGGGAGGCTGGGGGTCGGGGAAGGACAGGTGGGTCTGAGCAGTCAATGGGACAGTGCTGAGAACTGGGAGCAAGAGCAGTGTGAGTGTGTGTGCGTGTGCGCGTGTGCACATGTACGTGCATACAAGTATTTCTGTGTGTGTGTGCATGCGTGTGCGTGTGTGGTGGGTGGGGTTGGGGGACAGTTGGCATGGAAACAGGGAACCTGGGCAAGAAAAAGGAGTTAAAAACAAAGCCAGCAGCCCAGGGCCCTGGTCCCAGTCAGTTCTGCAGCCCAGGACAGACCCCTAGCTCTCTCTGGGCCTCACTCAGTGCTCTCGTCTATACTAGTCAAGTTTTATGGAGTGCTCAGTATATGGCAGGTACAGTGCTAAGCACTAGGTATGCATTCACTGACTAACCCAAGATCACAGCTAAAAAGGAGTGAGCCCAGACTTGAACCCAGAGCCCATGCTCCTCAGTGGTCAGGCTCGGCCTTCTGGAGCTAACATTCTCACGGGAACTCTCCCAGAGAGACCTGTGAAGCCGAGCCACAAACCTGCCTGTGAGGTGGGACCCTTCCTGTCCTGTCCACTCCCCTCAGTCACCTGAGAGATTCACAGTAAGGAGCAGGGAGCTGTCAGCTCCTCCCACAAGCCCGGCTCTGAGACAGGCTGGGTCTGGTACTCTGAAACATTTAGTGAGTTCACAAAAGCAGCCTGGCCACCCTGGACCTCGGGTACTCAGCCTAGGAGCCGGCCCGCACCTCGGGCTGGTACCGTTTCAGTCAAGCTTCCATAAGGTGGTGCAGGTCTGTTCTCATGGACTCAGCAGGGTGGTTATGTTCAGCCCGGGCAGCAGACGGGGGTGGACAGTGGATATAACGCTCCTGTGATGGAAATGCATCAACATGGCCACGATGCAGGAGAGGCAGCAGGGGCCTCTCTGGCCTCACCAGGGGCCCTGCAAGGTCCTGCAAGCATGGGCCCCTTCTTGGGGCAAATCTCCTACTTTCTGGACTTGTCAAGCCCATCTTTAAACTGGGGCAGGCAGCCCCGACCCAGGTGCTTCATCACCACTGGGGCTACGTCATGGGGAAGCGTAGGCAGAACTGACCGCATGCATTCAGGATGGTACAACACACAGTCCTAGGTTTGAAACTCGATGCTACCACTCACTTGCAAGGGGACTTTGATCAGTCATCTTGCTCTGAGCCTTAATCTCCACTCCTGTAAAATGGGGACATTACCATCGCCCAGCTACCCCCAGTGTGGTTTGGTGGGTTAAGTCTGCTAAAGACACACGGCCCATAGCAAGTACTTAACAAATAGCAGGGACATCTATTCCTCAATAGGGAGCCTGGTGATGCCTCACTAGAGACCGTAAGACAAGTGGATCTCAACTACAGCCCAAGTCCAGATGACTGAGAAGGACACAGACCTGGCAGTAGACTGCTGTGACCCATTTCCGTAAGACGGATGGCTACCACTTAGAACACGGGCAGCCCTGGGGACTTGAAGGACCAAAGGTCGTTTGCCCTTGACAACATCTTTCCTTTTCAGAAAAAGCTGGGAGCCAGAACAGCAGGAGCTCCTGGGGGAGCGGGCCCATGACCTCAGCGGCCTGGCGGCTTTCTCACCCTGAGCCACTGCTCCGCTTGGTCCTTGCTCTGCAGGCCCAGCACGATCACGTCAGCGTTCATCGGTGTGATCTTCAGCTTGTGCTCCTTCTTCCGAACTTGCTTCTCCTTGTGGACGACGCTGCTGCCCAGCAAGTTCACGTCCAACTGAGGGCTGTGGTCCTTGGAGGATTTGTAACACTGGAAGAAAACAGAGATGAGACGCTGCTTTGCCAGGGGTGCCAGGTTCTTCGGAGGGGGCCCACTGGGCATGGCAGGACCTGAGAGCCAGGCTCTGCCCAACAAAACCAAGAGGGTGACACCCCAGCACAAGGGCAGACCCTTCCCCTCAATGTCGGCACCTCCTGTTCTCGGCATCACAGTGACCAAGCCCACTGTCTCCCCCTCCTTCAAGCCTCCTTCTCACCGACCTTGGCACCAGGACCCCATTTATCCAAATGGCTCTAATCTCACTGTCCACCTGGGCTGGCTCCTAAATAATGTCCTCTGCGGGCCTCACTTCTCCAGGGTGGAATGGCTTTTCCCATTTCTCTGCCTCTCTGCATCTCTTGCTCAGCCTCCCCAGTAAGGGGTCCGTAGGGAACGAAGTTAGTTAGGAAGATGATGTTAGCGGAGGAAGGAAGAGACTTTCTTCTCCTACCAGAGAAAATACTCTGCCCCTCAGGGTCTCATTTGTAAAGTGGGGGTCCTCCCAGGTCAACCTCAAAGGACACCTGCACAGAGCAGGGCACGTCGAAACCAGTGAGGAGAGGGCTTTTTAATGATTCCATGGAACTTCAAATCAGGACATAAAACTGGGAATTTTAATTTAAAATAACAGGAAACAGGGCTGTGGTCAGACAAGTATCTTCTGATTCCTTTACGAGTCTTGTTTTAGAATCGGTAAGTCAAGATACTGTGACTTCTGAGAAGATGCCTCTGATTCTCCTGCTGCACAGACGAAAGCAGGAGCCAGAACCGGGGCTGAGATCTAGGCCGGGCACGCCCTGACTGGGCAGCAGGTTCTGCCCAAAACCTCCAGTGGCCCAGATGAGAGGAATAACGGACCCTCGGACCAAGGGGACAGAAAGATCCTGGAAAAAATGTGGACGGGATGGGATGGGGGGCAATGGGAATCACAGCCTCCTTTGAGAAACTGATAAAAACGACTAGACTTTTCTAGTTTAAGAAAAAGCACATTCCTAGAAGCTTGATCAGATTTAGGCTTAATTATTTCTTGGCAATGATAAATCATAAAAATCAAACCCAAAAAGAAGAAAGAAAAAGCACATTCGTTCATGCACACAAAATTCTGTGTACGATTTCAGGTTAGGGAGAGGTGAAAATCTAATACAAAAGGCTCTAACCGCCTGGTATCAGGGTCTGCCCCGCTCCCCCCACAACAGAGAAGACTGGAACGCAACGTGAGACCAACTGACCAGGAGTCTGGTGTCCTTGATGACGCAGAGCTGCTTGGCCCACTGTCCCAGCCACTTCTTGCGCCACAGGAAGGCACAGATGCGGGCGTCCCGCATCAGCTCGATGCTGGCCTCAGGCGAGGGCCACTGGTAGGGGGCTGACTTGCCCTTGTTGCTCTCCTCTTCGTCGTAGGACTCATAGGAGCTGCTCACAGCTTCTCCGTCCTCTGCAAGGAAGACCTGCTGGGTCACAGCCCCATCACCAGCACAGGGTCCCACACATGCAGTTTGCTCAGGAGGAGGGTGGCAGCAGAACAGCCACTGGCCCCCAGGCCACAACGCACCTGCCTCTCCGTGCCCTTGAACCAGCCCCACAGCTGTCAACCACAGACCCAGGCAGACTTTGCAGCCCCCAAAGCCTCTGAGCAAAGCTTCTTGGATGCTGCCTCTGACCACAGACACAAATAACTTAAAACCAGGAGTCTCTCCCTTTTCCTCCTCAAACCTTGTCATCTCAGACTCCACAGAAACCTCTGACAAGACACTGCACAGACGGACTGTTGGCTCCTGAGAAGGCCAGTTCCCCTACTCGTGCCTCTGTTTCCTCCACTAAAGGAAGAAGCGGTGGGGTGAGAAAGTTTCTGGGTTCTTCCAGGCCTGGCACTCTGTCATTCTAAGGGACTGGGAGGAAGGGGTCACCATGGAGCCCAGAGCTGGGCGTGTGGCCAGCTGCCAACAGCTGCCTGCCTGGCCGGGCCTGCTCCATCCCTGGTTCTGCCCTGGGAGCAGCAGGGGGCTGTGGCCCCTCAGAGATGGCTTTCTGGGGAAGCTGGCCACCTCCCCATACTTCAGTGCCCACCTCGTAGTCACAGCCCCTTTTAAAAATCCACTCTTACCCTCCACAGACTCTGTTCTCTTTCCCTCCCTGCTGAACACCTCTCGGCACAAACTCGGCTCCTTCTCCTCGTTGCCAGCTCACAGGATCCGCCACCTCTGGCAACCAGCCAACCTCACTTTTTTGTTCCCTTCGAAAGAATCCCAAAACTCACCAAACACAAACCACACCCGACTCTTTGCACGTTCTACACGCCTTGGTTTGTGTCCCCACCACCCCGCGAGAGTTGCTCTGTTCTCCAGGTCTCACTGCACTATTCAATGCCCACAAAAACTGGGTGAAGAAAATAATAAATCAATAAAACCCTGAAAGGCAAGACATGGAGAAAGGAGAACCTCAGGATCCCCAGTCCAATCCCTGGCTCCACACAGGAATCCTGTCTATCATAACCCTGCTCCAGTCTCTTCTTGAATTCCCCACGGATAGGGAGCTCACTACCTCCTGATTTCTGGACAATTCCTTCCATTGCTAGGCAGCTCCACCAGAAAGCGGGGCCACCATCTACTTCCCTGTGACTTCTACAGACACGTTCTGTCCCCTTGAAGCAGAGTGAATGAAATCTCTCTTTCCTCTCTATGATACAGTTGGGAAAAGAGCCCATGGGCCCCTTATCTTCCCTTCTCTGGAAGCCCCTTCGACCATCTGCATTGCTAGGTTCCTGCATACTAAGAAAACAGAACCATGTTTGAATTAGAATATAGGAATAACGGAATGAGGCCACTCCCACAGTCATTATAGCTACAATGCCAATGAAAAAGTGCCTTATTTTAATATTTTTAAAGATAACACTTTAAATATTTAAATATCAGTTTTCTTTAAAAGCATGGTGGTACTACTCCCCTTCACAGCTTAATAAAAAAAGTTGCACAGTTCATGATTTTATATCAATTATATAAGCAAAGATTGAAACAGTGGTGCTACCCAGTGGGGGACTCCAAACACTCATACTGCTGGTGACAACGTCGATTAACCCAAGCCTCTCAGAAAACAACCTGGCAGCCTGTTGTTTCAGGAGCCATAAAAACACCCATACCTTTTGACCCAGTAATCCCAGTCCCGGAGTTTATCCCAGGAAACTAGTTTTTACAAAAAAGAAGGAAGGGGGAAGGCTATACACATTAAGAAATTCATTCAAGGGCTATTTAACAGTCAGCAGAAGGAGAGGGGAGAAAGGATGATTTCGTCCACGTAGGAGCACACCATGCAACTGTGGTCAGTGGAAACTCTGAAGACGAGTCTGCAACTCGATAAACTCCTTAATACATGATGGTAAGTGAGAAGGCAGAATTAAAATTATTTATGCAAATAGACTAGTGCTAAAAAGCACAGGGAGAACTCAGAATCATTGATTTGATGCTGAGGTAGGATCAGGGTCATTTCATAAAAATGTCAGTATGTATTAGCTGTACAATAAGTGAGATAAGAATATGATGTCATTGGGATTCCTCCTTCAGTAACGAAAATCAATGGAAGGAGGCGGCAGAGGAAGTTGGCTGAATCCCTCGCTGTTTCGTGCTTCTGGGGTTGCCCTACGTGTTCCATGGAGAATTCTAACACCTGCCCCTCTGCCTCCCAGCGGGTGTGGGAAAGCCAGCTGAGAAGAAACAGCAAATCATTGTACCTCAAGCCACCTGGAGTAGCTTGGAGGAAATTTAGGGCAAATGTATCCATTTCATTTGTCCCTAAGAGCAATCATAGCACAACCATAAGTGTAAGATACTCTTAATACAGATACTTGGCTTCCAGGGGTCACAGATGAACAGGAGTGGAAGGCGGGATGCTCAGATAATTCCGTCCCAGTGGACTGCACCCCACTTTGTGCTGCCCAAAGTCCCCAGGAACAGAGGGTAGGACAGCCATGAAGCGCTCTGGGTCATTCAGCCATCATTCAGATGCCACAGGCAGGGGTCTGTGGAAGGCAGAGTAAGTCTCTCCTGGAAGGATGGCACAGGCAGGAGGCATGCACAAGGACAGGAGGAGGGCAGTGGCCATGCTTGGGGCATGTGCCCCATCTCTGAGAGCCAGGCAGCAGGCACGGAATCACTGGCATTCCAGCTCTGGGGACAAGCAGTACCCAGGGTGATCGTGGCGTAAATGACTCCTTCAGGCACCTGCCCCCATCTGGGGACTCCACTGGGAGGAAATCTGCCAGAATGACCTGTAGGATATCCAGAAGCACAGACAAAGGCAAGAAGGAGAGAGACAAGATGAAGAGAAGGACAGATGCAAGTGCAGAGATACAGAGAGAGACCCAGATGTGGCAGCATGGCTGCCTGCCCACCAGAAGTCAGTGCTTTCCCATCGGAGGTGTGGGCTTGTCAGGAGAGGCCCCATCCCCATCAAGGACATCATTTCCCAGCCTCTTCACATCCAGAGATGACCATGTGACTGCCTGTGCCTTCTGCTCCCTCTTTGCAGAGGATTCTGTGGCCTCAGCAGGTGGCCGAGCCCACACTGGAAAGAGCCTGGGTATCCAACCTACCCACTGACCAGTGATACCCACCCCGAACTGTTCTGTGAGGCAGAAACAGACTTGTGTGTGTTACTATAAACTGAAAGGGGGGTTATTTGTTACAGCAGCTGCCACAACCTGGCAGGAGATATCATCAGCCAAGTAGCTGATGCCTCAGGCAAGCAGGACAGACCCTAGTATCTCCTGCACAGGCCATCCGGGCACTTACTAACTTCTACTCAGGGAGAGGCGCCTGGCCCAGGGGAGCAGGTGGGGACAGTGCTGGTATAGTAGGACGAGAATCCAAGCAACTGGTCTTCCGCAGGAAGTCAGCAAAATCGCTGTTGGCCAGAGAACTAGAGCAAGGGGCCAAAGTCCAACGGTCATTCCTCCTGTTGTGACCTGCATGTCCCACTGCTCCAACAGGTGTGGGGGCACACAGGCAGGCACTGAGGGCGGGCTGGCTTACAACGCAGGTGAAGTCCCCTCGGCATGGCAAGTTCTCCCCGAGTCATCCTCGGGCCTTGTCCTGGCAGGAGTAAAGGCAATCGGGCATGTTCCCACCCACCCTCCTGTGTTCGAGCTGCCCTCCCGATGATCCCCTAGTGGTGGCGGAAACCAGTATGAATTCACCGTCAAGAGACAAACACCAAGAAGCCTGGGTCTCTCTGACGACTTGTTTGTGTCGAGATGAAGTGTCTGCCCCACAAACAGGCCCCCAGGAGCGTCTGGAAGGCAGGTCCTGGCTGGCATGGGCCACACCCGAGAGAGACGGGCTTAAGATGCATGGAGGTGTTCACTATGGTGAGTCACTGCTTCCACCTTCCAGACGGCAGCACCGCACCCTCGGCTTGGGTCTGAAATCACTGCGCGGCCGGTGACTCGTGATGTTTCACCCGCTGAGAGGGTTTAAGCTAAGTGACGTCTGCCCACAAAGCCAGCCTCTTAGAAAATAACCTCAGTGCAAACAGGCCCTCCCCTCCCACAGGGTTCCCAGGGCCTCAGGCTGCAGGTAAAGTGTGAAGGAAGAGGAGAGGAATCGGAGGGGGCTCCAAGTGACTGGTCCCATCTCATCCCTGGGCCTGTTCTTTATGGAACCAACAACCCCCCCTCAGCCAAGTTCATTCCCTCCACAGGGGCCCTCACCTCTTACAGTTTCAATTGCTTTATGCTTTCGAAGACTTTTCGCTCACAAAGGAAGAAGAGAGGAGGTAAGAAGGGGAGAGTGAGAGGACCAGGGTCCAGCTGCCTGGGAGAGGAGGATCACAACCATCTTTTCCAGAACTTTTGGGGCCTTTCTGTGTTAGAAAATCCCCACACCAAGGGCATTTCTGATCTGACCTCCTCAGGCTGAGAACCACTGGTCAAGGACAGATGGCTCCAGCATGAGCCCTGCCCCCATAGTACACATGATCTTTCTAATACCTAAGTTAGATCAGTCACCAACTCTCCAAAGGCTAGCAGTCTGATTCAGAGAAAAGCCAAAGTCCTCCCTATGGCCTGAAGTAGCCCTCTGTCCCCATCTCCTGTCTCCCCCTCCCCCCACCTCACCTATCCTGCTACACTGGCCTCCTTGCTGTTCCTCAAACATGCCAAGAGCACTCCTGCCTCAGGGCCTTTGCATGTACTGTGCTCTCTTTCTGCAAAGTTCTCCCTGCAGGTTTCTGCCCCACCTACTTCCCACTTCATTCAGGAATCTGCTTAAGGTCATGCTATCAGAGAGACCATCCTGATCTGAAATAATACCCTTTTCCTTCCCCAACCCAGCCCCTGCTGTTTTCCCTCCTAACGCTTATCACCACCTGACACATGCTATGTTCACTTATCGTCTGTCTGCTCTCACAGAATCGAAGTGCTGTGACCACTGAGTCCTGCCGAATCCTGATTCCTAGAAGTGTGCCAGGCACACAGTGGGAGCGCAGTAACTATTAGGCCAGTGAAAGAACCTGGAAAGTGGGCTCTGATGCAGCCTGGCCACATTTCTACTGCTGGCGAGGGCCTGGTGTCCCTCAGTCAACACACCTCTCCTCTGTCACACTTCTGTGCTGAATCCAGCAACATCCAGGTGGGACCACAGGAAGCATCAGACACAGTAAACCAGCTCATTGTGTTCTATCCCAAGCCCTCCGTGCAGGAGAGCTGGGTCTGCCGTAGACCTTGGCACCCCATCAGACCAGAGGCCGAACGCTCTGTAGCCAGTTTGCACTCCGGGCCACACTCTCTGGCAATAGCAATGAGGGCTGCCCTCTGCTTCCAGTACCAGCATCTGTGCAGGAAGCAGCCGAACCCTCTCCGAGCCCCAGCCCCGGGAGGTACCATTGAGGGATGTGTCATATGGCTCAGCCTCTTCATAGTAACCCTCCGGAGACTCGATCCTTGGGATGGAGAGCTGTTTCCGTTCTGGAATCTGTGGTATGAACAAATAAACACTTTCAGATACAATACACTGGGAATAACTCGGAATTAACCCTTTGGGTGGAAAGAGGGGGAAGTCCAGAAGAAAAAAATGCCTGGCTGGACTTTAAGCAAGTCGGGAGGAATAACACGGATTATCATGACTCCCAGCAGCCACCCAGTCTACAGTGTTTGGTTTGCATCCAGCTGAAGGATTATGGGCACGTTGTTCAACCTTGCTGGGCCTCAGCTTTCTCCCTGTAAAATGAGGCTCAAACCCCACTGCACACACACAATATCGTGCATGTGATGCATAACACACATAAAGATCCAGACGGTGTCAGGCTGCTGTGGTAGCTATGACGGCTCCTACATAGAATACACTTTCCAAAAAGCCAAGGCTAATCAGAGGCACACGGAGGAAGATGACCAAGTTTCTAAATCCCAACTTTTACCATACTAAGTTCAACCATTCGTTCAGCAAATCTTGGATGGCTCCCGTGTACTAGCGGAGGGATGCATCCAGACAAAGTCAAAGTTCTGCGGGAACCAGGAGGGTGTGAGCAACATTTAGGACCGATAAAGGATGCTCAGAGGACAAGATCTTTGAGCTGAGTCTCAAAGACAACCCTGAGGGGCCAGCCCGGTGGCATGGTGGTTAAGTTCACACGTTCCACTTTGGCGGCCCAGGGTTCACGGTCTCAGATCCCAGGTGCGGACATGGCACTGCTTGTCAAGCCATGCTGTGGTAGGTGTCCCACATATAAAGTAGAGAAGATGGGCACAGATGTTAGTTCAAGGCCAGTCTTCCTCAGCAAAAACAGGAGGATTGGCAGCAGATGTTAGCTCAGGGCTTATCTTCCTTAAAAAAAAAAAAGGATGACCCTGAGCTTCATATGTGGCACAGGCTCGAATGAACGCAATTTGAGTAGAGCAGAAACCATGTGCAACTGTGCAGGAGCATGGAGCATGAAACCCCTCTGTTCCTCCACTGTTCCACCTGTAAAATGGGCACTAGACTATGAAGCTAATCTTTTAAGCAATAGCAGGGGAGGAAAAAAGAGGGAGACTGTGGCATGAATATTAGTATAAACAAGTCATAAATATTACTCTATACAGGTTATAAATACAGGTAAACATCCATCCACATGAGTCCCCAGCATCTTTCTGAGTGACGAAACCTCTGGGAGGGCCAAGGGTATATTCATAATGAGTTGAGAACAGAAATGGCAAAATCTGAAGGGCATTCCCACTCCTGGTTTCGAGAAGTCCTTGTGCTGGGCATTCCATGCGAGGGGCAGGCCTGGGCCTTTGCAGGAGCTCCGAGGGAAAGGAGGGGAAGGCTCTTAGGGTAAAGAGGTGCAGGGCAATCAGAGAGGAGGCAGCCAATGGAGGGAGCCTGCAGGGCCTTGAGCTCAGGTGGACCCTGGGCTTTCGGGAATTCTCTGCTCCACTGGGGAGAGGAGCAGAGATCTAGAAACCCCTGCCTTGGAAAATGAGCTTATTTATGGGACCTAGGACAGAGACAGCTCCCCTAGTCCTGGCCCAGGAGACACTGGGAGAGCAGTCAGCCTGGGCTCAGATCTCTGGGGGTCGGTACTCAGCATAGGCTGCAAGAGTATCCATTCCCAGCTCCCCCAGGGCAGAGCAACGCTCCTGTGGCTGAACAAAAAGCAGGGGCCCCAGAGCCAAGTCCTCCGTGGCTTAGCGCCTACATCTACTTATAGGGACTCTCGAGTGAATGTAACTGGGTTTGAATCCAGGCTTTAGGATTTCATAGATTTAACCGTGGACATGTGACAGCCTCTCTGAGCCTCACGCCAGGTTCCTGGATTGCTGTCTGACAAGCTGAGACAGGTCTCCACGAAGAAGGTTGGCAGAGGCCAGGCCACAGCCTGGGTCCCACACTGCATCCTTCTACCTCCTTCTGGCCTCCCACCAAGAGAGCCGATACAAGTCCCAGAGGCAGGCCGGGAACAGCTTTCATCCCCGGCAGGTGCAACACCCAACACACAGGAAGGAAGAGAATAATCTGCTCATTTCCTAAGCAGACCAGCTGCCTCGCAGGGCCTGCAGATGTGGCTGGATCAAGGGAGTCAGCTGTGAGCGGCACTCAGGCTGGGCTCCTTCCTAGGGGCCAGGGCCTTGCCAACAGCATACGCAACCAACAGCTGCTACTGGATGACCTGTCATCTTTGCTGCCATGAGCCTGGAGAGATGTCTCTGCTCCTCTAGGCCATTCCTAGCCCCTTGGCCAGCCTGAGAAAGAGCTGCCCAAGAGACCCAGCTGTGGTCCTCTGAGAGCCATCTTCCTGGGGCCCAAGGGGAAAGCATCCCCTCACCTGGGCAGCAACAAGGTGTGTGCAGATGGCTCCTGGGGCTCACGCTTCCTGAGTTGGCCAGGCCTCCAGCTCCAGCCTCCCAGAGACCCACTCCCATCAGATGGGCCCTGTAGGGGAGGAAGACATTTCCTCTTCCCAAATGTGGGTTCGTCTGGCCGGAGAACGAATTAAATTCATATGAGACAGAATAGCGAGAGAAAATTAAACAAAGCTTTATGAGGAACCATGGCCCGGGGCCTTTCTTCTCGAAGGAAGAAAGGGCACCAAAGAAGTGGGGTGCATAGAGCGGTTATATACCCCCAAACAGGGTGTTTCACATATGATTGAAATGTCCCTCCCACAATAGTCACAAGATTGCCCTGTCGGCACAGCGCTTGATGGACACAGCAGGCAGTGGTCTGCTATCTCGGAGGGCGTAGCAGGAGGCAAGTCTATTGTCTTGAGCTGGGCGGTCACAGGTGAGCGCAGCAATCAGTTCCTAGCCTAAGGAACGATGCTTAATCCTTAAGGGAATGCCAACATTGGGAGGGGGACGGAAGTCAGTTACAGGAGGTTACCAGAGAAGCACAATAAAATGCAGATTTAAGTCCTTGCCTTTGGCATTGATTAAGAGTTTCTAGAGAGAAGGTCATCTCCTTTCTTCTTCCTGGTACAGAGAGGGAGGCACCTTTACAGATAGAGATTTACCTTACCAATGTAAATGTGTCCTAACAAAGGGCAAGTTCCATTCCTCAGAGCCTCCTTCCCTGTCCCAGTTTATCAAAAGCAATCAGCCTCAAATAATCCTGATGCCAAAGAGACATATCTTGGGATGGCCATTTCCAGGTCCCCACAGCCTCTTTTCTCACGGAGGAGACGGATTCCATCTGGAAGGGAGCTCCGAGTACCCAAGATTCCATTGATCAGAACAGGACAAAGGGGGAATGAACCCTTCTGCAGGAGCTCCCAAGTTCTCTTTAAGAGTTTCCCAGGCCTCTCACTGTAAAATCACCCACAGATGGATCTCTACAGAGAGGCAGTGTAGGGCAGGAGGAGGAATCTGATGTCCAGGGCTGGCGTCTGAATCCTGACACTGGCACATCCAAGCAGTGTGACTCTGGGCAATGTACTTGATCTCCCTGGGCCTCTGTTGTAAAATGGGAAGAGTAGAAATACCTGTCAAGTGGGGTTGTTGTAAGGATTAAACTATGCTCAGCACTAGTAAATACTCAGTAAATACTAGTTTTTACTAACCTAAAACATGAAATATAAAAATATCAAGCAAAGGGAGAAACGTTGCATGCACACATTTGGTGGAGGAAGCACAGATGTACTCTAGGGAGACAGAGAAGACACCGGTCTGACCTGTCTTATACCAAGCTCTGCCTCGTTAAAGACAGTCCCTGCCCTCAAGACTGTTTGGGCAAGAGATAAGGGCCTGGTCAAGTTCAAGGATAAACCGATTGAGAATTTACACAACAATTCAGAAGCGAAGTCACATCATTACACAGACACAATGGCCTATTATCAGAGGTCGCAGATCAAGAGATCCTAATCTCCCAGGTTTAAGAATAAAGGACTATTATTTTAATGATCATCATCATTCTGATGACAAGGATCCGGAGGATTGGGAACATTTAACTCAGAAGACGGGACTTCCAAGCCTGAAGGAACGTTCGAGGGCTCCTGGGGAGGGGCGGCAGCAGCCACAGCACTCAGCCTGATTTGCCAGAGGTCGGTCGGCAAACTTCTTCTCTAAAGGGCCAGATCGTAAATACTTTAGGGATTCGCAGGCCATCCAGGGCCTCTGATCTCCGCTGTTTAACTCTGCTGTTGTGCAAAAGCTGCCATCAAGAACACATCACTGGAAAAGCGCGGCTGTGTTCCAGCAAGGCTTTACTGACGAAAAAGCAGGTGGCTGCGGATTTGCATTGGCCAGGGGGCTGCCGTTTGCCAATTCTGCTTTTGATCGGAGAGCTGAAGACGAAGCGTGGCCCCGATGACCCCAGGCGTCCTTGCAGTCCTAAGCAACCTGCCCCAGAGTGGAAGGTTCCTGGGTGGGGGTTAGCGAAGCCAGCTGTCGGCCCCAGCTGACCGAGGCGACGTCCTTTTGTGAAGAAAGCCGCTCCCCTCACAGAGTAGCTCACTTAAAACCAGCGCCAATGTGCGTTCAGGCCCCAGAGGGAGAGACGGGGTGGAGATGGCCATGCTAGCCAGGAGCAGGAAGGGTGCCAGTAAACATCTGTTTCTCCTACAGTGACCACAGCACCTGGCTGGGCAGACCGCGGCCTGGAAGGGCCACAGCTGCCTGAGTCACTGGCCACACCCACGAGGTTGCTCCAGACCCCTGGCTGCCCCTTCCATTGCTGGATGGGTCTGCCTTCCCCTGACTCTGTGGGGGATGGAGAGGGACCCCAGGCTACCAGAGAGAGAATCAAGACACCTCGGACCTGGGACAGAGGCCGCCCTCCCAGCCTAGCCATAGGCACTGAGGACCCCAGGAAGACATCCAGCTTCTGCGGCAGCCCCCAGTGAGCCTGGGGCCAGGCATTCAGGGGAACAGCCACCTTGGCAGCCTGAAGCTCTGGGCTTTGCGTGGGAAGGGCTGTGGGTTTTTCTGTCTGAGGAAGAGAGTTCACGGGGTCACCCCAGGCTCAGGCTGCCACACTCCCCCATCCCAAGCTGCTGCCGCTGCTCTGGACCTCCGCCTCCTCCCTCAGAGCCAGAAGACACAGCTGTTCCCCACTCCGCCCTGACGCCCCTCCTCTGGGGGCCTTGCACCAAGAGTCCCGGCTGCTTCAGCCAGAGAGGAGGCCTGAGGGAGAGCAGCCGTGTGCGCGTGCGCATGGGCGGGATTGGGGAGAATCAGGTTGGCGCCAGCCCCTTCCTCATGCCACATCTGGAAGCCCCTGGGGGTGGGGGTGAGAGTGCGGTGGGCGCCCAGGACAGAACTAGGAGGGACCCAGAAACGGGAGGTGCACTCAGGATCCCTTCTTGGCAGAGAAATTCCAAAGGAGTGAAGACTGTAACATCAGCTCGCTCTGCTGGAAATCTTGCCGGGGCCTGGAGTCTGTCCACAGGAACAATTACTGCACGTCGGAAAGGCTGCCCCGGGATTGTGTTATCCTTGGTGGTGATATTTTCCCCCATCCAGCACCAGGTTTCTCTCACACGCCTCTCCTGGGCCCCAGTACCCCCGGGGTCACCGCAGACACAGGAAGTCTGCCCCAGGGGAAGGCTACTTGCCCTCTCCTTGCTCAGAGGCCCTGCGTTTCATATCCCAGAGCCCTTGGGGCCCTTTGTGTCCCTGCCACTGGAGACTGGCAAAGGAGTAGTAAAAGACAGTGACAGAGCCCCTGCGACTGCTGGGACTCGTGTGACCTCATGAGTTTACAACTACACCCCGGACCCAGACCCTCTTAGTGCATCCTCATATTTGTGAGGTTCAGATCTCCACAGCAGATCAGCACCACCCAGCACTCCACCCCTGGGAGACTCTGCCTGGTGAACACCCCGCCCACCAGGTGTTGACCCATAAGCAGCTGCCCCAGGGGGACAGGCGGTGGCACTTCTGAAGGCCCTGGGTCAGAATCAGATGCTGAATTCAGGATAGGAAAATTCCAGCTCTGGCTCAGAGCAGCCATCTCTCCTCCTCGCTCCCACCCAGTGAGTGGTGCCTGGGACACATGAGAAAACCATAGCATCTCCCACCTGGAGAAAGCCAGTGGCAGCTGGATGGGAACAGAGAGGACGAGCTGCCTCCCCGAGTACCGGGGCCGAAAGGGAGGGGCACCTGCTGCTGGAAGGAACACAGCTTGTACCTTTACTCTGCTAAAAAGATCAGCTTAAGTGGAGAGGCTGCAGAGGGGCCTGGAGACCTGGGACCTGCATTCAAATCCTGGCCCCGCTACCACCCAGCGGTGGGACCTTGGCCAGCTCTTGTAACTTTCTGAGCCTCTCTTTCTTCATACAAAAAACAGCGACAAAAACAGGCACCACAGATGGGCGGTGGGGAGGAGAGTGTTTGCATGCACGAGGTGGAAGGGGCAGTCACTAGCATCGTCCGCATAGTGGGGGCACCTGGGACTCAGGCTCGGTCCATCAAGTCTCACCCGGCCTGAGATGAGGTGTCCCTGCCAGCTGTCACCCAGCTCCAGGGGCTCATATGGTGGGATACTGTCCCTGGCACTCCAGAACTGCCCCACCAGCTGCGGCCGTGGGAGAGCAGCTTGAGGAACCCTGTGCCCCTGGGGAAGGCACAAATGAATGGGGTGGTCTGGGGTGAGGGCCCCCTCAGCAGTGACCTGAGCCCACACATCTGGTGATGGATGGTTTGGTAGGAGCTCGTGATCATGCAGCTTCCTGCTGGCACTGGCTCCGGACTCCTGCTACCCACAGAAATCCTTCCCAAGCAGATGCTGTAGAGGAAAGAACCTGGGTTCAAATTCTGGCTCTGCCACTTCAAGGCCGTGTGACATTCAGACATTATAAACCTGCCGATTCTTGGTTTCCTTACCCATAAAATAGAAACACTACTGCTCCCCTCACTGCACGCTAATGCAGCACGCCACGCACAGCCTGAGTCCGAGAATGAGATGATCTCGTGAGAGAGATGTTCATGCTCCATTCATTTAAACACCAGGGAAGAACCAGAGACCTTAAATAACCTGTTCGAGGTCAGAGAGCTGGCATCTGGCAGAGCTGGGATCTGAAGCCAGGCCTGTAGCATTGCATGAGTCCATCCATGCATCCATGAATGTGTGTGTACACCCCACTGTGTGCAGACACAGGACACGAAGGACTAAACAAGAGACATGGTGCCGGTCCTAGGGAGCTTACATCTGGTCTGGGAGGGAAATAATAAACAAGACTGTCTCAATGGTGGCAAGTGCCCCGGAGTGGTAACTGGGCAGTGGGGCCGACAGTAACTAGCATGGGGATGGGGTGGGATGCCTCACATAGGCAGGTGAGGAATGTCTGAGAGATGACGAGGAGGCAGCCATTGAAGACCCACAGCCCAGGAAGTGCAAAGTCCCTGAGGCAGGACCGACCATGTGGTGCCATCCAGGAGCAGAAGGGAGGCCAGTGAAGAGCAGATGTAGTGAGGCTAGAGATGTGGCTGGGCTCGATGGTATAGGCCCTGGGGCCACATTAAGGAGTGTGGATGTTTTTTCCTACATTCAGTGAGAGCTATTGGTGGAAGAGCAGGAAGTGCAGTGTGATATGATTTATATTTCTAAAAGGTCACTGTGGCCTGAGCTGGTGACCACAGCTGTACATGGCCCCACTCGTGTGATGCTGGGTAAAGAGCCTAGCATAGCCTCGGACACAAGGTGGCACTCACCAGAGGCACTCTCCCATCATCTCCCACTCCCAATACCCCGAGCATCCTGAGTAGGTGGCCCTGAGTAAATGATGTCACCTGCAGGCACGCTTATGTTTGTGCAGTCCCTCCCAGTGTCCAGCCCCATGCCCTGCACACAGTAGGTGCTCAAAAAGCGCAGGCGCTTGGTGGACTGGCCCCTGTGAAAACAACCAGAAGTTCACAGGGCCCAAGTCAGGGAAATCAGGGGTCTGGGACCAACACTTACGATCTTGGGTGGCGGGAGGTCCGGCAGACTCTTCTGAGGGGCTGAGGTGTGCTGGCTGGGCTCCCCGTTGGTCAGTGGGCTCTGCTCCTCGGGCACTGTGGGCAGCAAGCAGAGGCTCCATGAAGGGGGCCCAGCCTCGCAGCAGGGTCTCATTATCCAGGAATGTCTGGTCACATGGACCCGTGAGTTCTATTTGAGCAGGTGTTAATTACCCAGGCAGGCAGTCCCCTGAGCCGACATTGTTTTTCCTCTGAGAATAGGGTGTCGTAGTGCCCCAGCCATGGCAGATTCCTCAGAAGGAACTGGTTTGAGGTTTCTGGCAGGCGCCGCACCCTCTCCTCCACCTGCCCCGTGTCAAAAATGGTATAGCCACAGAGCTTCAGCGAGCAGAGCTGCTACCCTGGGTCACTATATCGAGCCACTGGCAGCACGGACCCTGTGATTAAGGCTGTTTCCACCCCAGTTCCCCCGGAAGACAAACGACCCTGGGCACGGTGGCTGCCTTCATGCGGATGAGTTCTGTGGAGCCCCAGGCTGGGCGACAGGGCAGGAGGTAGAAAAGCCACACTGGAGACCTTGGCCATCAACCCTCTGTCTGCTTTTAAGGAAAAGGTGCCAAAGGCTCTTGTGAGCCTGAGGGTTCCAGTGGCAGCCAGGCTGGCCGAGGACAGACAGGCTGAGGCAGACCTGACCTCAGGGCTTTGGCGGCTGGCATCTGCAAGCCAAGCCTCTAACAGGACTGGGAGCTTTGGGGTGCTGTGCTCCCACCTCTCTCTAAGCCTTTGCATCTGAGTCACAGGCGTGGGAGTTGGGAGATGGGGCTTCTAATGCCCCCTCCCTTTTGCAACCAGGCAGCTCTGCTGGCCTCTGGGCCTCCCTGGGGTCCTGCTAGAGCCACTCTTGAAAGTTTTCAGAGGAAAGCAGAGAGCAGAATAAAGCAGGAGAGTAAGACACCATAGAAGACACAGTATGTCCTTCCAATGGAGATAAAATGCTCTGCCAAGAGAGCACCTTTGAACAAAGCCTTTAAATATTAAGGCAGTTGCTGAAATCACCATTTCCTCCCCCTAGGACCTCCCTACGCACATAAAATTCAGACTTCTATCAAAAGCCATAAAGTTGGGGCCAGCCCAGTGGTGCAGTAGTTAAGTTTGTGCACTCTGCTGTAGTGACCTGGGGTTCACGGGTTCAGATCCCAGGTGCGGACCTACACACTGCTCATCAAGCCATGCTGTGAAGGCATCCCACATAAAGTAGAGGAAGATGGGCACAGACGCTAGCTCAGAAACAATCATCCTCAAGCAAAAAGAGGAAGATCGACAACAGATGTTAGCTCAGGGCCAATCTTCCTCACCCGCCCCCCCCGCCCCCCACCAAAAAAAGGACATAAAGCTGGAACCATGGGATCAGCACCATACACAGCTGCTTTCTTAGAACATCTGAATTATGACTTCCTATTCCTGGGATGAGGCTGGGAAAGGCTCAGAGATTTTAGGGACAGATTCCTTAAGCATGAAGAGGATGAGAGATCTTCAAGAGGCAAGGAGGTGGCCTGATGAAACATCCCAAAATATATCAACCCAAAATACCACCAACCAAAATGTGACTTCCAAAAATAACTCCACCAGGCCCGTCTGTGGGGCTGGCTGGGAGGAAGGAGGGTGAGATGGGACCAAGGCTTCTCCCTTCCCCATTCCCGGGAGCTGGCCAGGCCATCAGCAGTCCCAGCCCTGTACCTTTGTCTTGGGACTCGGCATTCTGTTGCTTGTGGACCGTCACTTTGTTCATATAAATGTACTCTTCATCAGAACCTGCAGAAGGGGGATGGGAGACACAGGCTTCATGTGATTTCATGAAGGAAAAGGGCTTCTAGAGAGAAACAGTGTCCCCCTCCCAGAGATACTGTCGTCAGCTTGCATTCCAGTAAAAGCACACAACACTTTGAGTTGATTGAAAGAGTCCATTATCCAGAGAGTTGACAGATTTCCAAAAAAAGAAATGCCAAGTTGCTGACTTTTATTTTTTTAGCCTTGGGGAGGGCAGGGTAGGAAAGGGGAGGGTACAGAAGGAAGGTTTCAGGAATAAAAGTCTTAAGCGGAAATGCACCCATACCTCAAAATCTGCCTCATATTCTATCAAGCAGAGATTTCTCTGGGTTTCCTAGCATTTCATTTAAATTGTAAAACATTTCCTATCAGTCACTGTCAGCCTAGTCTGAATTACTGGCATGGGCTAATTAGAGCAGTGTCTACATAAGATAGGTTACCTCGAGGATCTGGAAGTTTAGCTCCCAGGCCTCTGGGTGGGGTGCCATTGTGGGGGCCTGAGACAGCAAAATCACGAGCTCTGGGTTTGGAGGGTTGAGTGTGCTGGGAATTGGAACTGGAGCGCCACCAGCCACCCGCTCCACCTGCAGACTGCACCTTGCAGCAGAACAGCTCTTTCCCTCCTTTAAAATCATTTCTGTGCAGGTTGTCACCTTCCCAGTGCCTGTCTGGGCAGAGGAAGGGTAACACTTGCTCAGGTGTTAACGCCCAGGGACCCTTTCTCCAGAAGGCTGCAGAGGAAGCTCATCCCAGCGTTGCTCCTCTTAGAAATCCTCCTGCATCTCTTTTGCAGCCCTTAATTTGCATTTCCTAGAAACTTGTGGCTGATAAATTCCAGTGGTTGGAGACCGTGTTACTGAGTCAAGGGGCCTCATTCAAACCCCTGGCGAAGGAGGCAGTTCAGCGTCAGTCCATTCCACGCCACAGACCGCCCAGACTCCAGCCAACAGGCCTGCAAAACAGAGCCTTGAGAACCCAGAGGAACAGGCTGGATGGGTCTTCCACCCTCAGCCTGCGGGATCGCCACCCTGGTGCCCAGCCCTGCCAGGACCAGTCAGCAACGTCACCTCTACACCAAGGGCTGCACAGTTTATGGGCGGGAACTATGAGATCTAAACATAGTTAGCCACAACTTGCGTACTTCCGCTGACGGAGACCCAGAGGGGCTGGGTCAGTACCTTCTCCAGGGCAGGGCACAGGGGAAAGGCGCTCTGCTGGGGGAGGCAGGAGATGTGGGGGTGAGAGGGAGGTCTCAGCCAAGCTCTGCCATTAACGCTGTAATTGTGAGCAAAACACCCAAGCCGTGGGTCTTGATTTTCTTGTCTGCATTTTCTGGAAAATAGTCGTGATGAAATATTGCCTGTTTCTACCTAACTCTTACCTTTTCAAGAGGACAAAACTCAAATATTAGGGAATTTGAAAAAGTAAGATAACCTCATAACTAACAAAGATGAAAAATGACAGCCTAAAACATGGGAAAGAACTCAAAGGCTCAATAATAGGAAAATGATGAAATAAACCACAGCATATCAACATACATACCAGCAGATCACCTTTAAAACTAAACGGATTACTGGAGAGTGTGCAAACTGGCACAACCCTTTGGAGGTGATTTTGGAGGAAAATTTAATTTTAAGTGTTGAGACTCTTTAACCCTGCATTTCCACTGCCAGAAATTTATCCTGAAGATAAACTCCAGCAGGTAAACAAAATTTTATTTCAGGATGTTCGTTGCCATACTATAAGAGATTTTCTTTTAAGAAAAACAAAAAACTGAAATGCCCCCTAACAGGGGGCTGGTTGAACATTATTGTTCACCCCTCAGTGGACATTACCCAACTGCGGAAAAAAAGCGAGTCTGCTGTTTACAAAGATATCCAACACTTACAGTTGAATTAAAGGATCGTGTTTCAGAATAGCAAGAAAAAGAAAAAGTATGTTAACTGTCAACATACGGAAACGTGCACCGGCAGCAATTCTAAACGCAAAAATAACGTAAAGCAGAATACAGAGGCAACGCTCTACCACACGAAAATATTCAGAGGACACTAATAGAGATCAAAAAAGGAATCGAATGTAAATAGGGTTTAATGTTCATTTTATGCTCATTTCTTTTTCCATACGATTGACTAAGCCCACACTCCCGTCCAAAAAAAAAAAAAAAAAGGCAAGATATTGTTATTGTTTTAACTGTTGAATTCTGAGCAGGTGCTTCCTCTCCAAGATGGTGATGCGTTAAGCTGCAGGGAAATTGGCACTGGCCGCCTCAAGGCTGTGCCTCCACTCGGGCACTCTGCAAGCTGCGGGTGACTAGTTTTCAGTTCTCAGTGTTGCTAATCCAATACCATCCAGGGTGGTAAGTCGAGGCTCTCGGGACCACCTGCAATCCTAGGAAAAGCCCAGGGAGGCTGGCCCTGGCAGGGGAGGCTGCCGAGCTGTCCCATGTCTGAGCAGCGTGAGTTGGAGAACTTTCTATCATTCTCTCATTCATTTTCAGAAGTGCGCTGAGCACCAGCACTGTGCTCGGTGCTGGGCGTACAGCAGAGAAGACGACAGACATTGTCTCTGCCTTCGTGAACCCAACAGTAGGGGGCGAGGGTGGGGGTGGGGACAGACCCGAATGGGATAGTTACACGGGTGTGTGGGAGATGACAACGGCCACACGTGTGGCTGGAAAGGAGACTCATTGTGTTCTGAGCAAGTGTGTGATTCCTGTGGGAACTACCTGTCTGCAGAGGGCGGTCCTTCCCAGAGAAGTGGGTGAGGGGTGGGGAGGGAGCACATGGACCCTCTTTGCTACAGTTGGTCAGACAGAACGTTTGAAACTCTTGCTATCAGAGGGGCAGCCCCTGAAAGTTTCAGCCCCGGAGTCTCCGAGCAAGGTCCTGAGGCAGGGCTCATGGCCCTCACAGTGAAGGCAGGGACAGAGAGCAGGCCCCCCATAAACAGACCTCAACCTGTGCCTTGACCTCATCACCTAGACAAAAAGCAAAGAGAATAGAAAATTTGTGTTACAGTAATAAAACAAAAGACAAGGAAATGCAAATGGACAATTCCATCTGAAAAGTGTAAACATATACACACTTTACCCCAAATGTGTAGGACTAAACCACAGCTCAGCCAGTGGAGACCACAGCCTATCTCGAAATGATCAGTCTGCCTCCACCTGCAAGGCCCGTCAGGCTGAGCTAATTTTCTGGAAGATCCACAGTGAGGCAGGCCCGGGAGACCGAGAGAGGAAGACGGATGCTCTATTTTCAGGGGACTTTGGATTCTGTCCTGTGCAGCACCACAATTAACCTGATACGGGGAGGGGTGGGGTGGGGAGCATAATGGTTAGGTACACCTGCAGACCCAAGCCTGGCTCTGCCATGTGCCTAGAGCAAGTGACTTGTTGATAAGAGGGGAATAATAGCAACTCCCTCACTGATTTGGGATGAGGATTAGATGATGTAATCCATGTCATTTCATACATGACGCACAATGCAGGGAAATGGTAAACCACAAAAAATGTTAGCTGCTGTTATAACCACTCTGCTGTCTGAGAGGGTGAAAAGAGGACCAGAAGGGAACCTCTCAGTCAAACAGTGGCTATTAATAAGCAGACTGAGATTAGCAGAGGCAGCTGCAGGCCTCATTGTGGCTGTGCACGCTTATCAGTGGCTTGGGGGGTGCTTGTGACGATTTGTGCTGGGGAGCCCACTGACTGGTTCTCAGCGGCCTCCTGCAGCCCTGCAAGCTGCCAAAGTCCAGGGTGGGGGAGACCCGACTTTATAAGAGCGGAACAATGATCAAGGGTGAAACAAAGGTCATCCCATAGGTGGCTACACGGCACGTTAAACCAAAAAGAGGACCCAACACAGGGAGCTCTGAGAGAGTGGTGAGAACCAAGAACCACGGGCCAGACCCCATTGCAGAGGTGCTCTTCATCACTGCACAGCCTCATGTCGGAGCGCACCCCAATGGTTTGGGGAGTGTGCTTTCCACAGGACTCACTGACGAGTCCTTTCATGGAGTGACTCATCCCTCTCTAACTCACCTGCTTTGTAATGTGGATTTCCCATCTGCCATTCCCACCCTTGATGTGCTGCTGACCAGCCCTCAGGACAGGCTAGCAGACGCTCACTACAAAGCCAGGAGGAGCCTGGGAACCCCGGGGCTGGGCGGGTGGCGGGGGGAGGGTGTGTGGGGGGGCTGGAGGCCTGCAAAGGCGGTGGATGGGGCTCAAGGAAAACGCCTCCAATGAAAGGCTGAGGGAGCCAGATTATTTCACCCAAAGGGAAGGCTTCTGAGCATACAGCAACAAGCTTCAGTTTTACGACTCTCTGTTATTTAGAGAATAGAAACTAGTTCCACAGGGAACAAAGAAAAGGGCAAGGGACCTTGAAATGTAGCCTGGCAGACTCAGGTGGGAGGAGGGAGAACTTCCTGTGGTGGCAAGAGCAGGTGCACACTCTGTCCCTGGCCCGGATTTTGGCTGCTCCTGCCGTGAGGCAGATGGATTCGATGGCCTCTTATGGCCCCTTACTGTCCCAAAACATCACTTCCAATTCTCAAATATCCGATTTAAAAATAAACTCAACTAAACAGTTGTGAGTGCACAAGAAGGTCTTTCTCTTTTAAAAAGAAATCTGACTGTGCTGGAAATGAACCCACATGTCCGTTAGAAGACTTGTACCAGAATGTTCAGAGCAGCCTTATCATTCATAATAGCCCAAATCAGTGAACAACCCAGATGTCCATCAAGAAGTGAGTGGAGGGGCCAGCCCCATGGCCAAGTGGTTAAGTTCGCGTGCTCTGCTTTGGTGGCCCAGGCTTTTGCTGGTTCAGATCCTGGGTGCAGACATGGCACCACTTGTCAGGCCATGCTGAGGCGGCATCCCACATAACACAACCAGAAGGACCCACAACTAAAATATATAACTAAGTACTGGGAGGATTTAGGGAAAAAAAGCAGAAAGAAAGAAAAAAAGATTGGCAACAGTTGTTAGCTCAGGTGCCAATCTTAAAAAAAGGAAAAAAAAAAGAAGTGAGTGGATAAGCAGATTGTGGTGTATTTCCAGAACGGAATACTACTCAGCAACAAAAGGAACAAACAAATGACACATCCCCTAGTGTGGACAAATCTGCTGAGAAAAGAGGCCAGACATAAAGTGAACACTGTAGGACTCGATTTATACGAAGCTCTAGGTCGGGCAACGCTAATCCACAGTGGGAGAAATCAGAACAATGGTTGCCTTGGGGTGGGGCAGGGGAATTCACTGAGAAGGGCCAAGAAAGAACTTTCTGGAATGATAGAAATGTTGTATGTCTTGTTGTGGGTGGTGGGTACACAGGTATATACAATTGTCAAAACTCATGGAATTGAATTCTTAAGATCTGTGTACTTGCTTTTATATCAAATCTACCTCAATAAAAAAGATAGAAAAACTATCAACTCAGGGTTCTGTGATTTACAAAGTCTTAAAACTACATTTTCCTGTCTTCCCTTGGGCTGTATGACATTGGGTAAGTAATTTAAACTCTCCAGGCCTCAGTTTCCTCATCGGTAATAAGAACACCAACCTCACAGGGGCATATTGAAGATGAAACAAGTTGATAGGCGTGCAAGTGGGAAGTGCCCGATTAAACGTTCGTTATTATTATAACAGTCATTGTCCCTTCTCTACTTTCAACCAGTATGGAAAAGTGCTTTGGAAACTCTGTTTAAAACCTCACTCCTGGGTTGCTGTGTTGAGTGTAAAGAGATTTCTGAGGCTCCTGTTCACATCACATCCCTCTGCCCTATTCCTACGGGCTGAACTGGGTCCCTCTCAAATTCATACGCTGAGTCCTAAGCCTCAGTATCTCAGACTGAGACTGTATCTGAAGACAGGGTCTTTACAATAAATGAGGCCACAGGGGTGGGCCCTAATCCAACATGACCAGTGTCCTTATAAGAGGGGACTTGGACACAGATGAGCACACAGAGGGAAGACCATGTGAAGACGGCCATCTACCAGCCAAGGAGAGAGGCCTCAGAAGGAACCAGCCCTGCCGACACCTTGATCTCAGATCTCTGGCCTCCAGGACTGTGAGAAAATAAATGTCTGTTATCTAAGCCAACCAGTCGGTGGGCCTTTGCTACGGTAGCCTAGTACATAACTAACCATCTTTCTGCTGCCACGGGGTCCGCTCTAAGGACCCTGGGGCCATACTTACTGCTGCTCTTGGTGTAAAGCCGGAGGAGCTCAGCCAGGCCACTCTTCTTCACCTCGGCTGTGCTGCTCAGATTCTCCTGGTCAAGAATCTTGAGGAAGTCGTCCAGCTCTGTCAGCAGCTGCTCTAGGGCTAGAAACAGAAACCAGAAAAACCCTTTACAGTGGCTGCCTCTCTCCATAGGCCCAGCTCACATGTACCTCCGAATCCCACAGCATCCCACCATGGATCCACTGGTCCCAAGGCGGGGTTTTGGGGTGAGGCCTGGCAGCACATGGGGGGCTCAGCCAAAATGTGGGCCTCCCAGTGTCAAGGAGGAGGAAACAGGCCCTTGCCTTGGAGATGGACGACCTGGGCCGAAACTGCAGGGCTACCATCTGCTGGAGTGACAGTGGCCAAGGTGGCCCATTCAAACCCATCAGGCCATGGGAGTCTGCAAATAGGATTTTCTTCCTCAATAAAGGTCAATCAAAACAGCACAGGGTCTGGAGAACCTGACCACAGATCAAACCCACAACCATCAAAAGAAATGCTGTGGTTGACCCAGTTGTTAATCCTTTCCCCAAGGATGGGGAAACACCAAGTCACCCCACGGAGCTGAAACAGTGATTGTTCTGTTCCCACAGAAATATGGACAACCCATCAAAAGCCACGCTGAGGCAAACAAAACCTTCCCCTGAGTTTCTTCGATGATTGAGTCACCTCAATGGCCACCGAGTCCAGCATCACTCCCAAGCTGGTTCAGGGCTCTGGGGCTACACATCCAGACATCAAATATGGCTCTCTCAAGGACAATCAGGATAAAAAGCACTCACCAATTTCTAGTTGGAACCACCTTGCAGAAATGCTAATGCAGAGGGCAATAGCCTAGGAGCAGGGCATTCATACTATTGTTTGTGTTATTGTTGAGCTAAGTCTCTATTAAGAACAGGACATCACATTTGCTGATGGCTTCCTCATCTTTGCTCTCCCACCCCGCTGGCTCTCCAGAACATGTTCAGTAATGGCAGCTGGCTCCTTGAGGTTCTAACCAGTGTTTTCCAGCCCTGGTTTTGCATTGGAATCACCTGAAGAGCTATTAAAATTCCTGATGCCCGAGCCACACCCCGGACTGATGATACAGAATCTCTGGAAGTGGAACCCAGGAATCAGTAGTTCTTAAACCTTGTCAAGTGATTCCAAAGTGCAGCCAACACTGACAACCAAGGGTCTAAACCCAGTGCCAGCTCCTGAGGCCCCTGCTCCCGAAGACAGCAGCCAAGAAATTTGGACTTGCCCTGTATCACCTGCTGCAGGAATTCTGAGCAGTTATGGATCTCTCCAAGCTCATTTCCTTATCCATAAAGTGGAGAAAAACATGTGGGCCCCACCCATCTCAAGAGGTTGTTGTAAATGACAGAAAATCTGTGAAGCTCTTTACAAACTGTGCTTGTGAAATGCTACACTAACCACACAAAGAGTGTTGTCATCATCCTCTCTTCTCACCCTGATTTTTCTTCTCGCCCTTGTGGCATCATTAGTTATTTCTTGTTCTCCACCAACGGCATTCATCTCTAAGCTCCCCTTTAGAGAAAAAACAAAACTTGCAATGTGACATTTCCCACCGTACCACATACGGGAGAGGAGGGAAAGGAAGGTCACCTCCTCTGAGAAGCCTTCCCTGACCATTCTTCTAAGAAGATATTTCTTCTTATTTTCTAACTCAGCATCTAACTCCTGCCTTCATAGCCCAGACCACAACTTATTAACAATATGAATATAAAATATTTTTTAAATAAAATTTAAAAGTGAGTAAAATCAGTGAATAATGGTTTTATTTATTTTGCTCATTTTTAAATTGTATTTTTGTCTTTCTCACCCTAGTCTAGTCTGTTAGGCTTAGTGAGAGTTGGGACCAGATCTGTCTTAGATCTTTGGCACCTCATACGGTTATAAGTGTTGAGTGAACATTTATGGAATGAATCAGTAAATGAATGGATAAATTTCTTAGGCACCTACTAGTTCACAACTCTAAGAGGTAAGCATCATTATGCCCATTCTGCAGATGTGGACCTAGTGGCCCAGAAAAGGCCCATACGGTCCCACATGACCCATGGCAGAGAGCTGGGTTTGCTGTCTGACTCCAAGGCTGAGCTCTTGGCAACACCCCACCCAATACCTCCATGTAGGGCCTTCTTCCAGTCTCCCCTAAAGGCCTGGCTCCCCAGAACTGAACTCTAGATTATTCCCTAACCCCCTCATTAGACAAGAAGGCCTCACGCTCCCCTGGTTCTAAGGGAGGGCCCAGGGCCTGTTTCTGTTCAAACACCCCCTTGAATCTTAGTGCGAAAGTAGCCTATGAGCTCTATTCCTGCAAAACCAAACTCCCCGGAATGAATACTGCCATTGATGGTGGGAGAGTTGGAGGAGGGGACGGTGGGGTGGTGGTGAGGGTTTGTTATTTCAGAAGAAAGCAGTGAAGCGAGTACCCGCGCACATTACTGTCATAGCAAACACTGGGGTTAGCCAGCTCGCTCAGATGCAGGGGGCACTGCCTCTCGTAGGTCAGAGCGCTCTCTCCCCAGTAGGGGTATTCCTGAAAGAACCTGCCAAAGCTGGAGAACAGGGAAACCTCCTCCCCTGTTCAGTGTCCCGCTAAAGGATGAAGAACCAAGCAGGTTGCAGAGAGGGCTATGTGTCCACAACCCTCTGGCTTGTTGAAAGCAACTGGAGGTGAAATGCAGCCAACGGCCCCAATGCTGCCTGTCATAAGGGCACCAGCAAGAGCTCCCAGAGCCCACGGATGAGTAAGAATCGGGTGAGACACCATGGTGTGCCCAGCACCCGGCCGGGCCCTCAGCCTGAACTTACTGGGAAATTAAAAAGGAGATCAGGATGCCGGGGTCCCTGCCTTTTTGGAAGCTCATTGGCAGGACTAGACCAGCAGAGGTGAAGCAATTTACAGACCAAGATACATCACCAAAAGCAGGTGATACCAACTTCAAGTGTGACAGGAGATCAGACAAGAGCCTGGAAGGCTTCTGGGAAGATGGGGCAGCTGGGGAAGGACTTAGGTGGTTTTCTGCTTTGTTTTGTTTTGTTTTTAATAGCTAGTGATGAGCTTCCTGCTGGCTGCAGGAACTCAACAGGCTAAAGAGCCATGAGCTTAAAGAAGCCACATCAGGAAAAACAAAGCATAAATATCAGGAAAATGACACTGAGCCTCGAACTCAGCTCCAGTGCATAAGGAAAAGTGAAAGGCTGAAAGGCTGCATTTTCCTGACCTTCTGAACTTCCAAGGCTGTCCCACTGCTACTGCTTCTGAACAAAACACAGAAAAGGAAAAAGCACGAAAACTGAAAGCGTCTCTTCACATCCACATCCTCAGCTCCTCCCAAAAGCAGCCCTGATTCCTGGAAAACAGGCTTTGTTTATTTTCACGTGAGCAAATACGTACAAAGGCCAAGGGTGAAAAGCGTGCCTGGCTCTGGGGAGACAAAGGTGACCCAGGTTCAGAGAGGGCGGCCCAGTGGATACACAGGGTGAGAACAGAAGGAATTCAGGAATGTCTCCAAGGACCAGGAATGCAACGAGGAAAGAGACGAACTCTGGGGTTATCAGGGGGAGGAATTTATAAGCTGGTCATTGAGGAATGAACAGGAGCTCACCAGGAAGGGGCAGAGGCATTTCAAGGGGATGAGATGCTCAGAAGACTCAAGGACTGAAAGCACACGGGGTGTTTAAGAAACCATGAGTAGCTCTGCGTATCAGGGGCACATGCAGCATGGGGGTAGGGTGGGCTGGGCCTGAAAGGGGAGAAGGTGGGCTCTGAGGCCAGAATTGTGGGATCAGATCATGTGGGCAAATCATGAGAGTTTTACTGGCTTTGCTAAGGCATTAGTGCTTATCCTGCAGGGCCTCTGGGCAATGTGGTGGGGAAGGCCATGCAGGCTGTTCTTCAAGCAGGCTAGAGATAGAATAACTCTGTCAACAGTGGGGAGGAGGATGGGAGGGAACCAGGGGACCAGGAGGGGAGGCTGGTTAGATAACTGCATTAGTACAGATGAGAATGATGAGGATGCGAGCTACCCCAGCAGCCGGGGGCCATGCAGGGCACTGCACCCCCACCACTTCCAATTCTCACAACCACCCTGCAAGTGCACAGTGTGGGAATGGGCTCCTGAGGCTGAATTATGACCTAACTCGGTCACATTGGTAGTAGCGGCACTGGGGCTCACACCCAAGTATATCCAAATCCAAAGTATTTGCTGTGTCTGTCCGTTGCCTGTAGCCATCCCCAAGAAGCAGAGAGGTTTGCCTGGACCATGGCCTCTGCCTTCCATTCCACTGAACTCCACAATGGATGGAGAGAAGGGGTTGGACTCGAGATGTGCGACAAGTAGAAGCAACGGGACCTGGTGATAATCCCATCAGATGTAGGGACCCTAAGAGAAGATGCCCCTGGGTGGCTGAGAGATGCAGAATGACATCAGACACACAGGCTTGAGGACATTGCAGTGAACTGGGCAGCTGTCATCTCTGCCATCAGGGAACTGAAGGACCAGGCAGATGAGTGGGGGAAGCACTAAGAAAGCAGAGAGACCCTCCTTTCCTCTAAACAGCTGCATTAGGTGAACACTAAGCACCAGGGTTGAAGAAACGCAGGACAGAGAACGAGAGAGGGTCACAAAGCTCAGAACGTCATTTCCCTTCCCCTCTGGATCTGCGTCGTCCTTCAAGGCCCATCCAGGCCCCTTCTCTACAGAGCCACCCATGACCAGCGGCACCCGGCTCTTCTGCCAGCTTCTGCCTGCCTAGATTCCTTACTGTCAAAGCCAGTTGTTCCCAGTTATCTCTGTGTGTGCCAAGTCTATATCTCGGGCTAGGCAAGAGCTCTTCCTGCTCAAAGGTCAGCCTTTGTAGGTTTGGGCCTCTGATGAGGCACTAAACACAGTGGAGGCCAATGATTCTCCTGGATCACACCCTCTGGGATCCTGCTACAGGCTCTTGGAAATAATCAACAAAAGCAAGACCCCAATTTGCGTCAACCCTGGTGATATTTTTCAACCGTCCAAGCTCAGAGGGGCAGGCAATCCCTCAGAGGAATGTGGCTATTTCATTGAGGCTCTGGAAGGAGCTCATCCCATTTCCCT